TGAACTACACGCACTGAAGAAATTTGACACAAGTCATGCAAAAGAAACTGCATCAAATAACTACCAAATACTGCAGTTGATTCAAGTCATGTTTATTAGTATAACACATATAAACTAGCCTCATCTTGTACAGAGAGTCTGAGCCTCTGTAATCAATGCGACTATAAAAGCACAGATGAGTTTCTCTAGATCTTGCTGGAATCTTACTCTTTTGATTCTGGAAATGTTCTACAGGCTATACACGGCTGACTTTGTAACCGTCTTTATGTGTCTCTGAACGTTCAGGTCTGAGTCCATCACTATTCCCAGATTTTGGGCCTGATTTAATACAGACAAAGTTTCGAGCGCATTTGTCGAGGAAGTGCAGCTGTTTTTCTGTGACAAAGCTTCAAGGATACACCAAACAGACCAAACAGAGCAGTCAAATCATCATACAGATGTTTTTACAGTATTAGGCTAGAATTCAACAGTTCTTCTCTTAATCCTTTCAAATTTAGTTTGCCATTTGTGTTCTTTTCTTCTGCCTGACTTCTTTTTACAGATGTTGATTAAGCTATGAAAATAATAGACCTAGGCTGTAATAAACTGGAATTATCCTTCAGAGGGAATTACAGCAGCATTGATTTAAATGTTTGCCAAGGTGCTTGTTTGTATCAGGGTGGGCTGCTGATGGTAAATGCTTGGATGGAAGCTCGTTGTGTGTTTGTGTGTGTGGGCGTGTGTGGGTGTGTGTGTGTGTATCAGAGAGAGAGAGAGAGAGAGAGTTAGACCACTGTGGAAGCTTTTGTAGCATATCTGGTTTTAGAGGCTCTCATAAAAAGGAAAACGCGTGCACAAATGCCCCGGTGACGGGCAGCACTCTCTCCCTGCCCCTCGCTCAGACTGGTGCTCCCTCTTTTCATCGCCACACGTGGATCCCCATTTCCCCACATAATAGCTCCAGTTCTATAAAAGGCAACTTCCTCCAGTAAATGCAGTGCGAGGCTCTGTGTTCCCCCCCCGGCACCCCTCCCCACAGCCACAGCAACCCGTCAGAGCCGACAAGCACCTCAGCACTGCTCTGCGGCACGAGAGCAGCTACGACAAAGACTCTCTCTGGCATGGCTCACACACAGCCATGTATTTCAGGCATAGATGATTCAGCCTTAACTTTCCACTCACTGTGGATTTTCCTTTCTAAATGCTGAGTCAGTGACCCACTTAATGTCAGCTCGTCCCCCTGCAGTTAAACAAGAGGAGCATCTTTCATCCCGTTATCTCTTATCCCTCCCCATCAGTTTCTATCCATGCCTTTCTGCCCCACGTGCGGGGCAGATGGTGCTCTACCCTTTTTATCCGCCGCTGCTATTTGGAGAAACGGCTGAGAGAGGTCGCGTGCACGCAGGTCGCATGCACGCAGGTCGCGTGCCCGACTGGGGCTGATTAGTCGATGGACTCCCTCCCCTTACGTTTTAGATGCGTGACAGCAGGACCAAAAGCGCACGGACGGCGGTTTCGGCTCAGCAGATGACTGAGTGCCTGCCTGGCAAAAAGCTGGTTTGCTCAGTTCAAACATATGGGACACTGGATGTCTGACAGTTGGTGTCTCAGACTCAGATTGAGGGATTAGTCCAATAAAGACATGGCTGCCAACAGGTGGTGGTGAATGCAAGAAGCACCTTACACTGAGGCACTCCAACTCTCCACTGCCAGTGTCCTGTATGTTTTAGGTCTTTCTGTGCTTTAGCTAACCCAATTTCAATAAATGGGTCAGTAGCTCTCGCCTTCCTGGAAGGCAGGCTGAGGAATAAATCAGGAATGAATCAGTATCGTAGGGTCTGGAGCACAACTAAAACATGGACACTGAAGGACCAGACCTGACCATCTCTGACCCGGCCTGGTAAAAACCAGCTCCTTGATCTGTATGTTGCCTCATACAGAGGCTCAGCACTGAGCTCTCAACAATTGAGAAACAACATGGTCCATGTCTTGCCGGAGACGTTGACTATGTTGATATTTCAAATATTACCTAATCGCTAATGTTTGTCTGTGACATATGCAATGTGCCATTCCCAACCCAAACAAGATGGCTACTAATGCTAATTCAATGGTTGGGGAAGCGTGACCAACTGAACAACTTCCCTCATTTCCTCTGCTGCCATTGTTAAAACTGCAGGCAATTCTAAAAGAGCACAGAAAATTATCATTCAAAGCTTCTTCTTCTTCTTCTGTTCGTTGAAAATATGCTGGAGGAAAACCAAATCAACGGGAGAAAGCCCAGACTGTGCTGTAAGTGAGATTTGAGTCAAGCGGAATAACGCATTAAGGCAACGACCAGGCCACGTCTGACCTGACATGCAAGCTAAAGTCATGGGAAATTGTTAAATTATGCTGCTAAATAGTGCACAGCAAACTGTTAAGTTTTTTGTTTCACAGGTTCGACACATACCTCATGTCTGCCTCGTAGGCCAGCTTGTGTTAACTTTGCTCAATGAATTACTCAAAAAGGCTAAAAACATTCCTTGGACTATTCATCTATGGTCCATGAAGGATCACAAGAGGGCGGTGCATGTCTTTGTACGAGAGGCGGGGTACACCAGTTCATCCCAGGACAATTTAAAGACAAATGGAGAAACAACTGGTTTCTCAAAATTAAGGGTAATTTCAAGTAACCAGTTAACTGAACATGTGTCTTTGGATGTGACTGTCTGCAGTACCTGGTTTTAACATGCAAACTCTATGGAGAAAGACTGAAGGGCATGGGACACTGAATGGCATTTCTTGAAGACATTAATGCCAGTCGCATGCATTAACATCCCTTGAGCTCAAATCGAACCGATCTGTTATGAATTTATTCTCACATACAGACTTGATTCAAAGCAGAATACCCAATCACGTGTCTCACTTCAGAAGTCACTGGACAGACTTCCTCCTTGCTCAAATTTAGTAGAAAATACAATTTGTATTGATGTATGATTGTAATTGGAAAGTTGGTGATAAATAGAGGGCAGAGAGAAACTCAACAGTGTTCCCATTAAACCACTCGCACGTTGCAGGTTATACAATGCCAACGTAATGGCACACAGAGCATTACTCAGTCAATCTGAGAACAGATCTGTTGCATGACGAGGTGAAGGGACTTCTGACCCCACAAGATATCAGGTTAACACAATGAAGCTGTCTTATGATAGATCAAGAGACAAAAATCCTGTTATCTCTTCATATTTGTCACAGTCTAAATGACTTCGGGCTCTCAGTGTATTGAAGCAGCTCACTGCATTGGTGTTAAACATAAAAATCCTATCAAAGGATACAGATGACCTCCTTTCTACAGCAAATAGAGATTTGCAGGCTATTTGTAAACAGGAGATTTAAAGCACGCAGTCAACAGGCCTGTTAAATTATTCATGCATGCATGGTTCTATGCTAGTAAGCACTTTCTAAAATTGCTTCAGCTTTCATAATACATTCCTAATTGATGATTTAGGGAATATTATCAGTCTGATTTAATGGAAACACAAGTCTTCCTGAATATGATCGTATGATTGATAGAACTCAGCAAAGCATAATGAACGGTATGTGAGGATGCAACCTGTCCACCTAACATTGGCTCCAGGAGGAAGTACACACAGTTGCCCAGGAGCTTGTAAGGCTAGGCTGTGTTGAGGCGCTTACCAAGGTCAAGTACACACATATTCTTTTACACACATTACATTCGCTTGTACACACATTACATTCTCATACTTTCACACAAAGGCCTTTGTATTTGTAACAGATACAGAAACTGAATCATCTCCTCACTCCCATCTCCAAGGAAATAGAGATTTAGGTGATGCAGAACATCGGATGACCACTGGGCGTGTTCTCAGATCATAAGCAACAAATCTTCCCGTTTTTAAAAGAAATGCTGTATAGACTCGGGGCCCTTGTTTTCACTTCTAGTCTTTGATGGTAAGCGTCTCTTTTTTAGTGCTAAAAAAGAATAAAAAAGTAAAGTCTGATTACTTTGTGTTGGCTGATTTGCTGCTCGTGTGCTTGCACGTTTTTGGTCTATCGGTTTAGAATACATGATATTTTTCACAACAGCTGGAGCAATTGAAAAAGCTATATGTAAGATCATTATCAGCTTTTTGAGGAAATAAAATAAATGCTTTGCCGCCACTTTTTGGCTATTAGAGGAAAATGTGATAGCTGAGACCACGCAAAAAAAAGCTTCACTGTAAAGAAGTAGATTCGTCTAGTTGAAAGGTGTTCGTATTCATTGGCGAGTCACTCTGGGGCAATACACTGTCTCCAACTAGTTTGACTTTTTTTTGGTAACTAAATATTTGGTTCAGAAAATTAAATATTTAATATACAAACAAAATTATTTGTGTTCCAAACTAAACATTAGATTTTTAACACCAAGTATTTAGTTTTCAAACTAAATATTTAGCTTGGACCTAAACATTTAGCTGGCAAGGTAAATATTGCTAGCTTGCAGGCTAGCATGACTGATATTAACTCAATATTTAGCATGCTAACTAAATATTTAGCTAATGTCAATCTTGGGTCGGCAAATATTTAGCTAACATACAAGTTAGCTTATTGACAATCAATTATTTCCTCTTCATGACAGGTTAAATAATCTAAAAATAATGTTAATTTTTTAAGTGTGACCGGGTAACATTACAAATGGTACGTACACAGGCAATTTTTTTTTCAGGGTGGATTTTGAGTTATCGAAGAACAGCTCGAGCCTCGACTACCAGTGGAACAAGCCGAGTGGGACTCCTGGGACAGGGAGAGGTATTTATTACAAGTTCCCGGCCTCAGACTGTTTCACGATGTCAGTCTCGCATCCCACCGTCTCCTCACACTGAGGATGTGACATTACAGCTCTCGCCGGGGGATCTTCGTCTTCTCCTCCCTCCTCGATTCACAATTGCGGTGCGGTGCACGTGCGCGCCTCTCGCGGAGCAGCCATTGGCGAGGCGACCCGCTAAGTCCCGCCCACCCGCCTTGCGTCAGCACTGCGCTGTCCGTGTGGGTCTGCAGCGGGCAGGCGAGCCGCACTGCACACCGACTGAACCGGCAGGGGCGAGGCGGCATCCATCATCGCTATGGGAATTAAGCGCAGCGTCCTGAGTGACTCGAGCCCTCAGCCCGCTCCACCCGGAGACACAGAGTATAAAGCAGAGCAGCCCAGAGCCCCGACCAGCTCTCCCTCCTCCGGTGCGCCGAGGAGGACTACGGTGATGGTGATCAGTCACATCTAGAGATGAGAAGTGTTACTCAAGCAGACAACTCGGACAAGGACGTTTGCTCGACCCTCAGCCGTGCTCTCTGATTCAGGATGATGTCTGTCATCCATGTGTCCGCCGTGGTGAGTGCATCACACACCCGCCCAGCTCTCTCCACGGACCGCTTTTAATCGTTTATTCTAAGGGGGCTGCTTCGGCAGGTTCTCCATTTAAAGGGACAGCGCATGTTTTTTTGAGAACAAATTTCTGAATCAACTTGGAATCAATTGACTGAAATTAATGTCACATGGTAAAAATAAGGAGAGAAAGAGAGAAATTGACTAAAAGATATTATTTTATTGTATGGTAAGTAAAAAGTATTTTTAGGTGGAAATTTAACAGTGGGTGAACAGAACAAAAGAGGGGAAAAAAGTTTGCAGTTGGTGACAAACAAAGGGCAGCCAGCAGTCTATTGTTATCCAGAATCAGCCCCGAAAAGGCTGCAGATATGTTTGTTGGTTTATTGTCCAGATCTAGAATTTGTTGGATTCATTGTAATCATAAAAAATAAGTCATTAGAATTTTAATTAAGTCTATAGATTGATAGATGGCATCCAGTCATAATTGCAAGTCAACTGCTTACTAAACTAATATATATTTCTAAACTAAAAATATGTGATTTGTTTGAATATAAATCATAAAACGACAGTACATCTAAGTAGTGATTATGCGTTTCTGAAATCTAGGTACATCTGTGTTACCATGGTGATCCTTGGTATGTGTTGAATATGCCTCAACAGGCATTACTGGTAAAGATATGTTGATGACGATTAGTCTGTCGCATTTGCTTTGCAGATGCACACCCATTTATCGGGATCTTATGTGATGGACCAACATAATGTTGTACATAATAGATGAAGTCGATGGATAATTAGATGTGTTTTTCAAAATTAACACTCGATCCGCCCTGAACACACTGACTCCATTGCAAAATGACCATCATGCTTCAAAACAGACTGCTTTAGTCTGTCGCATGAAATCCCAATAAATACAGACTTTTGTGGTGGTGCCATAACAAAAATTTGTTTGTCTCGAATCTTTAGTTTTATGCTTAAAATCCCTCTGACTTGAATTCCAACATACCCACAGTGTGAAATTGCTCAGCACAGACATCCCGGACAACCAAAGTCAACAGTTCAGACGTCATTTTTCACCACGAAGGAAGAACACAGCTCAGCTGGCAGAGCTCCCAGCTTCCGTCATTAGTAGAGAAGTGGAAACATCTCAACAGATAATTGTTGCCAGTTATTGTCAGTGATAAATCCAGTGTGAATGAGTCTAAACAGAGCCTCTTTCTCTCAGCTGTGCTGGACGATAGCGTTGGGACACACCGCAGCAGGTGCCAGGCAAACGTGTATGTGTGTGTGTGCGTATTAGAGGAAGTTCCCATGTGTATACTTTTGATGTAGTTTTGATTTGACGCGGTGTGTTGTGAGCCGTACTTTAATTGGACAGTAATGACATCCAAGTGTCTGCCAAAGCCGTTCCACCCATGCATGCACACAGGTCTTTATGTAACACACTTCTTTTAAATGGCCACTTGCGGTACTTAACATGACACGACATGTACTGTTAATGAAGTAACAGTAACAACAGAAGTAACAGTTTTTGTAGGATTTTAATTCTTGAACTGCTTACGAAAGTTGGATTGTTAGCTATGTTTGGAGATAAATTCTCCAAATCTTTTGCAGGTTTTTCCACAGTATTGAAAATATTCTACAGTCTCTCAATGTCATTGCAGATTAAGGTATATTTGGTGTCTGAACTATTAAAATACAAAGTTTTTAGCCTTTTACCTGTTATCGTAACCCTAACCCCTGTGAATACTGGAGGTGTACTGTACTCTGGTGTGTTCCTGGTACGGATAAACGTGAGAAAAGGCAATAGAGATCCATTCACCCATCCATCTTTAGACGCCATAAACATGTACTGTAAGTTACCAGGTGATTTTTTTTTCAAAGTGTCTCAAAAGGGCTGAGAAATCTGGAAATTTGAGTCTGTAAAAGTAAGAAACGTTACACCAAATTTGTCATCGTGTTTTTCTTGTTTTCGAGAGCACCATCTGTCTCAACTTGTCAACAATCCAATCCAAGAGACAACTTGACAGAGCAATGTGCTTCAGCTGAAGATAAACCTGACAGTTGTCTGCATACAAAACAAAAGAAAAACAAACGAAAACAATAAACTTTTATTTTTTTACAGAAAATAATGGGAGAAGGTAATATGAAAAAATAGGATGACCAAGAATGGATCCCTGGTGTACACCTCCGTGGAATTTCAGTGGAAGTTGAGAAACATGCTTTAATGACGACTGAAACCATATCAAACGCCTTACAGACAAACATCTTGTCAGTGGCGGGCCGGTTGTGGCGATGGGCATCTGCAAGCGGTTTATTTTAGGACGATGTTTGGAAATGTTAAGACGCTCATATTCGCCGCTGTCTGTTCTTCATCTAATGTGTCCGCTGGTTGGATGTACTTGTCCTTAACTTCCACGGGGTTTGTGCTCCGGCCAAGAAGCTTTGGCCCCGATTCTAATCAAATGCAGGACACGATTCAGCATTTTTGACAGAGAGGACCAAACAAACATTGCGTGATGAAGTATGCGTTTTGCTCTGGCAGCCCATCACATGCCGGAAACGTTCAGACTATTTTATGCTGTTGGGAGAAAAAAAAAAAAAAAAATAGGGAAGTTGAAGCAATTGGGGTTATGTTTAAATCATGTGTTGCCCTGGTATACGACGCTCGCATGCGATTAGATGGAGAGCTGAACATGTCTCTGGTTGAATCACACTGTGACTGCCGCTGGAGGTAGAGAATTCCTGTCCTATTGATGGGCTTTGACTGGACCTGTGGGTGTTTTTGTTTCATGAGGAAGTCCTGAGTCACTTTCAGGTGTAAAGTTTGTCACTTTACACCTGAAAAACCTCAAAGCATTTTATTAGATTATGAAATAGGTCAACAGAAAATACGTTGTCTCTGTGAAACAATAGATGCATTTTGAATGATTTCTCTTTTATGTTTATTTATTTTTTTACAAGCGCACGCTGGTAGCCTTAAATAAAAGTTAGTACAACCAACTGCCTTCAGCAGTCAATAAACAGAGAACAGTTAGTTATGTCATTTCAAAGATTTTCCAGGTGTTCAGTTTCTGGTTCTGTAATGTTTTAGTTTTTATGGGTGTGGGGGTGAGTTCATCCCACTCCTGTTCCGTCCGCTTTAATCCAACTCCAGTCCGTTTCTCTAGAAAGTCTGGTTCATTTGTTAGGCGTGACCATCTAATCGAATTCTGATGTGGACCAAACTCTCTCTCTCCACTTACAAACTTATGTCTCATCATGGTGGAAGTGAACTCTGGCGCGATTTGTGTCGTGTGAACGCCTGCTGGGTAGAAAACGGCCTGCTGGTGGGAGGTGGCGCTTACTGAAACACAATGTTTTCAATTTGACCATTTTTTGAGGAAAGTTTTCAACAAACTTACCACTATGCGTTCGCACAAACAACTTGTTGAGTTTATCTGAATTCCCACTGTTGCGGAATCACAAAAAAACTTAAAACCTCACAGAGCTCTGTTTAGTTTTAATATTCTTCAGCATTTTCTTTTGAATGTGTGACAGAAAGAATTTGGACTTGGGATTCAGAGACTTTAGGATTACTCATGTATGTCAATTTTGCATGCAGAGATGATGGTTGAGGCCGGGGTAAATAAAAGTGCCCCGTCCCCAGGCTTAACCCACCTTGAATCAGGGTCTCTCATTGGTTGGCCGTCCTGTGCCCCAGGCAGATCATGTATTTAGTGGTGCAGGCGGATTGAGGAGGAGTTGGCAGGAAAGGCCCAACCCTGGCAGCAGAAGGACTGAAATGGATTACTGTAGTGCTGATCAGCAGAGGTGGCTGCTACAGTGGCTCCAGACAGTATCTCCATGCCGTGTGTGTGTGCATTTTTCTAAGTGTGTGTAGTGTGAAAATGCTAGTACTGCACTTTGTTTCCTCTTCTGCTTTGTGTCTTTGATGACTTTGCCTTTTTTAAATTTATTTTCTAAATGACAGGGCTGATTTCAGTCTAGATGACCGCGGGGGGGTTGTTGACCACACAGGGAAGGAGACACAGATATGAACAAGCAGCTAATTAGGAGCAGGTATTTAGTTGCCATTGTTGCCCATCGCACTGCTCCCTTAACATGCTGAGTAGCAGCTGTCACAGTGCTTAGCACCATATGGTTAAAAAGTGCTGAGACATCTGGAATCTGCCTGCTTAGCTCAGAAAGCCCAAAAGATGGAGCCTTGACCTGGACCAATCAGCAGCCTTTTAACCCTGTAGTCTCAGTCTTTAAAAGAACCGGTGAGTATTTCTTCTAGAAGACAAACAAAATTCAAATCTATGTTTACGTTGGATAAAGTACCAGTTATATAAATTCCGGGCCTCAAATCTGAAAATGTAGAAGATAAAAACACTCCAGGAGCCTGATTGCACAAGTCTGCACAGCCTTTAGTTAATGCTATAGTGAAAGCTCTGCTGTCCCTGAAGGATTGTCCTGATATCAGCTCATTCTTTAGTAATGCCATAGTTAGTGGACAGTTTGCTGAGGAGCATCACTGTATCAAGGTTTCAGTCAAGAGAAGGGTACAAACGGCATTTATTCCTGCTGTCTGAGACATTCGCTGTTCGGTTAACAATGCTACTTTTAAAAAAAAAGAAAAAAGAAATGGCCTCATTATTGTAAATTTGCATTGTTTGGTAATTTATCAATACATTTCTGCATAAAAAAATGAGCGGTTATGGAGATTTATGATGCCAACAGTGACCGTGGCACAGCGAAGTCAGCCATCTTTAGTTACAGAAAATACAGGACAATTAAGTTTGAAATGGGACAAAATGGCTGCTAAGAACCTGAAGGCAATGCAAGAATATTATGTGCGTAGTGTGTACTTGAAATTTCAATATGTGTTTCTTTATGACAATTTTGAATACCAGTCAGTTCCCAAAACCTTCCTGTGTCTGCTAGAAAACCATAGTTGACTTTTCAGCATAAATGTGAGTTCAAACAGTCTAATGCTGCTTTGGAATGACCTCCATCTGACATATCTCATGATGTTATACAGGGATACGGCTCTTTACCACAGGTGTGCACACTGTTTGGATGAACAGCATATCTTAGTACTGGAAAAAACAAATATTTTTCCAGAATTATTCAAAATTTTCCATTGAATAACATTTGGATACTTAGTACCTTTTCCAACATAGAAACACTTTTCCTTTATTTAAGATTTTGATCAAAACTCACACTGATTGGTAAATAAGTACGCAACAATAAGGGTCAAGCTGAGGTCGGGGCAGATTGTCCATTGTTCCCTGGAACCAGCAGAATGTTCTCATTTTCCCACGACACGTGCTCCCTGCTGGAATTTTTCACTTTGAACATGGATGTGAATGAACGCATTGATTTCACTGACGCAACAGAGTTGGACGCTGTACGCTGACGACACTCTCTGATGTTTATGGATGAGGTTCTGGGAATGAACACAATGGACTGAAAGGATGTTGTGGTGATGGAAGGGCAGTGGACTGGTGGATGAAGGGACAACACTGAAGGTATTGCTAGTGTTTGTGTAATTGCTGTAAAGACTGAGTTTTGGAAATTACTTTTCAAAAAATACTTCCAATCATACCACAGATTTGTCCTTTCAACTCCTATGTGATCTGGGTGTAAAATCTTCCTAGTGAAGGCTTAGTAACAAGTAACATGGACTGGTAAACAAGTTATAAGGCTAAAAAGAGTTAAGGAAGGTATGTGCCCTGTATCAGATTAAGAAAACACTTAAAGATATGGGAAACAACTATAGCCCCCAAAGACTAAATATGCACTGTACGAAATCTGATCTGATATATTTTAAATAAATTTTAACTACGCTGTCCTACCTGAGCCTATGTTTTTCATTTACATTTCTCAGCCTGGAAGGGCTTGAAAAGCCATTTTGAAAGCTTTGGGACTCTATTAAACCAGAGTCAGAGACATTATCCACACATTAAAAAACATATGTGTATAATGAACAATTAAATTATAATTAACTTTTCAATTACTGGACTGGCCGAACAACATCAGTCCAATAGGGGTGATGGCCTATTGATTGGACTATAGATTATCATCAATTTATCCAATTTATTTGTGTTGTATGGAATTCATAAAACACAAACACCGAACATACTCCAGGCCTCGCTTTACTTAGTTAACGTCAGTGTTCATGATTCAGCAACAAGAATAGCAGCATGGGAGAGTTCCAAGTCTAAACTCACTAGTGACTCAAAAGAACACCCTGCCCCATTGCACATGTGCTAAAAAAACATCCCAGGATCTTTGGGGACCTATTCAGGGGACGGGTGAGACAAAAGTGGGATTCTTTAGAAGGTTCTCTCCTGTTGGATGATGTACCACTAAAAGATCCACCTATTTTCAATACGTGCTATCACAAAGCAAAACATCGACTCACAGGACAAACAGCCATAGACAATGTGTATGGTCCAGACAAAGAAGAACCCTGGATCTTCTTTCACCAGGGGAACCATGAACTGCACAACCGCAAAGTTTCTAAATTAAACGATTTAGGAGAAACAGCATCATAGCAGCAAATCCTAAAACAGAACGTCCGACCCTCGGTTTACTACTGTGAAGGGCACTTTGTTTAACTGACTCAGGCTATGCACATATGTACATTACATGACACTTCTCACCAGCAGACCACTGTTTACTGGTGTAGTTCAGGCTGTATGGTCCATTTGTTTCAGAAAGTATTGCACTCTTTAAACCACACAGCTTTACCATGTGGAGCAGCTTTTACCATCTTTAGTTTGAGAGTTAAAACTTAATTAAACTACAAAATGATGCATTAAGTTTCTCCACAGCGGAATATCTGTGCCTTTCATGTTGCAGGTATGACTCAATATATATGTCTGTGATGCTGAACCCACAAGTGTGTGTAATTCCACCAAAACCAGGAAGCTGACAACTTCCGAGCAGAGGTCAGAGGGCATTCTGTGGAGGCAAAGCAATAACTCCAGCTTACACTGGGGGATGAATCATCAGCTGTGACAAAAAGCCCACGAACTCCGTGCTGGTTGAGTCTCAGGATGAGTCACTGAGTTTCATTATGAGGAATTCTACGATGGCAGAGGTTTCAGGATGTAACTGTAACTTAACACACTTCAGCTTTTACATGTGCAGCCACAAATCAGGACAAAAAAAGTGATGTTAGTGTCAGGTTTAAACCCCTAACATTAGTAAAACACTACCTGGAAAGAAAGACAGAACACATCAGTTAAGTTTTACTCGCGAGGAGAGTGCCCCAGAGACGTACATCAGTTACAATCTCCAACACACTCTGAGTACGTCTTGGCTCTCAACGCCTTTTATTTTCTTAGGTCACCCTGGTTACACAAGGACACTGTAGCTCTAAAAGGGATTGGGTAAACAATTCATCACACAGCTACAGTGCCAGTTCTCAATTCCCAACTAAGTGTTAGATACAAATACAAAGACCAGGAGAATACAATGCCCCTGGGATCAATTTGTGTTTCTTTTATCTTTGAAGTGATGATGATTCTGTCACCTCGGATGGCCAGGGCAACATCCAGCCTGATAGGAAGAATGGGTCGTTTGCATGCAACCCAAAGTCTCAGGAACTGAACTTTATGACCCCAGGGACAACAAACAAACTGTAACCTCAGGAGATGCAAAGACAGTACTTTGATAATGTATATTGTGATTGCATCTTCTTCTATGTAACACAATTATCTTGTACGTGATAATCTTGTTCCGGACAACAAACAGAATAAGTAGTTAATCTTCACAGTAACAGTTTTACAGCATTCCAACATACATAGTAAGAAAAACAATACATGGGATAACTTACATACAATTATTCCAACAGTTAGTAACTTTGGCACTGATGTCTTCAACTACCATCTGAACAGAGGAAGCCGATGTCAGAAGATCCTGCCAAAGCAAGATGAAAATAATTCATATTCCAAACCAACTCACCTGCTCTTTCCTGTTCTCCTCTCAGCTCCTGTGCACGGTGGTGGCTGACATCTCAGCCCGAGCTTTGACCACATCCACCGCAGACGACCAGCCCCTCCTCTCTCCACGCCACTATCAGCACACAGACCGGGACTCTGGCACCCAGCTGGTCTGTGACAAGTGCCCAGCAGGCACCTACGTCTCCGTCCACTGCTCTCCGACAACAGTGAGGGAGTGCAGCCCCTGCCCCAGGGGCACCTTCACACGGGGAGAGAACGGCGTCCAGCAATGCCACCGCTGCAGGGCTCCGTGTCCCGTGGGCTTCGTCGAGAAGGCGCCCTGCACGGCCACCCAGGACCGAGTCTGCACCTGTCCGCCCAACACATTTCTGTCGAAGGCCGACGGTTTGGAGTGCAAGCCCCACTCCCTGTGCCCGCCGGGGTCCCGGGTGAAAAGGCGCGGTACCGAAAAGGAAGACGTTCTCTGCAAGCCGTGCACGAAGGGCACGTTTTCTCAGGTGGAATCCAGCGCCATGAGTTGCAGAAATCACACGAACTGCAAAGCTCTGGCAAGACTGCTGTTGACACCGGGGACAAGACAGACGGACAACGTGTGTGGACCCCCTTCTGCCACTTTGTCATCTGTTCCTCCGACCGCTCCACTGGGGCCTGCGCAGGCTGTGTTTGTTCAGGAGACGATGATGTCCTCGGTCTCCCCATCGTTGAATGGACATGCACGTAAAGGTGAGGCGGCCATAACACACTTCTCTTTTGTTGAGAAGAATTCCCATTCAGGTATTTATTTGACTCAGTGAAAGCAAATCCCAAGAGGAGAAATGACACAAAACATAAGTGACTGCATTTGGTAAGAAAACTTGTTAGAAGAATTAAAAGTGTGGAAGTTTTAAGGTTCACTTAAGAATATAAGAAAACAACCCCAAACATACAGTGGAGTGTTTCATGTGTTAAAATGGCCCTGTCAAAGTCTACACCTAAAACTGAAAAACTGTGATAAGACTTGGAAATAGACCCTTGCGTATTCTCTACATAGAGAATATGTGGAGAATATATATTGGCTGACATGAAGCTACTTTAAAAAGAAAAACCTTCCGTGTCCAAATGTGAACCGGTAGCAACATTAAAGCTGATTCAACAAAGTCTTGACTTGGGTCACGCTTCATAGAAATGTGTGTCACATTTTTGTTAGAAAAAAAAAAAGTTAAACTATGTATGAGATAATTTGTGTTGGTTTATTACAAAAAAATCCCAGTAAAGCACACTGAGGGCTGTGGTTGCACATGAAGAAATGTGGAAACATTATGAAAACTGTTACATTGGTGCAGATTGTGTATTTTTTTGACGTCCTCAGTGCACACATCCCCCCCCCCCCCCCCCCCCCCCCCTCTCTCGTTCAGGCTAGAATTCCCATAGGTAGGATTTCTGTTGGCATGGAAACAGCAGGCTGACCCTGTATGCCAGGAATGATTGCATTTTCTAGGTGACTGGAGGTGTTGGTGGAGGAAAGACCCTCGGTAGTTCCCCCAACGTTTTCCCGTTTTGTTTGCCTGACTCGTCATGCCTGTACCCGTTCTTACGTCATGCCCGTCTGAGACAGCCACGCAGTCATTTCTCAGAATCAACCATCCATAGCCAGCATACCTCTCCTCCACTAAACCCCCCACAGCCATAATACTGTCACTGCTGTTTGTGTTGGCAGGGGATCGATGGCCTTTGAGCCAGTTAATTTGACACCGTCTGAGCTGTTAGAACCGTGGTGGGGGGTGGGCGAGTGGTTGGGGCTGTTCTATTTACAATGAAAGATGGGGGGCGGGGCTCACCCTCATTCTGAAAGGAGAGGAAGATTAGATTGAGTTGTAAAGTTTCTGTAAAAGAAGTCGGTTTGTGTTCCTTTTTTTTTTTTTTTTCTATAAGTAAGATAATTGGAGGTTACATCACACATCTCCTAGCAACCAGAAATGTTCAGCAGAGATGTTGCATTGATTGTTGTATCCACCTCACGCAGTGCGGGCTGTCGGCTTTTCCAGGTTTTATTTAAGCTTTAAGACTTTAAATTCATTAAATACATGGAATCTATGGAATCTAGCACAGGAAATTATTTAAGCACAATTCGCTCGTTTACGTACAAAAGCCCAGAGGAGGAACCTTTGTTTTTTTGTTTCTGGTACGCCTGTAAATCCGATGCACAAGCAACATTCGCAAGCAACAATGATGGGCGACAAAGCTGCATCTCTTGGCCCTCTGGGGGTTAACCTTATTTAAAAAAAAAAAAAACTATCTGATTGGACTCTGGAAATGTGCTAAAAACAATTAGCTTATCAGTGAATATTTTATAGCTTAAAACAGAACTAAACATGCAGCAGCAGCAGACAAACAAAACGCTAATGTCAGCGTCTGTCGTCCACATTTCTAAAGAAAGATTTTTTCACTTTTAAAGAAATTCCATGAATGATCAGGGGATCCTGAAACATCTGAAAATTGAATAGAAATCCCCACCAATCTGATGGCTTATTAATATAAATAACAAATCAAGAACAATAAATATCCTTGTAGTCGAGCTCATATGTCTTCATTCACTAAGCTGGCAGCAATTTTTTTAAAATTGAAAATGTTGCTTTTGCCAATTTGGTTTTTGATTTAATTGCATTTAATTAAGTACAGACCTATCAGTTAAGCTCCACCACTAATTTAAAGGTACACTCTTCACATAATCGAGTATTTTGACATTTTGACTAAATTGGTGGTGAGATTTGTTTCTTCAACCCGTCATGGGATGAGTTTATTAGTTTTTTTACTGCTTAAATGCATATCCAAACGGACCTTTATACAGTATAGAATATTTAAGCAACTAACTTCCATAATTTTTTTTTTAAAACTTGCATTCGATGCACTTTTTAAATTAATTTTCTCTAGTCCACCTGGAGTGAAAATGTTATATACATGACACTTTAAGTCACATTTAGACATATGTAGATGCTCAGCATGTACGCTTCTGCCCGCGAACTATAAATGCCTGCAGCATAAAAAAAACTCATGATAATAATAATAACTCATGATAGTAATAACAAGCCAAAGGTATTTTTTTATGGACATATTTATATGGTTAACCCTGAAAACTAATAGGATTAGTGTCAGTAGACTCAATTTGGACTAAAAACTCTTAGCTTTGCCCTTCGAGACCCATAAATCTTGAGCTAAGCAGTTGTCCAATCAATAGAAATAACTCAATTTTACACTGCTGGCAGAATTAATGCAAAGTTCTCCATTATGAGACATCTGCCACACTGGTTTTCACTTCAACAACTTCTTTTGATTGAGTTGATAGACATTTTCTTTCTTACAGTTTTAGTTTCGGAAGATAATCAAGCCACAAATCCTGTTATATATATACTCAAAAGTGTGTCTGTATAAAGTCAAAGCCTCTCCAAGGCCCCAACACCTTCTCTGTCCCCGTGTTTGTCATTGACTGGTTTGTCTCCCTGCTTTACAGTTCTTGTCAAAATGTCACTTTTAATTTCTGGATTAGAGTCGCACCTGGCCAATGTTCTGCTGATGAGAGGATAAATAGGATTATTATACATCAGAATGACAATTTAGAGATTATGGAACTCAGATCCCATCGTCATTAGGGCTGCTGAAGCACAGAGAGCAGCAGGGAGATTGCATCGATAATCAATGGCAGGAAGTGACGCACTGACATTGACAAACTTTTTCTTTTCCATGCCTGGAGAACACTCACTAAGCAGCTGTTGTTAGTGGTGGGTGCAACACACCACCCTAACTGCCTCCACCCATCCAGCTGATGCGTCCAGCACCGACTGTGAAGTGTCGGCCAGGACAACTTTTCAAACTGCTCCTTCGGCTGAGTCGAATCCTGATTAGGTATCCCCTGGCTTCAATTTAATCAATAAGCAAACTGTGGCGTGAGCCATTTTGGACTGTATCTGCTGTGGGATTACCAGCCAGGGCTGGAGCAAAGCAGTGGGAGCAGACAGAGATTAAGGGTCCTTAATCAGCCACAGCTTGATGGTTCACAATTTGTGTGACGCGTGCATTTTGTCGCCTCCAAATGTAACTTGTGGGGATGAGCTCATCGGCATTATGATTATCTTTCTTTTCTTTTTTTTACTCTGCAGTGATGATACCAATTTGAAATCATTCTCTAGCAAAGCCTGAAATGTACACTGAGTAGCCACGTAACAGGGAATCAGCCTGCCGCACTGAAGGAACTCGGTGCATTTATGCATCTCAGTTTGAGCATCAGAATGAAAAAAAAAAGTGGTTTTAATTGACTCGATGTGGTTGTCTGCTTTGAGGAGACGATGAGCAAAACTGTTTTAAAATAGCAGAAAGACAGCAGTCGTTTAAATGACCACTATTGAAACTAAGCGATGTGGAAAACCATCTCTGAACATACAATATGTAGACCTTTGAAGCAAATTATAACTTGCACCGGCTAATTTTAGGAGCCTGGGGCTAAAACATGACTCAGCCTCAACAAAACTGGACAATAGGAGATTGGGAAAAGGTCTTCTTTCTCAATTGTTGCTATGGGTTGCTTTATACCAATCAAACGTCATTTAAGCACAACACTCTATCTGAGTATTTTTGCTGACCATGTCTACCCCTTTATGACCGCAATGTAGCAACCGTCTGATGGCTTCCAAATACGACAATGTGCTCCTTTTGGGGTGTGGTTGAACAGGAGTGCACGGTGCTATCACGTCATTATGGACCAATCTTTCTAAACTGTGTTTTTGACACTGTTTTGAATTATTTCCCCAGAGGTTTAAGCCGTTCTAAGGCCAGTGGAAGACTGGCAGAACTATGGCTTATGAGGTCGCAGATGATGGCCCTCGTAAAACTCCACACTTAAAACATTTGGAGCTATAGCTGCAATCTAAATATCAGGGGAAGACTCTTTAAAAATGCTAATTGAAGGTCATGCTTGCTTTTGCACTCAATTATTAACCTGTAGAGTGACACCTACTAGCCTGATGGAAGGATCAAATATTTCTCCACAGCAGTGGTCTCAAACTCCAGACCTCAAGGGCCGGTGTCCTGCAACCTCAAGAGGTCTCTCTTCTTCTTTCGAGTTTTACTTGTGGTTGGTATCTTAAGGTGCTTTTACTGTCACCTACTAGCCTGGAATGAATATGTACTATGCACTGGAATTAAATGCCTGAACGTGTCACCAGTACGAAGTCGAGGTTTACAGATCTCTGCTAATGAGCTAATATGTGCTGAAAAGTTGCAAGACACAAGAACTGGAATTTGAGACCACTGCTCCACAGTCATGTCAGCTAATTGTTATCCTCAAACCTCTCTCGCTTACTTGCACAGAGTTAGACAATTGATGAGTTTCTAAACTTAATATCATATGGCATGATCAAAGAGTGTCACTCCATGTTTGCCAGTTTCCAGCATCATTTATAGCAACGGGTAGAAAATCTAATTCAATTCACTCAACTGAACATATGCTTAACGTAAACTACTAAAACATAAGATATCACGATGGAATCCTGATCCATGCGAGCAGTCGATAATAACCAAGAGTAAGTTCTATCCAGCTCCAGCACTCTTCCCCAATTGATTGTATCAGTTTTTTGATTAGTTTTTATAAAATACAGTGCTAACCATCTCAACACCTCAGAAGTACTAGACTCTTCCTAAGTAAATGCCACACACAGAAACGGGGAAAAGTGTCCCAGATTGTTTGCGTAGATGAGGATTTCCTCCTGTAATACCTTCTGTTTTCCTGAGCAAATCTCAAATGGAGTGAATTTAATTCCCTATGTCTGTGTCTCTGTTGCTTCTTATCTCTTCTGTACCATCTCCGTTCCTTTTCCTCATCTTATTACCATATCTTTGTCTCCATCAAATCCATTGTCAAACAACACAGATCCCTCGAGCCAGTCAGCAGCCATTCAACTGAGGAAAGCTGTAGGCGGGGAAGACGGCGGAGCGGAGTTAATGCTTCCCCTTTCTGGCGTCCCCACTCCACCAAATCAGGAAGTGTCATGGACTCCCTTGTTGGTGGCTCAAAAGCAAGCCATGGATCTCAAGAAAGAATTGGGCGAATCTGAAACTGATCCTGAGCCTGGGGCAAATAAACCAAGAATGGAGGGTGCAGTAGGCCCAGAAGTTGTTAGGGTTGGAACAGGCATCAGTAACCTGGTTAACTTGGGGAATGCGGGTGAAGCCTCCAACTACTACAGACCCAACCGCAGAGGGTCACCGAGGCCAACCATGCATGATCACTTTGACATCAACGAGCATCTGCCGTGGATGATAGTTCTGCTGCTCCTGCTGGTGCTGGTTGTGATCGTGGTGTGCAGCGTCAAGAGGAGCTCTCGGGTACTCAAGAAGGGCCCAATGCAGGACCCAAGCAGCATCATGGAGAAGGCAATTCACAAGAAGACAACTGGGACTCCAACACAGGCCAGAGAGAAATGGATCTACTACTACTCCAATGGCCAGGGTAAGCATGATTCTTTCAGTTTTAGCATTTAGTCTACTGCTTTAATGCTGATGGGTTACTTTTTAGCCATGTATAAATATTTATGTATATTATGTCCCAACTAGATACAATAGTTCCCTTTCAGGTAGTTGGTATTGCTGAAGGGTAGGAAGATTTCTAACAGGTATCAACCACTCTACAGTTGGGACGTTCTCAGCATCTCACCAGCGATGCCTTAATCTGCTTCACAGTTTTAGCTTTCATGACTAAATATTGAATTCATGTTGCACACTCGTGGTTCCACTCGAGTGTCGCGACATGCCTCTGCTGATGTGGAACCATGTGTTGATGTGTTTGAACTGCTGTTAGCTTCTAATCCAATCAATTGTACCCCAGAGCACATGTTGTACAGGGCAGCGGTTACACAAATGAGGACATGACCCTGTTGTACCACCCTTCTGTTGCTGTCCTCTCTCAACGTCTACATTCAGGTTCACTTCCAGACCTCCGTTCTCAAATTTCACCTCTGCATGAACTTTCTTTTCTGCTTCCATCACCTTCATATTGGTCCTCTTAGTCTTTTCTTTTACAAAGTTTTCCCAATTCTACTGATTCTCATTCCCTTTTCGGTCTCCTTCTTACGGCTTCACATTGTCTGTTGCCATTGCTCTATTTCTGTGTGGTTTTTCTGTTGCACACAATCCTTTCCTTCTTTCTGTTTCCAGTTGCACTCACTGTTTCTCTTCTAAAATGTATTTACATCTGTTACCTTCTATGAGGAGGTGTGGAACATGCTTTCTCCACCTCCAAGGTCTCAGTTTCTCTCTTAGACAAAGAAAGGTGACCCAATACTAAGGGGACACCTCTCGGTTAATACACTCAGGTTTCCCCTTTGAAAGTTAGTATGTGTGTGTGTGTGTGTGTGTGTGTGTATGTGTTGTTGAGATGAAGCTGAGCCACCTGCCTCTCTCACACTGTGCTCCCTCAGTGACAGCCCACAGAGAACTGGAATAATCTGGTTTCAGCTGAACCAGGGTTGTTGTTGGGTTGGCAAGGCACATTATTGGGTCGATCGGGTCTCCAGCGGGACAACAAAGAGACATATGGAGAGAAAGCAATGAGGAGAGTACATCAAACAATACAGTGGTGTGTGTCAGTGTGAGTGCTATTGATGTGTGTCAATGATAATGTTTCCTTGCTGTAGTTTTGCTTTGCAAGATGTATAAAGTTTTAGAAGAAAAAAGAAAACAAAAAAACAACAACAACCAAACACAGTGACAAGAGGATTTCAGTTGCCGCTCTTGTGTCTGCTGTGTTGATTGTATTCGATGGTTTAGAGTTGCTTCTACAGCTCATTGCTAAAATATTTGTACAAACCACAAATTTGACTGTCTTCACTTTCTATGTCATAGACAAAGTAGTGCATACATTCAAAGCAGAAGGAACGTCACATACTTTTTCAAATTTGTTCAAATGAATTCAAAAACTCCCCATCATATGAGCTCCCAGTTCTTTAAGGCACGTCCCACTTTGCACAGAAACTGCTGCTCCTCCAGAGTCACTATTGTTGTCTTGGTTGCTTCTCTGATTAATGCTTTCCTTTCCTGCTTTCCTGTGTTCAGCCCAACCACTTCTGGGTAGAGCAGCAATATACTCTTTTATTTTCTCTTGGATCTTTCTGTGTTCCTTGATCTTCATTATGCTGACTGTTCATTAGCTTTCTTCTCACACTGAGATTAAAGTCCGCACATGCTGACTCTACTTCCTAACTAGGTAGCAGAGTATTTGCTGCACTGACTTTATTTAGTTGTTATGGCTTGTACAAACTTAGCCATGTCTTTATAAAAATGAATGTCGCTGTGACATTGTTTACAGAAATAACATCATCCGGCTTCAGAAACATTTTCAGTTGCACAAATCCACCCCTGAGCATTGTTTCATACATGCCAAACCCATAGGGGGCAGCGTAGCGCAAAGCTCAAACCTACACCAGCCAATCAGAGCGCTTAAAAACAACAACGACTTCCTGTTAGGAGTTAAATATGGTGCTCATTTGTGTCGACAAATAGGTTTAAATATTTTTTTAATAGCATTTTAGAGGATAAAGTTACTAAAACGGGTTAATTGAAAATCATGTCAAAGCAAGAAAGTGAATAAATACAGAATTTTCTCAAAGATAGATGTGGCTGGGTGTGGACATGGCAATAGAATAAGTGGAGGTTGAATAATGTCTGAAACATTTTTATTTTTTAAAAAACCAAAAAAAACTATTTAAACTAATACACATTTTCCCTTTCACTGCTTGACCAAACAACTATCTTCGGTGGTCAACCTCTTCCAATAACGATAAAATATGCTGTGTGAATTGGAAAAAAAAATCAGCAAAAATATCAAAAAGTACTAAAACCCTCGCATAGAATCGATCAGTAATCTCGATAGTGTGACCCGATGAAATGTGTTTGTGTGTCACAATGAAAGCTGAGCATTAGCAAAGCTTTGGAGGAATTGTTTTCCACTTCAACCTTTCCCTTTATTGCGCTCATGTGTGTTTTCCCGATGTGTGTTCCCTCCTGATGAGTAATGCCGTGCCCATATGCATGCACTTATGTGGAGCTATATGTATGCACATGCAACTCAAACAGCTAGTTTACGCTGCTATTTATTCTCTGGAACATAAAACGAAACTGCTTCTTAATCCTTCCAAGGTGCGTGGCTGGCTCCCCTTGAAGGTTGTAATCCACCTTTACTAGAGCAGTTAAAGCAGTCGGGCAATAAAGGCGAAAAGAAGGGGAAATGTTCAAGCATGGATCACACACGTGCACCGCTTGGCATTCGCTCTGAGCCAGCCAGGAAATGGTAAAAAATGCTACTCCTCCACAGTAAGGCCAGGCAGGGCTTTCCGGGGCCCCGGGCCACGTTTGTGTTGCTGTGGTGAGGGTGGAGCCGTCACACAAAAGGAATCACAAAAATGTCTCATAAAGGTTACATTCGAGACATTTACGAGCCCTGAAACTTTTGAACATTTTCCCTCAACTAAACTGTACTATAATAGGTTAATTTCCTCTGTATACCTTCCCTATTGTAGCTATGCAGTAATAAAAAAGAACATGAATGTTGTCATTTGATTCTCCTCAGGTGAATCTGGAGGCTCTAGATGCAGATGCAGAATCTGTTTGGTTGATTGTTGATTAAAAGTTTGTCAACATGAAGTTAGATTTTGAAATTATTTTCCAAGTCACTTTTCTAAGCATTTTTGCTTGATTTACTCGTTATGTGCTTTGCTGAAGAGACAAAACTTCCGGGTTTTTGATTTGAACAAAAAATTTTTGAAAAATTTTGACACTTTATTTTTACCCCAAATCACAACTATCCTTGATTTCCAAACTTTTTTAGACATTGTGATGAACACTGAATAAATTATCTTCAGCGAATTTGATGAGCTACTGAATTTGTGACAACCCTGGCTATCTTGCTGACATGAATGACAAAAGTGATAAAAAATAATATTTTGGGTGTGTGTGTATTTTTAAGTGGAAATTCTCAAAATGCAAAGCCAAATAAAGGCTGGCTTGAGTGGCCAATGGCAATTACAGTGTAACTACAGATACTGACGATCATGTAGTATATTCAGTTGTTCAAAGTGCATTGAGATTTGTGCCGCTCTATGTTGTCACGGGAACCGTGTAGTTTTCTAGCAACCCCTATGTCTGCATATCCTGCAGGCGTACGACGACAGCTTCATCTGAGTGTTTTTCTGGACAGTAGGATGTGTTCAACTGGTCTGTGCTGGTATAGCATTTTGTCAAGTTCAGACGACTCCAAAGCTCATTGACCCCTTCATAAACATTCACACACCAATGGTGGCAAGCTACTATGTAGCCACAGCTGCCCTGGAACAGTCTGACAGTAAAGGGGGCTCTAATGCATTCAGCATCACCAGACCCTCTAACCACCACCAACAGGTGAGGCGGGTGAAGTGTCTTTCACCTGTTATTCCTTTTGATTCCCGTTATAGTTTTGCCAGAACCCCGGAGTGTGTAAACATTGGTCCCGAATGAACTATTCCTTCTGGTTCTTTGCCAGAGAACGTATTTCACGTCGTCACGGCTTTATTGAAAACACCAGCGGTGTCCAAGGCAGCAGATTAATCCCGAAAGTGAAACTCAGCACAAAGGCAACGGCCATACCCTGAAGAGAAGATCAGGTGGGTGTGGTCTTGAGCTGTGTTATTTACAGCATGCAGGTCCAAAGAAAGACACGGAGGAAAACGTGAAGAAAAACAACATTGTACCTGCCCACCATCCTTCCTCGTTAAACATCCACACCTTTAACAATGCCAAGTACCACATCCAAAGCCAGCGGGGAGCCATGTGTTTGACTACGCTGCTGTGTGCAGTATCAGGGTGGGCCGGGGTAGCCTGGGACTGATTGCAAGGAGCAGAATTTGAGGGGGTTGTTGCCTGGTTGGAGTTTCGCAGCGCCTGCTGTGCTACCACACAGCTGCACACACATTTCATCAATTTAGTTTTGTGTGTTCCTGAATTAACGGGAGAGGACTATGTCGTGAATAATTCAACTGAACGGTGTTTGTTAAGATGCTGACGCACACACCGCCCTGCTTCACGTCCTGCTGCAGACTGCGACGGGGCTCGGAGCCGAGGCGTCGTTTTGGGTCTGTTCATGTCCATGTGGTGTTTGAAATGTGTGTTTAAAAAAAAAAAAACACAATTTCTGGGAAAAGGCTTGTCAATAAAAACAAACAAAATAGCACTTAGCTTATGGGGCCACTCTCACTCTGAAAGAGCCACATAAGTGTGACCTCGTCAATAAACCTCACAACACTGGTAGAGTTCCAACCGGGCCCATCAATGAACAGAAGGAGTTGTGAACAATGACGCTGATTTTCGGCGCTGTTATAGAATTGTAGTCTGCCTGCAGTGGAGGAAGTGAACGGCCTGATGTTGAATTCGTTCAGGTCGAGCCTTCTCTCTTCGCAGTGGTTTCTCATTGTCAAACTGACGCGTTGCACACGCCACGGTCAAACGTTAGTGTGTGTCTGAAATAAAACCAGCTTAGCATGGAATGCGTTGCCATCAGGGAAGTTGTAACTGTTCTGTCATGTGAACTAGTATTGGTGATGTTACTGACTATTTGGAGATGTAGAAAAAGACATTTTAATGCTCACCGACAGCAGAAACAGCTTGTAGGTCATGTGAGGTAAATGTTGGTACATCAGGATGTATTTTCTCTTTTGAAAAAGCCGCCAGTGTAAGAAAAAACTTTATTGCAAAACCGAGAAAGTGTTTTTCAGATTGTTGTTGTTTCCACCAAACTTTCCTAATGTGATACATCAACATGCTTCTGAAAAACATTGATAGAAACACAGATAATGAATCTTTCTCACTCTGATGTTTTTGCTGTCGCTGTTGGGTTTCTCTGCCCACTTCGCCCTCCACAACCTGTTTTTCTTCCAGAACTCTGAGCCCCCTTAGATTTGATCTGTCTTCTATCGCAATGATCTGAGATGTCTTATCTGTTCATGCCACTGTGAAAGAAAACAACAAATCGCCAAGTAAGATGAATAACTTTTTTGCACATTTATGAGTCAAGCGTCGGTCTTGAGACTTATGTCTCATTCAGTGCAACAAATATGGCGAGCTTTGTCTCATTAAGCGCTTCTCATGCAAAAATCACGTTTGCGTCGTTGACGCACTACTGGATCACTCGATTTGTCCCATTTAGGCACCAGTATGTCACTTTAAAGGGCAGACTCTCCATACCGCAAACACACAAACACGTTATCCGGCATAAGCCTCGATCGAACTCAGTTTTTCCACTTACCAGACTAACACATCTGCACTCTGACACACTGAATCTTCACGTGACTTATATAGGTCATTTAAACGAGTCCAGCTTGCTGTAGCTAGTGAAGTATACGGCGTGGGGGGGATTTCTTTTTTGCCGCAGTGTGTCGAGGCCAGAGAGGCAGATATGACTTGACAGGCTCTCTGCCCAAAAGGCCGGCACGCGAGCTCCTCTGACCTGATGAAATATCAGCTGTATCATCTGGAGCAGAAGTAGTGGAGTGTGTGTGCTTCAGCTTGAAGCCATCTGGGACAGAGAGACACTGCTTATTGAGGTCAAATAAAACGGATATGAATAATGTTGTTCAATTCTTGTAACTCATTAGTTCCGTTCATATTTTTCTCTTCCTTGGAACGACTCAAGAATACAGTTTAGCCAGTTTGGGACCTAAATTTGTTATTAATTGTTATATTTGGAACAGTTGTGATTTTATTTGGTTTTAAAGGGATTTTTATCAAATCTTTTTGAGTGTTTTGGGGTCAGATTAAGTGAGCTTTGTTTACATCTGAAATGTGAGAAAAAAAATCTGTTAATGTGGATCTTCAGTTTGGCAAATGATGTCTAAAGAATCAGGTCAAATCAAGTCGAACTTTAGTTTGTTTGCCTCGAATGTTTTGGGAGGTGTGAATGTCCAATTGAACTATGAGGAGGACCTAAACCGTAAACTCTGGTACAAACCTTGGGATCGGTAAGGTTAAGGTGAACTCCTGGTGCGGGTCGAATGCGCCTGTGAACACCGAGTAGACTGGAAACCAATCCAAGAACAAGAAGCAGACTATAGTGCAAAGCATTCTGGGTAAATACAAGCAAAACAAACGAGCTAGTCTACCGCTAGCGCAAGAAATGGCTCATGATGCAACAAAAGAGAAATCCTACAACCACTAAAATCTGATGCCGCTCCATTTTTATTTCCATTTCGTGACGGAAGTTGCCCTCTGTGTCTTCTTCAGAGGTTATGAGGTCATTCTTCTCAGTAGTTCTTGGTGAAGTGCCACCACGGGCAATGAGGTGGAGCAGCTTTTTTAAAAGTCTTTGGCTCGTTTGTCGCAGTGCAGTATGAAAACTATCCGCAGCAGCTGAAATCAGTCCAGTTCTGGTCCCCAATCGAAGCGAGTCCAGTGACTATCAGGTGTAAAAACACCCAAGAACAAATTACTTCTTGCCACCCCATGACCTTTTCAGTCTTGGATGCATCTTTTGGTTGCCTCTTTAAACATCCATACCTCACATGTACATGAAGACTTCCCTCTTGACTTTTGCGTTCATTAATTTCTCTGTTCGTACTTTCAGGACGTACATGTGATTCCTCATATATGTGTCACACCGCGAGTCACTATGAACTTACAGCAGCCTAATCTCTCCTCTCAGGTCTGAGCGCCTCATCCTGGATTTATGTACTTAGCATGCTTGCTGCCGCAGACGATAATCAGGGATCAACTTGATGCTCATCAAAACTGGAGGAACGCCGCGCCATGTTGAGCCTTTCTGGATGTAATGTGTTTTCAATGAATGCATAGTGTTTCTTCTTCCTCATATGCGAGCAGCCACTTCCAAATGCCGCGCCAGGAAGTGCGACGCACCATGGAGATGGGCTGTCTGGCAAGCTAATGGCCAGCTCTGGGTTTGGTGGTTACCAGAAACGCAGTGTTTGTTTTGAGGGTGCGCGAGTATGTTTTGTGCGTGTGTGTGTGTGGCTGCGTTTTGTCCGGCAGCATATCAATTTCAGTTCAGACGATTTTATTCTCTGGTCGGAGAATTTTAGCGGTGACCTGTTCCTAGACCGGACCACACACACACAGAGGAGCTCAATCTTTTCATCCTGCATGCCATACTGTCACGACATATTGGATGTCAGTTTTTGAGGAAGTTCCAACCTGAGGAGGTTTTCTATCAAGATGGGTTTCGGGGCTTTTGGACTCAGTTGGCTTTTATCTGACAGCTTCTACATATCAAAGGCGGAAGAAGGAGACATGGAGGACACACCTTAGATATCGCCGCAGGGAATGATAACCTCTGCGTATGGTGGAAAAATGTTCGCATGTGTCTCGTTTCTGCCACTTTCTGCATTGCTGGTTGGTTGAAGGGCAACAACGGAGCAAATGTAACACCGTCCTTCCTGTCAAAGCCACGCATTTCAAAACGAGACATTAGATAAAGACAGTTGCTTGCTTGCAGCTCTACAAACTCTTCCATCTCACGCAGCATCTGAACAGTTTGTTTTCGTCCATCCACAAATGACCTTTGACCTAATGTGCTCGCTGTGGAAGGAGCACAATGAGCTCGTGTTTCTGCCGTCGACGGGCCTCGTGTGTTGAGACGCCGATGAAGAAAGAACATTCTTTTGAAAAGTGTTTCGAACTGATAAACCTTGACTTGGTTCTGAGAATGCCAGGCTTTCATCCCGGTAACTATGTCTCAAAATGTTAAGTGCAGCTGAACAGCTCCCGCAGTCTTTCTCTTGGCGACTGAAACAAAAATATTGATACAATATTGAGATATTTCTTCATATCTCAATAAGAAATATCTCAGTCTGACCAGCAATCTACTAGGATACCCTTGGCCTTGTTGCAACTCAAAATAAATTGCTGATGCACGAAAACAAAAGGCTGAGTTCGAGTTGGCGTTAAACGAGTTACTCGAAACGTAAAAGTGAATTGAGTCGTTGCTGAGTCAGCGTTTCAAAGTTGCAGATTGTGAGATTTATTGGAACTAAAGTGCCAAGACAAGTTTATTTGAATAGCACGTTTCAGCAACCAAGCAATTGGAAGTGCTCTTTACATGATAGCATGGCAGAGGCGTAATGAAAAAGTAATGAAAAGTTGGAATACAGACTAAAATTAATGATGTCTGAGTTATTACTAATCAAAGGCAACGCTTGATTTAAAGGAACTCTGTGTTTTCAGCATTTATGTCGTTTTCTGGAAGTTTGCTCCAGATTAGAGGAGCATAAAAACTAAATGGTTGTTCTCCATGCTTGGTTCTGGTTCTGATTCTGATTCAATGATTAATGTACCAGCAGAAGTATTTTAAAGTCTATTCTCTGAGCTCCAGGGAGCCAGTGGAAGGACTTTAGAACTGGGGCGATGTTCTGTTTTCCTAGTTTTAGTGAGAACACGAGCAGCAGCACCATTCTCAATCAACTTAATTTGTAATTTACTTTTTTTCATGCAGATCTGTGAGGACACTGCTGCAGTAATCAATGTGACTAAAGACAAACACTTTGATGAATCTCTTCAGCTCTTGCTGAGACTTTAGTCCTTTAATCCTACGGAATGTTCTTCAGGTGACAGAAGGCCAACTTTGTGACTGTCTTTATGTGAGTCTGAAGGTTGAGGTCTGACTTCATCACTGTGCCCAGATTTCATTCTGATCACTAGTTTCCAGCTGTAATAACTGAAGTTGTGCATTGACTCTTGATTGCTCCCTTTTGCTCCAATGACAGCAACTTTAGTTTTCTTTCTGTTTAGCTGGAGGAAGTTATGGCACATCCACACATTTATTTGTTCGGTGCATCTCAATGTCACCTGGTGACATTGAGATGCATGGCTGTATGTAATCTGCATGGTTATGATAACCTATGATCTGAGTTAGAGTGAACTTGTATGTATCAAATAAAAGGGACCCCAGGATGGACCTTGCGGTACTCCGTATGTCATTTTAATCAGTTTTTATGAAAACTTGGCAGACCGACCTTCAGATAATGTAAACATGTAGTCTGACTTGCATGGCGTTACATAACTCACTTTGACCCCAGGGTGCCAGTCTTGTACCCTTGTATGAATTGTTTCCCAGCCCACGCTGAGATTGAGTGATGTCACTTGACTGCTTGTTCCAGGCTCCACAAAGCAGCCTCAGTCTCATTGAAGACATTTCACAATTCTGTACCAGTTCACTGACCTCCAAACTGGTAGAGTGCCAGTCTAGATGTTTTCAATGGGCAGCCGGGTCTAAACCTCCTGTCACAAATCCACTTTTAGTCCTGTTGTATTTTTGTAGGTCACTTACAGAGAGCAGCCATGTATTTCTTACAAGATCCAGTAAATTGTCATTGTAGGAACTTTCACATCCATTAATGGGTCATTCTTTCAACACGCGTCCCTCTGTATGTGTTCTGCTCAGGGGTGGACATCTTGAAGCTGGTGGCGGCCCAAGTGGGCAACCAGTGGGTGGACATCTATCAGTCCCTGGCCAATGCCACCGAACGGGAGGTGGCCGCCTTCTCAAACAGCTACTCCTCCGATCATGAGCGAGCGTACGCCGCGCTGCAGCACTGGACCATCCGAGACAGCGGGGCCAACCTGGCCAAGCTGATCAACGCCCTGCACCGCCTTCGCCGCATCGATGTAGTGGAGAAGATCCGCTGCATCATGGAGGACAACCCACAGGTACGTTTCTGTCCACGTTACACCCAGCTCGAAGCGCTCCAAACCAGTTTGTTCTGGATGTCAGGAAAAAATTAAAAAAACAACAATATGTGTGACCTTTGCTCGCATCATGTTTTTTCCATTAAGGGCTCTATCAACATCAGGCGCACATGTTCTGGTACACACTGTTCTCTGCATGTCTGTTTTACTGAAATCTAATCTGGGAGGCAAGATTTCTCTGATTTTTCCCTCTGAAGCCGATCCCGGAGGCTCAGCTGCATTCCCCACATTAAAGTACCACTTCACTTTTAGAAGATGATTTGATGTTTCAGCGCTAATTGCAGCCTGTGTTGCAGCATTCTCCAAAGCTTAGGGGGAAAAAAAGAGAGATAAGGGAGTCTTTAATACAAATTTGGGTCAGGATTCTGTGTGCACATGTGCCGATAGGTCGTGACTTGTTGCATGCATACTTTAGTAAAACTCAAGGAGTTTTGACCTTGCACTGCAATCCTTTATGGACATTTTGGATCATTCATCACCATTTACTTAGCTTCTCTCCTTTCTTTTCCTGTCCTTCTGCTCTTGTTTCAACAATTTTTATTGAATCAGTGCTCTTGACCACACTCTCCAAGGTCAGGTCTGCACATTAAGCGCACCAGCCAGATTCGTGTGTTTTTTCATCTCTGCTTTATTATTATCAGATCACCTCACCTCGTTAAAGGTGCAGGTTGTTAAAACCGCATAGAATGAAACTGCCTGGCAAAATGGCGGTTAGGTGGTTTGGTCTTGAACCAACGTTGGGAAACTGTCAGTTTAATTCTGGTTTTACTTTTCTCACTATGAACTTGACCAAGCCTGGTGTGCCCTGCTACATGTCGATAAGAAGAGAAGAGCAAAACAAACTTCTCTACTTCGTTTACCATCACATTCCAAGATAATAAGTTCCTGAAAACTAAGGATGCACCAATAGGGAAGTATGGGCAAAGATATATACATATATCTTTGCGTGTGTGTGTGTGTGTATAATCCATGACCAAAATGGCTGTTATGGCCGGTTACTGATATTTACTGATATTGTATATATTAGATGTATTTCACTATACTTTCGACACTTAGAAAATACAACCATCCTACTAACTGACTCAGTTAAAATTCCCACAATTCTTTGCTGCATCCTTATCATTCTCACATGGACCCAAGCAAACAACATGTGACCAACCTCATCCACTCCCCATCCAGAAACAAAACAGTTTTACCTCTAAGGTTCTTTGGCTAACTGGGTTGTCATCTAACCCTGCCCCTTTCACAAGAAATGAACAATGTTTGTGTAGCACAAGCCAAGCAGGATTATAGAATATAGAACTAATCAGATTCCATCCAGATTGAAGTCTTGGTACACTTTGCATCTGTGAGGATCAGATGATCAGTCCATGACTGATGCTAAAGTCATTTAGATTTGCTTCTTTGACTTTTCCTCATTGTAAGTTTTTTCTTTTTTTTTTTTTTTTTCTCGTACTTTTGCTATTCCAAGAAAAATGAAACAGTCGTAATGTACGGGCTGTTTCTGAGGTCATGACCGTTTGATGAACAGCACGTTAGTCCTTAATTCTCAATGACTCAGTCGTGCTGCATTTTTGGGAAGCGCGTCGGTGCGTCTTCTTACACAGTGGAGATATCTGAGGCCGGCTTTTGCTTTGTCATAGTGTCGGTGGTTACCCTACTGCTGCTGCTGCTGCTGTTGACGTTTCTATTTTTGTCCCCGCTTCACTGTGAGAGCTGAAGCCAGACAGAAGACGAATGTAATCGCCTCTCTTCCCTCATTTCTATTTCTGCTCACAGAAAGCCTAGAGGCATTCTGAGAGACTGGAGCAGCACCTCAACAGAACGTCCAGGCTGTGTGTTTGCAGCACTGCAGTGATGCTAAAATAGTTATGAGCCAGAATCTATGCTTTGATGGAAAGCCAACAGGCTTCTTCTCTTTTTTTTTTTTTAATCTCATCTATCAACAGAAACATTGATGGACTGATGTCACAATAATTAGTTACACAGAAGAAATGTTATCTTGAGGTGAGACTTTGGTGTTTCAACCTGTGGCATGTTTGTGGTTAGCATTTATTAGTTAGCATACAGTCCATTGTTGTGCTACATCACCAACAAAATGTCACAGTCATGGTTTTCAACCAGCGGTGCCCATAGTGGGTGCTGGAGGCCCGGCATCCTGCGTGTTTTAGTTCTCTCGCTGGTTTAATGCCCTGGATCCAATGATGCCTTGTCAGAAGGCCTAAGAAGAACATTGACCTTTTTAAAAAGGTCAATGAAAAGGTTGTTGGTACCACCAGGAAGAGAACTAAAACGTGTAGGATGCCGGCCCTCCAGGACCGACTTTGGACACCTCTGGTTCACATGCTTGTCTTCTTGTAAGGAAGCATTTATTTTTTGTGGCTCTTGCGCATGGTTTAAGTGATGAGAGAGAGAAAAAATAAGGGGGTTTTCACATACAAATCCCCCGTTTTATGAGATCAGAGTTTACTAGCAAAGTGAGGCAAAGCCTTTGTGGATTATGTGTCTGAAAGAGATTGCATTGCGCCTTTCAACTTCTACGGTGAATGACTGATTAAAGCTCCTGCGAGAGCGCAGTAAATGAAAGCATCATGTTGAAGACCACAGCAAAGTTCACACAGAGCTGCAAGACAGAACAGAACAACCTCTTCTTTTATCACCATGTCCTTTATACAGGAACTCCATTTAAAATTTGCCCTGATACTCAAAATCAGAAAGTAAATAAACAATTTTTCTGGAGTTCGTAAGTTAGATTGTTGGGTAAAATTCAGCAAATTACATTCTATGAATGGGATTTGGTAGAATATCGAATACCCTGGCAATCAGTGTGAGATTGACAGTGTTCTGCTGCATCATGACCAGGTGAAGCATCGACTGACCGTCTGGGATTAAGATGTCAGAGAGTAATGAGTTACCTCAAGAGGCCTGAGAATTACTCGCCAAAATAAATAGGCAACAAGTGAGCGCCGAAGTTCCAACCATCGAATGTCACCAGATACGATGGTTAGATTAAGCGATGTTATTATTGGGTCATTCCTAAGGTATTTGATTTGCAGTTTCTTTTGTTTTTAAGGTTTTTTTGTCTCTAATAGCCTTCATTTGAAAGTAGTTAGACAGGAAAGAGGGTCATGAGAGAGGGGGAAGACATGGCGCAAATGTCGCCAGGCCGGGAGTCAAACCTACAACCACCGCCACGAGGATCGTGGCCTCAATATGTGGGTTGTGCTTTGCCGCTGTGCCACCACAGCACCCCTTGATTTGCAGTTTCATTGTCTCTGAGCCATGGTTCTGCAGTCAGACACATAACCATGGCACCATCATCACTAGGGTTAAAAGAAAATTCATGTGTGTTCAGTACCATGTGGAAACTCTAAAATGCCTCCCTTTGCTTCTTTGAGCAATCTTTCACAGTCCACCACTAAAAGAGCAAAAATGCTGTAATCCTATTCTGCTTTTTAACCATGAAAAGACACAATCAAAGGCAATTTGTGACATAGCTCATTGCTTAGTTCCCATTAGCAGCCTTTCAGTCCCTTCTCCACCAAGCCCCAGAGCGAAAGAGCACATGCTTTTCTTTCTAAAGAAAAAGACGACAATTTCGAAGATTTCCTCTTGAGCCTTTTTAAGTGCAATTGGGGGCCGTCGCCATCACGTCTGCGATTGTGTTTGTCCCGCTGGGGGTGTGTAAGTCAGCATTCAGACCCAAGCTGAAGGGGGAAAACCTTCATGAAATCATAGTGAAAACTTCAGATTAAGGAGTTAAACCATGTCTATAGGAAAAAATGTTGAAGGGCAATGTGTCAAAGGACAACATCAACAGTACAGCAAACATGCAAAGGGTGATCAATATAAAGTCGGGAGTTGGAATGAGTATATCAGACGTAAGATATGGTCTACTATTAAAGAGGAAGCGAAACAAACCCTACAAAGCATTTATATACAGGTCAGGTTTCTGTTCCAAACCAGAAACGCAACTAAACAAAGACGAGCTGAAGATTCCCTGATTAAAAAACGTGTGGATTTTAACAGATCTTTGCATTCGTCACGACATGCACTGATTAGAAAAAATTAGGACTAATGTCTTAGTCAGAATATTGTAGATTAGTAGTCTTTTTACATTACCATAGTCTGGTAGACATGATTCCATTGGGGACCAAAATGGCAACATTTGTCCCGTTTTCAGCTGTTGTGGTTCAGTTTCAGCCTTCACTGTGTGAAACGAGGCAAACCCTTTGAAAAACCCGATCACCTCCTCACCTGTGGAGGCGCTGCATCAAGAACCACTGAAACAAAACAGAAGAACATCCTGAGAACAACTTTCTTTCTCACAAGATGCAAACAAAAATGGAGCGTCATCAGATTTTAGCAGTTGATTTCTCTCCTGTCTAGAAGTCTAGAGCCATTTCTCCCACTGGTGCTAGACACATGGGGTTGCTTTACCCAGAATGCCCTGCGATGTAATCTGTTTTGGGGAGGTCTCTATTCAAGACACTCTGGTGAATGTCTTGTCCCCACTTGGTGTTCCCATATGCCCATCAGCCAAATCAAGACTGAGGTTTGTAGGGGGACCAGGGTTTCATTTTTGGTTCAGTTACGCATTCACACCTCCCCAAATTAACCAGAAGTTTGATTAAAGTGGACTAACGAAGGCTGTATCGAATTCAAACTAAAAGTTGAGAAGCTGAACACAGTTCCACTCGAGTCTGCATCTTAGCAAGCAAAAAAAGAACACTTTGGAGTGACAAGTTAATCTTTTGATCTGATAAAGTGAATCTCTCCCCGCTACCCTTCATTCTGCTGCAGACTGCCACTTCTGCCAAGTGAGCCTGGCTGACGCAGTCCCTCAGAGTGTGTACGTCTAAACAGGCTGTGTGCTGGGGAGTTGTGTGTGTGTCTTGTCCCCAGCAGGCCCTCGCGTTGCGCTGAAAGCAACGGTCAGCAACTCAGTCTGGTGGTTTTCTCGCCCACATGCACAGGAACACTCAGGCCTCGGAGCTTTCTGGAGCCGTCGTTCCCTTCTTGTTCTCCGTGACCCCTTCTCTGCCTCGTCATCCTCTGCAGTTCAATACGTACCGCATGTGAGTAGCAGTGCAAGGAAACAGGACTCCCAATGGTTTACCAGAGGCTCTCAGATGGAATACATACGTATTTGCAAAAAGACTCTGCCTGGGTGGCCCGTCATGCTTCACTGGGGACAAAGCTTCTGTTGTTTGGCACTGTGGTCTGACGCTATGCATAAACTGTAATCTGCTACTTCATCTAGTTGATTAAAGCAGATTAACTCAGTCATGAAAAGCATTTTGCTGGAAAACTAAGCACCAAAACGCGCACTGAGAGCAAAATGTGGTTCAACACCAAAGTATGATTTATATGTTCAAACCTTCAAAGTGAGCCCTTTCTTATTTGGTAACAGCTCTGCACAGTCATCTGTGCTTGAAGCAGCTGTATGACTTCGTCAGCTCGAGAACTTGTGGGTTCCTTTGTGGGAACGCCATGTACTCTTTGACTGATTTTCCTTCAGTGGTCGAACTCATCTTTTCTGGGGTTAGACCAGATAATTGCAGAGGTAGGCAGATCTGATGCAGTCCATCTTTTCTCTTCCTTCTGGCTCGACAAATTCTGGCTCTTCATTTATTTCAAAAGCGCTTTATTGCGTTTCTGGAATTAGATCGTTTTGTCGGCTTACTTGGTTCTGTTAAGTTTGTTCGTTGTCTCCATCCAGTTGCAATGCAAATTTTAAGCAAATGGATGGGATATTTCCATTTTTCGTTTTGAGTGAATCATCCAGGCATGATTCTGTCAGTTGTTGACACATGGTTGTAACGAAGAAGATGTAGCGATTGCAAAACAACATGGGACCAATGATTTTGTAAAAATGGTGAGTTTCTTGGATTCTTGGACTCAGGAACTGTCCACATCTTCCGTTCCTGCCACCTGAAAATTGGGCTGTTGGCATGTGACCGTCGTACAGCAGCAGACTTCAGTCAGAGGCCTCTTCAGGTCAGGAACCACAGCATCACCATCTATAACGACGATGATTGAAGATACTTGACAACACTTATATTTTCTTCATGATAAATATAGTATTTTTGAATTGAATCAAAATATCAAAGAACTTTGGAATTCACCAATCTCCAGATGCTTTTTTTCTGATGCATGCTTTATTTGAGAGCCAATCTGTCCTTTTTAATCCTTAAAAATGTGCTTATGGCTGAAAGGCACTAGGTGGGGTAAACCCTGGACAGGCGGTCAGCTCATCACAGGACAACACAGGATCACATGTTACAAACCGCTATGGATGCTCACTAGCACATGAGGATCATACAGAATGATTCGTTTCAAGGAACGCGCTGCTTTTGGTCTGTGGGCAGAAGCTGGAGTACCCCGAGAAATCTACAACACACATTTCTTCACATGAACATAACACCGATTTGTTTTTGTTTTTTTCAGTGAGTCAATAACATGTGAATCAATTGGACCGACCTACTTTATCCAAAACAGAGATGCTGTCATTCAGCACAACTTAACCAAACTGTGAAACAGAAACCAAAAATATTTGCTTACAAAAGAGACAGATCTGTGTCACAGAAGTATTGGCTTAGCAAATGCTAGCATGATTTCCTGTCCCCTGGAGATGCTGTTTATGGTTCCCTGTGGATCCCGCTGCTTCCTGCAGCTGCTGTCAGAAAAATATTTCTTCCAACTGTATTCATTCAGGGTATCGCTGTCCGGACTCTGCATATAGATGTAAATATGCCTTAGCTAGATAAACAAAGCATGTGTGTTCTGTTGAAATACAGCAAACCAGATGTTGGGGAACAAAGGAGGAAAGCTGCTATTATTTTCCTGTTTTATGTTGTGAGCAAACATTTCTAACGGTTTGGATTCAACAACTGAGAAAACAAAAAAAGGGGGATGGGGGGCAAAGACCCCGTTTTGTCCTGGGTCCTCTTCGTTATGTTGGGGATGAAATGACCTCTACTGGTGTATCCTTTCAGCCCAAGTGGGGCTTCGCAGTGAAAAACAAGAAGCTCTCTCATGAGCTCATCCCCAAACCAGTCGCTACTGGTTCAAACCACAGGTTCATTACCACACCAAAGACAGAGACAGGAGGGAGTGAGGGAAGTGGGGGAGAACCATGGGGGAAGAGAGGGAAAACAGGGTGGATGGGAAGACAGGAAAAACCAAACAGAGACAAAAGCGCAGGAGTAGGAAGAATAGAAGAACGAGGAGGAATTACAGATAAAGAACCATGTACCATAAAGAAGAATAAAATTGCTTAAATTTGGTTGGGGGATGCTGATGTTGTTACATATTTAACGTGTGGTTTCTTAGGCAATCTCAAAGCACAAACCTTTATTACCTGACCGATAACATCTGCCAGCAGGAAACTGTTTAAAGTGGTCGTCTTTTAATCTGAAGTCATATCTCCATCATCAACCGCCTCAAACAAGAATCAGAACCTAAACACATGGAAATAGGAAGTGTGCAAAAATACCTTAAATTGAATTATGTGAAGATTTTACCATGTTTAAAATAAAAAAGAAGTTATGTTTATTCACAGAAACTCGCATGCAAAACTGATATACATCCTGTTTTAATCTACTGTCCCTAAGCATCATGCAGCTTTGAGTATCTGTACCACTAACGCCTGTTGCTTCATATTGTACACATAGTTATCTACCGCCATCTAGTGGTCAGAGTTTGGTCAAAAACATTTTTCAACATGCTAGCTACCTAAAACATGTATACTGAAATGAACAAATTAACTTCATTTATGATGCTTGGTATCAAAACATAAGATATCTGTTACTGTTTATAAATGAGGAGATGGGGTATATTAGGAATGAACCAGATAGAGCAGAAGAAGTCTGACGCCCTGCCTCCTAATGGCTGACGGCGTTTACCCCAACTCTCTTCAACTTGAGTTTGTAGATAGAATAAAAATGGAGAGAAAAGAGGGGTAGATTGATGATGCAAGGTTACAAGCAGCCAAAGGCTCTTTGAATTCATTTCTTTACCTGTGAAATGAACGATTTCAACCCTTTTTAAAACATGACCTGAAATGAATGTCTCTTTATAATATCGTCAGTACTATTATTTAGACCCAGTGAGGTTTGGTTGATAGTTAAAATCCTCCTGTCTCCCCTCTCCATGCAGTTTGACATCAACCAGCTGACGACCACAGTGAATGTAAGCCAAAGCCTCAGTCCCATCAACAAGCTGCTGGAGTCGCCCGGCAGCACGGCCAGCAGCGGGGGCAGCAGCAGTGCGTACCGAGCCGGCGGCGTCGGGCCCGTCCAGTCACCCATGGACCGAACCAAAGGTTTCTTCGCCGACGAATCGGAACCGCTCCTTCGCTGCGACTCCACGTCCAGCAAAGACTCCGCCCTCAGCAGGAACGGCTCCTTCATTACCAAAGGTGAGAGGTGAAGTTCATGTCGGAGACCCCAACAAAACGAAGTGTTAGCTGACTTTACTTGCTCATATAGTTTGAAAATGTCCGGACAAGCTTTCTTATTAACCTAATAATTGGTGTTCATTTGAAGACGATAAAAACAACAACTCAGCACTGTAAATAAGGAAAAAGCTGTCGATGTTCAGAGTCCTTAACATGTCCAGGAGGATCTGTAACTCTTATGTAATCGATGGAAGTAGACAAAGAATAATGAGGAAGAAAGTGTCACTTTATGAGTCTGTCTGAATGTGACTGGTGTTTTCGTCGCCACCTGCTGCTTGTATCCAGATAACAGAACAGATCTGCTGCGGTCTCTGCGGAGTCACTCCTGTGAGTCACTCTGACACAGAAACTGTGTCACCGGGTGACTTTGTTGTAAACGCCGCAAGCATCGGTGAGTGGGTTACGCACTGCTCTGAACATGTGTGGAACCTGCTCAGGTAATGTAATACACTGAACAATGCAAAGTTTAGACATAAAGTAAAGTCACAGAGATGGACTGGTGTCACGGTCGGCAGCACAGATTCTTCATTTGGGCTCAGCTGTTTCAGATTCTTCAAGTCCTTGACAAATGATCCAGACTCTCATTAATGTCGTTTCATTGTTATTGTAATGTTACGGCTGTTGAAAGAAATGTGAGAAAACATGGCTCCCAGTTATAAATAGATGTTTGAGTGCCCTCGTGTGGTCTGTTCTTGTCATTACGATCTGTATATTCACGAGGAACCTGATCTGATTGTGAATGTTGTCGGCACTATTATGAATTTGTTTCCACAATCGATGAGAGATTGTTGACGTTTTTTATTGCATTAAATCATACCAATTGTTATAAGAGCTAAAGAACAAGGACAGAAAGTTGCTGGTGTGAAAGATAATTGACATCAATGTTGTCCAATATTACACTTCTCCACTTAAGCCAAACTGAAGAAAACCATCTCAACATTTTGATTCAAGTTCAGATTGAAGCTGCTCTTATTTATTTTTGACATTTGAATTCTGCGTCTTTCCGTTTGAAGGTCAAAATCCCAGGAAACTATTGGGAGAACCCAAAATGTTTCACACGGTTAAAGATGCAGTGTGTAAGTTTTATGAAGAACAAAAAAGAACCAGTTAGAAAAAAGAAACTTTTTGTAGACCAAGAGAATGACAAAGGATAGTGTGCAGCTGCCTAGCTTTATTTAGTTGCACATTTATATCCATGATTAATTTCAATAAAGACTTTTAAGTAAAATAAAAAAAAACATACAGGTCTCTCCACTGGAGGGCAGCAAAACCTCAGTTTAAATCTTGGGGACGTTTCATCTTAATTTGCTAGTAAAACACACACACACGCACGCACGCACGCACGCACGCACGCACACACACACACACACACACACACACACACACACACACACGCAGTTTCAACAGAAATTTCGTAAGATTCGCCAACTCAACTTTATTTCTTATAAAGAACATTATGAATGGAATGTGAGACTTATACAGAAAGGTTTGGTTCGTTCTCAGTTGAAGGATAATTGCATTCAACACCAGAATGATCTAATCCGATCTTCTTCTGGTGTCCCTCTGCAGAGAAGAAAGACACGGTTCTCCGGCAGGTTCGCCTGGACCCGTGCGACCTTCAGCCGATCTTCGACGACATGCTGCACATCCTGAACCCCGAGGAGCTGCACGTCCTTGAGGAGATCCCCACCGCCGAGGACAAGCTGGACCAGCTGTTTGAGATCGCCGGAGTGAAGAGTCAAGAGGCCAGCCAGACGCTGTTGGACTCTGTCTACAGCCACCTGCCTGACCTGTTATAGTGGACGGGACGGGGAAGAGGGAATAACTGATTTAAAAAAATTAGAAAAAAAAAGGAAGCACACAGATGTTCAAAGGCAAAGGGATGGGGTGTAGTTGAGATTTAGCTTGAGTTGATTTTTTTCAAACCGGTGGAGTTGGACTCATGAGGCCACTGGTGTAACGTGACTCCGGCAGGTTCTTTACCTTTGGTCTGCTCTCTCTGATGAATCCGGTCAGTCCTGATCACTCCTTCGTTCCTTCTGTATAAAAATCCGCTTTGCCACGTCACATGACCACCGGTGATGCTGACCGTGAGGCTCAAAGGCCTTCTGGGTTTTAAAGAGTTGAGTCCAAACGGCGTGAATTATGTACAGACTCCACTCAAGTAGCACTTTATTTATCTGAAACGGCCAACGCCTTCTTGTTTAAAGGACAATACCGGTGTTTTTTCTTGTTTGTGCCAATCATTTAGGCTCTTCTTGCCTTTACTAATATTTCAGTGTAAAAGTCATATTTATTATTAACACAACAGGCAATGGTATATAAGCTATAACTCTAAACAACACTGGTATTATTCTTTGATTAAGGTTCTAGTAAATCAAACAGATTGGGCTGATTTCTGAGTCGTGTGCCTAAACGTGTTCCCTTTCACAGCTCCTCGTTTTGTTTCCCTCCTGCTGCCTGATCCTGAGGGGGGTTGAGGGGCTAGTAGCTTGTGACCACCAGCAGGCAGTAGCATCATTTCAACAGTCTGACACCAAATGCATCGATTAAAATGACTCAAGACTGAAGGAATGCAGTGCCTCATGAAGCACCTCGGGCTTTTCCACATTTGATCATTTTTCAACCACAAACCCAATGTTCTTTTTATGGGATTTTATATTAAAGGCCAAACTCAAAGTAGGGTATTGCTATGAGGTGAATGTAAGAAGATAAACATCAAAATTTGAAAAGCGTGGTGTGCTGTTTTGTTGAATTTTCTGACCCGGCAATGTGTGGGCAGATTTTTTTTGACCATCTCTGGCGGTCTTAAGAGATGGGACCATTTGGACCACATGTGTGTTTTACGAGGTTTTCTTTGTGTGGTTTATCACCCGGAGGGTTAAAGCTGATCAGTTGCTTAAAGTTGCTTCTGTGACCCTGTAAATCTGAGGTCTTCGTTAGAAATACCCATCATACCAAAACTAACGATGAGAAAACTGTACACTGTACTCTTGTTCAGTTGTCTAGAAAGTCCAGTTCGTTGGGGGAGGTGTGAATGCATAGTTAAAGTGATGAGGGCCAAAAAATCAACTCTGGTCCATCTAAAAACTTGGGCCTGTGTTTGGTTTAAGTAAACTCTGGTGCGGTCGGAATGCACATGTGACCACCAAGCGGATCAGAGGTCGCTCCAAAAGCAGGAAGTGGTGCAAGTGAAAGGCATTGTGGACAAATACAACCAAAACAAACATGCGGGTCTTGCGCTAGTGGGAGAAATGTCTGGTGGTCTTTCATCAAAGACTAAACAAAAATCCTCCAACCACTAAACTCTATCGCTATACCATTCAATTGAACAAATATTGCAACTTTGGTTCTCAATCACATCCAGGCTACCAGACTATCAGGAGTGAAAACACCATAAAAACGTTGTTGCACCCTACCCTTCCCCCCAAGGACTAATGTTTGAGGATCTTGAAATACATAAATAGCCTAGTCAAAGTCCAGACTTTCGTCCAGTTGAACATCTCTAGCTCCACTTCAAATTAGGTGTTTAGACAGACTCTCCTTCCAACAGGCAGAACCATTTCAGGTTTTAGATGTGAAATATAAAGTTACCCCAAATGCAGTGAAAGGCCATAAAGTCCCAGTGAAATGCATCACAGGTTCTGGTTGCAAGGTGACAAAATGCTGAAAAGCTCAGAGAATATCAATACTTAGACATTATTTTAGTTCACCTGCCAGTAGGAGAAATGCCTTTTTTTTTCCCCGTTTTGTTTTTAACTTCACTGGGAGAGAAAATTTCTTAAATGCCCGTTTGGTGAACCCTGACCCCACATGTTGCGCTGAGAAAGCATTCCTGATACATCTCAGAGCTTCCTGGCGCCATCAAGGGAAATAACTCAGTCCAATTTTCTAGATGTTTTATGTTCTTGATATTCAAATGTAATACTCATGCACTAATGGTAATTTCTGTACGTGCTTTGTTTTGTTTTTTGTTATGTTTTGTTTTCCATACTCACTTTGATTTACTATTATTAGTTATTGTAGTATGTGGGTTTCTCTGTCCTGGGCATTCGTATGTTTTGGAAGCCCTCCATCCCTGGCTGGGTTGTAACATATGCATACTCTGTACTCTACTTGAAATCTGTTACTTGAGCTCACCAATGAACAGAGTGCAGTCTACCGATTCCTTTCACCAAGAGCATCTTGAACCTCATAAGCCCCTCTGTCTTCAACGCATCACGGAACCAGAGCGTCCGGGTTCTGCCAGAACCTCCGTGGTGTGGACTCTCGCCTTTTGGCCTGGCAGTAGAGAACTGGGACATGATGGAAGAAGGACAGCTGGGTAGGGATGGGGTTAGGGTTTGGGATAGCTTGATGTGACTGACGGCGGCGCTGCTGTGGACTGCAGACTGGATGACGGCGGTGAGGAAGTGTGAAGTGGCCCTCCGCTGCGCTGCGGGGGCCACAGCGGTGGAACGGACTATTTGGGATTTTTTTGGAACAATGACAGGTGGAAGTGAAGAGGACGCGTCTGAGGAGATGATTACATCAAATTCGCAAGTCAAATGTAACCAGTATGTTTACTCTTCAGATTAACTAAATAAAGCTGATTTTTTTTTCAGATTCTTGTGCAGTTTTGTCGTTTTGAACATGTGGTATGTTTCTGTTTGTCTTGCAATGTGTGTTGGAGTTATTTACACTAACTCATCTGAACAGAATTTAACACAAATATGAACAATAGTGCAGAATAACTAACCTTCGTCACTGCGGCATTCGGTCGGCTACTAAGAGAGAATTTCTTTCTGCCAACTGGGAATCTGACTGCAGAACCAAATTATAGAAAAGAGAAACGGTTTAAAACATCTAAATTGAGCCTTTTAGATTTTAAATGATTGTTGGAAGGACAGAGCAAAGCTTGTGAAAATTAAAAGGAACCAAAATAATATATCGACATTACTGAATTCAATCAATTAAAGCCAATAAATCTTGTTTCGTTATAGTTATTCTTTTTTTTTTTTTTTAAGTTCAGGTAGAGTTTTCTATTGTGTGTGCGTGCCAAGATATTGAAATTTTGACTTTGTCATTTAGTGCATTCAAATTGGGCCACTGTCTATTTGAGAAGCTCTTACTCTTCCTGAAACTTCAGGAAATCATCATGTCACTTTCTCAAACCTTTAACGACGATTTTAATCAGCGTTTCACTGAGACGTCGCTCATATCATGAGTGTTTGCTAATTGCTGCCGGCTAGTCTGAAGGAGTTGACTGAGGGGTTACTGTGAAGTGAAAGATTGAAATCTTGGAAACTGCAGCTCCGAGGAGGCGGCGCTCAGTCCACCTGGGTGTTTTGCACAACTGAATGATTGCCATGGAGATTAAAAGACTTGTCCAACCAGCATGAAAGAATCAAAGCAACACCAGAAGGTATGTTTTTGGTGAAAGAATTAACACTAGGGCATGATGTAGTGGTTAAAAACAAGTTGATGATACATAATACTGCCCCTTTAATGCATCCCTCCTGCTCTCCCACCTCATACCTCTGACCTTTCACCTGATCAGTCCCAGTCCATCGTTGCTCCAGCGTTCAACCTCCCAGCCGCCTCTCTCTCATCGCTGCTCCCTCCCCTCGTCTCTCCTTTTGGACTCGCTCTGCATTTCTTCATAACACTTCATGTACGTTGGTTCTTTGGACTATAATTAAATAATATTTTAACATGCCTGTCCAGACTCTGGCTTGCACTTTGAGGCGCCAAAGATGTCTGCATTTGGAGATGTGGCTCTAGTTGGATTAAAAATCAAACTGACTTTGTGATAAGTAAAATACCACTGCTGTGTGTTTTACTTATAATACTGAACAGGAAGCAGCTTTGTGTGAGTGGTGTTCTATGATCAACCTGATGAAGACATGAAAGAATCCTGAATTTTTATTTAAACTGAAGGATGGTTATTATGTTCAAGTTATATAAGAAGCTCAACCTCCCTGACCCTCTGACATAGAAAAAAAAAAAAGGTTCCGTGTCCTGATCACACACATTCCAGGCTTCGGGGTTTTTCTGATGAGATTTATCTTACTGATCAAACAACAAACTTAAAAACTGATAAAATTTTTCCAGTGTGCGTTTAACGACAGATTACCTGCCTCAAGTTATACTCTCTGAACACAGCGACAGTTTTAACAACTTTGTGAACATGTTGTTTGTAGAAGTGAGACACTGAGCTTTGAGGAATAAGTGAGAATAATTTGATGATTCATCAGGGTCACTTCTTTTCCCCCTGAGAATCCAGTTTTCCACTCGTACATGCTGTGATGTCATAGTTGTTCACGTCCTTCAACTGTTTCAAGTTGAAGTTACCAAACTAGTTTTTTTTTTTTTCAGGTCACAGAACAAAAGACAGTATATGAATTGTTCCCGTAACGACAGAGGTGTTCTGTATTCACAACTGCTAACTATTTTTAAGCAACTTGAGTTTTTAGTTTCCAAATGACTAACGAGAGGTTCCCTGCTTCCTGCTCCTGTTATTCTGACCACAGTCTCAGGTTTGAGGGATATACATGTTGTGTTACAAGTTATTTTGTTTTGAGTGTGAAAAACATGATGCAAGACAAAACAGACGGACAATAGAATTTGTTCTCTGTCGTAACTAGCAGCAATTACTAAGTTGTATAATCCAGTTGCTCTGTTGCTTAATGTGTGTGATGTCAATAAAAAAGTTCTACAGGAAATAAACTTGTCCAAACCTGCTGGTGCCAGTTTACAGCAAGTGAGTGGAAACTGGAGTTTGTCGGCATGATTTTTCGGCCGTCTGCCATGTTGGATTTTACAAATATTTTCTTGTTCTTGCAGTGGATGACCAGAAGTTGATAGTGCATTGTATGATGCACTAGTGTCCACTTCATGTGTGCGTTTATAACAGAAAAATCCACAAGACACACAAGAAAACGGTTTTTGATAGCCTTGACCGCTGCTGATGCGAAGTCATTTTACTAAATGAAGAAATAAACTGAAAATGCATGAGATTCAGTCACACCTGCAGGTCAGGTTGAAGTAAGCCTTTTTGTTTCTGCACAAGCTTTGTTTTTGTAAGATTATTTTTTTCTACAGCCTGATGTGGCATTAGAAATGTTCGGCAGGTGATGAAAGGCTGATTTTGTAACCGCCTTTATGCGTCTCTGATGGCTCAGGTCAGAATTCATCACTGCACAAAGATTTCAGCCTGATTTCTGGTTTCTACCTGTAACAACTGAAGCTGCGTGCTGACTCTTGATCATTTCTCTTCACTCCCAAAGATTATGACTTCATTTTTGCTGAAAGTTACGACGAACTATCTAAGCACAACAACATATGGATCCACATCGTCCTGATCTGGTGTGTGATCAGCTGTAGCAAGTCTAGCTGGGGTTCAGTGACCGTTGCTGTTTTTTTTTTTTTTTTCCCACACAGCGTCTGCCTCTTGATAGACATGATTTAACCCACATTAGCATCATTTGGGTGATGCTAATGTTTTCTGAATAAACCTCAGCAAACATGAAGCGGTTTTCACAGCGTGGCGACTGGAACTCGTGTTTCCTCTAATCGCTTCCACCGTTCTGTTAATATTCCTCCATAAAGTAAACCAAAAAAAAGGAAAATGTGGTTATATAATAAATCCATTATACTATAGCTGACCTTGCAGATTTTAAGTCTTGTGTTACCCACAGTGTTGCACAAAAGAACCTCCCCTGATAAAAATCAGACTGAGTGGAATAATTGAACCTGTTCAGTCAGTATCTGTACAGTTTGTGGCTAATAGTTGTTGAGGAAAGTTATTTATTTCTTTAAACTTTTTTCCCCTCTGTGGTTCTTGGATTTTAATGCTTTGACATTCTTTTGCCAGCGTTCAGCATGTTTCTCTAACACTGACGGCAGGAGGACTATGGTAAGACGACCCATTATTTTCTGCCCCAGGCGACGTTTCAGTTCTTTTATGGAAAAGCTTTTCTTCACTCTGTCTGACCTATATATATATTTTTTTGTGTGTGCTTCTCAGAGGTGAATCTTTATCTCTTCTCTATCACTTGTTTGTCATGTTGCCAGGTGTATTCTGTGAACTTTTCTCAGATCGTAAGTGCACAGATGGTTTTGAAATCAGATTCATTTACCTCCAGCTGTAACGCTCCTGCAAACCGAGCCGATCTATGCAGCAAGATGGGGATGACTTGGGAATTTCAACTGTTTTAAGATTCAAAAGTGTAAAGATATGACATTGATGTCTTCACTGACGATGTGCGAAAGTTTGGGTGGCATGAGCAAATAAAGCTTGTTGTTGAGCCTGTTAAAAATAAAACGGTAAACTAGGATGAGATCTCATGAAGTGAAAATAAATATTGTTAGGAAATGGCTCGTGGTAGATACGCGTCGTCTCAGTTGACCTCATTTTAAGGAGCAGTGTGTGTTCTGTGGCGCTCGGATCATCTTTGGGGTTTATTTTTTGTTGCTGCACATTTAAGAAAATTTGACTTGGAAACATGAAAAAAAAAGTCATAACTATGAATCTGATTCAATAAAAAAAAAAAAAGAAAATATTGGGATTACCACTCCCCAGAGTCCTGACTTTGGACAACATGTTTCTGGCATGGATGATATAAACACGCATTTTTGTGTGCCTGTTTAAAATTTGAATTATGGAAGGAATAAACAGGAAACTGATGAAAACCTTTTTTCATGGGACTTGTTTCTGTATTAATATGGCTTTTGGTAGGAAGCCAGAAAAAACGTTTAGATCTTCTTTTTGTCAAGGTATTCTTAACCTAAATGGACTTTTCTAGAAAACTGGATGGAAACCCATTGACTTAAACCATTCTCATTCCCACACGATGATGAAACTAAACAGGTTTAGTTGCGTTAATTTAGAAACTCAGTACTGGTTCTTCTTTTCTTGGAGCTTTTTAAGTTGTTCAGAAATGATTTGATGTTCGCATTTCGTCAAACATCAAGTCCCGTCACTTACATAAAAATCTTATGTGTGGATTTTCTGATGACACAAGCCAGTTGACCTCAATAAATGCCCAGAATCCATCCGCTCACATTGATGAAATGAAGAACTTTGTCCAGGTGTTTGTTAATAACTTGATTTTAAACGTCTGTCCTCAACCCTGCAACAGATATTTTACAGTCTAAGCAGATTTACAGTCTTGGGTGTGGATCAGAGGATAATATTTTAATTCTGCCAGGCTGTACAGACAGTTAGGCCTGTTCTTGCAACAGCAGCTTCACAATTACAGAGAGATTTAAAGTGGCTCTGCACCAGACAGACTGTCAGGGCAGCTTAAAGGCAGACAGAAAGCGCAACACTTCCAGAGCTTTTCAGTGTTGTGTTTGTGCAGTGAATGTCAGAGAGGAACTCCTAAACCTAACCCTTAATTCACATGCTAAATACGTTTATTTTGTAGCACCCAAAATAAACATTTTGCTAGCTAAATATTTATTTAATAGTAAATATTTACTTAAGACTTTATTTAGCTTACTAAATAAATACTTAGTTGGAAGGATTCCATTCTAACTAAATATTTAGGCCCAATATTAACATCACCACTAATTTGCAAATGAGCTCTTATGTAAAACTCTGAAAATCTATCAATGTGTGAATAACATGGTGAAAATATGACTTAAAAATGACCACATATAATTTTTTGATAAATAGACTAAAATATACTAAAACATTGCTGTTAACTGTTTACTGTGTAACTTTACAAATGGAACCATACAACTTAAAGAGCGTTTCTCCCAAATGCTAAAGAAAACAAACAGTAGGGGACTTTTGATATGCACCGTCATTTTTTATTTTTTTCCCCGTTCTTCTTATTCCTATTCTTAGCCAAACACAATAATTCCGGTTCATCCAAATGACATAAAACAAGAAATGTTTGACATATTTTAAGGTCAGTCAGTGAATCTTTTTTCCCCCCCTCTTTACTCCATGTGATGCAATGAGGAGCAGATAGAATAAAAATCAGCTGTTGTGTCAGAGCACACGTAAGTTGGAATGTGGCACACATGCGATAAACTCAATCAGCAATCTGTTTCCTCCTGAAACCTGCTTATATGTCCAGCTACAGAGATCAGAAAGATAAAATGAAATGCTTCTTTTCTCATGAGCATTCTTAGGTTTTGCTTTCATTTGCTTTTCATTTTTCTGTTCGTAATCTGTAAACTCTTTTTTTTTTTTTTACATAAATTGTTCTGAGTTGTATATCTCTTTGCCCAGCGTCATAAATGCATAAAAAAATGTATGAGTAAAAAAAAAGATTAGATTCGTTTTGTTTTTCTGATCTTTCATCCTACTTTGAGGCCACTTTGACGCCCCCTGGTGGCCACACAAGGGAAAACACGGGCTTTGTTAAATATATTTTGGAAGGTTTCTTTATCAGGTGCCTGGAAGGAAGCACGTTTGAGATATTTCTGTTTATGTAACCATCTCAAACTGCCAAACCCTCTAAGTGTGACATAAAACCAATATTTCTCCTATTTGCCAAGCAGAGGGAACGGAACAGACGTGCTGCAGACAGGTGAAAAGGCAGAATAAAAAAAGAGACACTTACATGCACTTGTCTACCTGAACCTTGTCAGATGTTGTCTGAGTCACAGAAGGCATAGGAAAAAATAAACAAGCTTGCTTAGAATAGTGGGTCAGTCAATTTATGTTACATTTTTAACTAGAGTCAACTAGTTAAAAATGTAACTAGTTTCTTTTCGTGAGTTTGTTCAGTCCACTCATGAACACATTTTCACAAACAAATTGAAATATTTGGATTGTACAAAAAAAGCTGAAGAAGTTACATGTCTGGTAGTTAAAATGTTCCTACTTACTAATAGAAGTCCTAATTAATCTGATCACCTTTACTACATACTTTTTCTTTTATTATTTATTGATGTATTATCTCATGACACGTGACATTACATCTAAAGAAAAAATGTCAGCGTATCATAAGACTGGAAATGTATCTGTCTGATTAATAACCCAAATGACTTTCTGAAGTCGTATTTGTTTGTTTGTTTTTTTAATTGTGTGTCGTCCTGTAATTTCCTCAGAAGGAATGGCAATAACCAAGAGAACCTTGGCTGTCTTTGTGCTTCTGGCAACATTGCTGGCTTTGGAAAAAAGAAACTTCAACTTCCAGTTTCACTTTATGGTTCTGGATTTTCTAGTAAGGCAACTTCATGTATTTATAACTCCAAACATGGGACATGTTGATGACTACAGAGCTTCTATGTTTTATATAAACACCATTTGTGCTTATCTTCTTTTTCCTTAGGAGCCACATGGTGAACACTTTCTTTCTCACACACGGGAGAAAAGAGATGGTTAGTTTGATCCATTGAATTGCAGAATTCTGGTTCTGAAGACACAAATAAATAAACCTCTATTTCTGGCATTTATCAAATATAAATAATTCTTATCTTTACAAAATGAGAGAAAAAAACAAGTATCTTTTTAAACAGTGCATGTAAACGTTTGATTTCAACTGTAAATGTTAGATATAGTAACAAAAACACCCCCCTGCAAAAGTATGTTGTCATTGCCGAACTATCAGATCAGTTTGTTAATAAGGGAAAATTGACGACTATCCCCTTTCAAATGTTAATTTCTGCAGTGCTTTCAGACCCCAAGATTTACTCAGCAAACATTTTACTAAATGCATCAAATGTGGAAACCTTTGAGCAGCTGCTGTCAACCCTGAACGTCACCAGTTATCCTCTCCAGCTGGATAACACCACAGAGATCCAAAATATCACTGTTACCACAGGTGAGTGATGGTGTGACACAAACAGCAGCAGTATGGACATTACGCAGTGATCTTCTTTTCATCTGTCCTCATACAGTGTGTGTCTCCACTGAAACTGGTTTCCGGTGTGAGTGTGAAGAGCAGTTTGCCTGGCCGTACAGAACCTGCATCACATATGGAGCTTGTGATTCCGTATCCAGCGGCGTCTGTAAATGCATCTCAGCGATCCCAGCTGACGGCTCTTCCTGTCAGCTGATCTCAGGTAATCGCAGCTCAGTTATGGACCAAAATCACAGTGGCACACAGAGATGTGGCTGGTGTTGTAGCAACACTGGTGGTTGGATAAAAAAAGGCCCCTTCTGAATTTTTTTTTTTTTGTTATTCTAATGTAATGTGTGTGGCCCAAAGTTGCACTTATGGATTTAATGCCTATATTACCAAAGCCCAGTGATTTTTGTGATTTTGATGTGCATTTAGTGAGCCAATAATACTCACCTGCACGTCAGAATAAAATACTGATACTGATGTATCTCGTTTAAGATCTTGGTCATTAAAAGTAAGTTTATCTAGACAAATGCCACAGAGGTGTGGAACAGGAATTTTTTTTGTGATGGAAAGACAGTAAGCTGAATCAAACATGACGTGTTGCATATGCGGTGGGACCCCATCCTTGATTTCCTATTTTTATTGCGTGTTTGTCACACTTCTGTGTTTTCACTTGATCACATCACGGTGTGTCCATTTGATTGACCAGCTCCCTAATCTCCCTTATCCTTCAAAGTTACAAAATCGAGAACTGGTTGTCAAACATTACTTGATGTAATGACTGCTGTTACTTTGATGGCCGATTAAGACTAAAAGGCATATAAATTTTTAATAATAACAATTTTGCACGGACAATTTCTGTGTGATATTTATGATTTCAAATTTTGTGTGTGTATCTGGAACTCACGCACCCAGAAAACAGAAACATGTTTTATTTTTTCATTATCTTGCAGAGCTGCTTGTTCAGTCTCAGTATGAGGTTGAAGTGGAGCTAAATCTAACAGATGTTGAAACAGTGGAATTTCTCAGGAGCCTTCTGAACAATGGCAGCTTCTTTACCTTGAACCCCACAGTGAATGTCACACAAATGAACCTCACCACAGGTAGGAATTCACTGCTTGAAGTCCAGATAAACCAAATACTGGAGAGAATTCATTAAAGAATTTATGAAAGGACATCCTTAGGAGTTATTGGTAATGGACTGTTTTGTCTGCAGCCTGCTCTCCAGTCAGTGGTGATTACCAGTGCAGGTGTGAGGATCAGTATCGTTGGCCATGTGACCAATGTGTAACATATGGATCATGTGACAACATCACTGGTGACACATGTGGATGCATCAGTGGCATTCCTGCTGATGGACAGTACTGCCAGGCTGAGGATCAATACAGTGAGTAGCCGATGGATTCATGTGAATCTGAAATGTAACTGCCAACATCACTCACATATTGTCCCTGGTTTTATAAAAGCTCAGTTAACAAACTCTGATATTTCATTTGCTAAAAGACTTTCTTGATTGTTACAGACTTTACAGCCTGTCCTCCAACAACAGCAATTACTCTAACACATACAAGTAAGACTCAAAAGATGGTTAATGCAATGAAAATAAAGTATTTAATGGTATTCTGGTAATAAGCATTGCTTCGTGTTTTCCTTTCTTCTTTAGTTGCAGCCTCCACGGCACCAGCAGTCATCCGTCAATTCATTGTTTCTGTTGAGCTGACAACCACAGATGTTGGAGTTGTAGAGCAGCTGAGAAACATCAGTTTCCCCCTCAGCCTCAGTGAAGGCATCCAGCTCTCCACCATGAACATTTCTACAGGTAAAACTGTTTGCCCCATTACTGTATTGGAAGCAATGTTGTCAACGTGAACAGCCTGTCTTGTTTTCAGTGTGTTCCCCGTATAATACCAGCTACCAGTGCAGATGTGAGGATCAGTATGGCTGGCCTTGTGACATGTGCTCCACTTATGGCCAATGCAACAAAGTTCTGGACAGTACCTGTGGATGCATCAATGCGCTTCTTCCAAATGATACTTACTGCCAGCCACTGTCAGGTAGGTGGAGCACATCTCTCAGAATCTAAAATAATTTTTTCAACATATTTACCTGATGTTTTTGGGTGTTTTTCTCAAAAATTCCCTGCACCTCATTCAAACAGATCTCGATGTTTGTCCAACACCAACTCCTAGCGGTATGAAAAACTACAACACTTCTACAATTACTATGTTTGGTGGCTGCGCTGGTTTAGTATGTGAGAGCAGCTCGCTGTGTTTTGATATGACTGAGGCAAGAAAGTAGAGCTTTAATATCAAAGTGAACGAAAATGATAATGTTAATTCATGATGTTACACGAGACATACTATTCTCTATTGAATTTTTAAGTCATATTCAATATTTCAAATGATTTTGATACTAGATCATATAAAGTTTTCTTCAGTAGCTTTCTAGTCATGTGCCTCATTGACTAAGTCAGTGTGAAACTGTTCCAGTAGACTGGATAGATGAGGCATTGTCATTTTTATGCCTTTTAATATTTTTTTTTGTTTGTTTTTTAGCATTTTTATTTTTCAGAATTTTGTATTTTCCTTCAATAGCTTCTAGATCATGTGGCCCATCAACTCAAAATCAGTGTGAAATAGTCATTGGACCAACGACATTGAGCAATCACAGAAGTTAAAGACATTCAGGCAATTACATGAACCAACAGAAGGGGGCAGTAGCATCAAAAAAGAACTGCAATGGTTCACTGCTTCACTGCAGATGAATTGACAAGGCGACAGTGAATAATAACCACAACACAGCTGAAGACATAACATCTACATATGCAGCAAACGCATAATGCAACATAGACATATCACCAATGTATGCTAAATCTATTTACAACATAGATATATATCCATAAAGCATGAAGACCATAGAAATCAACCAAAGACACACAGCAACAACTTGGACCAACTACATCTACACATGACTTGTACTTAATTTTGACACAAATAGTCTCTGTAATATGGTTGATTGTGGGCAGCAACTTAAAAATGGGTTTGGTTTCCAAGCTTGGTTTAATGATAAACATGTTTCGCCAAAACTCAACTACTCTTAGAATTGCTTTATATAAACATTTGGCATCAGTTTTGCTTGTTGTTAATATGTGATGCATGTAAAACTGATTTCATTCAAACTCAATATACAATACTACTAAATAGCTCTTTCTATTGTACAATTGTAACAGTGATTAGATTTGATTTTCAGAGTTCTGCACATCAAATTCCACACTTCTAATGTCAGTGCTTTAATGCTCATGTTACAGACAGTTCTAATATTTTTTCTAATACAGATTCAACAACCCCTCTTACTAATGCAAAAACTACACCACCTGCTACAAGTAAGAGTCTCTATTTTAAAGTGGCTCTTTGTTATTTGGTTCATAGTAAGCGGCAAATTAAATACGTTTTTCTAATACAGATTCAACAACCTCTGTTACTAATGCAACAACTACAACACCTGCTACACCACCTGCTACAATACCTGCTACAAGTAAGAAACTCTATTTTAATGTGGCTCTTTGGTTCATAGAGGGAGACAACTTCAATACTATTTTCTATTACAGATTCAACAACCCCTGTTACTAATGCAACAACTACACCACATGCTACACCACCTGCTACATCACCTGCTACAAGTAAGAGACTCTATTTTAAAGTGGCTCTTTGTTATTTGGTTCATAGTAGGCAATAACTTAAATACTTTTTTCTAATACAGATTCAACAAACCCTGTTACTAATTCAACAACAACAACCGCTACACTACCTACTACAAGTAAGGTTGCTCTTTGTTCTTTGGGTGGGCTGCAACTTAAAAATGGGTTTTATTAAGGTGGGGGAGCAGTACTTGCTGAATAGTCCTTTGCATTTTTCTTCAAACAATGTCAGTTTGCAGTATTAACTCTTTCTTTGCAGTTTTAACAACTGAGCCCACAACAACGCCTTATACAACAACCCACTCAACAACTACAGAGATGGGTAAGGCTTCCAAGTAAATGCTATTCTGCTTTTCAGTGGAAATGCACTCCAAACTTGTTGCTGGAACTTAATTAGAAATGTGAACTTGGAGGCTGACATTAGGGTTGGGGATGTCTGTGCTGCTGCTACCTGTTTAGCATTGAGATGCTATTTTAGGCTTGAATGATAAATGATGCTTGATGATAGGCTACCTGATGGGATGTTTTCCAGCATCCCATCACATTGTTTTTTCAAAGCAAAAGTTGACCATCATTGGGAAAAGAGAAGCGGTTTTCAGATGTATAAAATTATACATGTTAACAGTGATGTTTATTTGATCATTGTCACTTATTATTCTGAGTTCAATTTTATTTTTTTCCGCTGAGGAATTTTGAGTGATACATTTTTACAAATATTCAACTTGTTACTGTGTAGCTTTTTACTGTGACTTCTGTTACCCTGAATAAATTTTATTTTATTCAGGGTAAATTAGGGGAGAGTGATAGTAATGAAGTCTTTTTAGATTTGTATTCTTAAAATGATTCAAACTTGTAAATTGGCCTTCCCCTTGCATTAAAATCCTATATACCATCGTAAAGTTTACTTCATTTGATGATGCCATAAGTAACGTTCTATGCAAATAAATTTGAGTGTAAACAGAAAAAAAATCTCACTCGAACTTTGAAAAGCTATAATTTCTTCCCTGTGTATCTTCCTAGGTGTTGCATATTTTAATTTATTGGTATACTTTAATTATCCTTTCGCCCAAATAAATTTACATTTTTACATAAATTTACATGATACATTAAAAACAATTCGGAAAACTTTGGTCTACACTTTGGTCTACATTATGCAAACAGCATATTTTTCATGTATTTATCTCTGATCTCTACAAACTCGTCTGAACACCAGAAGCAGACGACCAAACTAATTTAAAAGCGATTCTCTGGAATACTACACATTGTCTGATTTCTCTCTGTCCAGCTTCACGAGTTGTTTATCAATTCCTGATTTCCCTTGAGTTGAAAACCACATATGTTAGAGCTGCAGAAGAGCTGAGAAACATCAACTACACCATCGGCTCCATCAATTTAGTGCAGATCACTGACGTTTACATCTCTACAGGTAATAACTTCAACATGTCTGATGCTACTGATGGAATTAATTGAAATGTATTGAATTGGATTGTATTAATAAAGCCTGTCTCATTTTCAGTGTGCTCCCCTCACAATACCAGCTACCAGTGCAGATGTGAGGATCAGTATCGTTGGCCATGTGACCAATGTGTAACATATGGATCATGTGACAACATCACTGGTGACACATGTGGATGCATCAGTGGCATTCCTGCTGATGGACAGTACTGCCAGGCTGAGGATCAATACAGTGAGTAGCCAATGGATTCATGTGAATCTGAAATGTAACTGCCAACATCACTCACATATTGTCCCTGGTTTTATAAAAGCTCAGTTAACAAACTCTGATATTTCATTTGCTAAAAGACTTTCTTGATTGTTACAGACTTTACAGCCTGTCCTCCAACAACAGCAATTACTCTAACACATACAAGTAAGACTCAAAAAATGCTTAATGCAATGAAAATAAAGTATTTAATGGTATTCTGGTAATAAGCATTGCTTCGTGTTTTCCTTTCTTCTTTAGTTGCAGCCTCCACGGCACCAGCAGTCATCCGTCAATTCATTGTTTCTGTTGAGCTGACAACCACAGATGTTGGAGTTGTAGAGCAGCTGAGAAACATCAGTTTCCCCTCAGCCTCAGTGAAGGCATCCAGCTCTCCACCATGAACATTTCTACAGGTAAAACTGTTTGCCCCATTACTGTATTGGAAGCAATGTTGTCAACGTGAACAGCCTGTCTTGTTTTCAGTGTGTTCCCCCTATAATACCAGCTACCAGTGCAGATGTGAGGATCAGTATGGCTGGCCTTGTGACATGTGCTCCACTTATGGCCAATGCAACAAAGTTCTGGACAGTACCTGTGGATGCATCAATGCGCTTCTTCCAAATAATACTTATTGCCAGCCACTGTCAGGTGGGAGTAGCAAGTTTCTGTTTTTTACCATTTCTTACTCATTATAGAGATTTTTTTAATTTAATTTATTCTGTCTTTTGCAATTCCCAATATTTTCTTTCAACAGATATTGACTCCTGCCTGATACCCACCTCTCCATCCCTTGGTAGGAAGTAATTCATTTTTTTCGTTCTTGGTCTCTTCCCTTTTTAATGATAGTGCTACCTGTTCACAATCACAAAAACTACTGAGAGTTTTTAAAAGCAACATACTAAGGAAGGTTAAGTGTCAATCTACTCAGTTTAGCTAAAGTACACTGTGTTAGTCTGACTAGCTTGTTAGCTTTCTCTGCTCTGTAGACTTTCCAACAAGCTTAACATGATACAACATATTTCCAATATAAGTAAGGACACTATTACTGATTATTATTTTTTAAGAGTCTCTACTGAAAATTAATTAACCCTTGAATGATAAACAGAGAAATTTACCATACATATGTCATTGACAAAAGCAAGGAAAGTAGAAACAATAGCAACTATCAAAGTTTCAGTCAGAGGACACAAAAAAGAAATCAGCTTCTTTTCTTTTACCCAACACTGCTGACACTGCATAACAAAGCAGTTGTCTCAAGGGGCTTCTCCAGTTTTTGTGATTGCATGGATTATCTGTAACCTTTTGGTATGAATGCCTTTTTTTATTCAGGAATGGAGCTTGCATTAAAAAAAACTTCTCAGATTGACCATTTAAACTCCAACATTGATCAAAAACAGAAAGAAAATTAAGTGTTGTTCATATTAACTAATATTTTGTCAAGATTTTTTCCATCTACAGTTTTGACAATTCAGAGATAAATGGTCACAAGAACAACCCAACAAGCCTTTTCTGATATAAATGTAGTCATTAAACAAAGATCATGGCAACAGTTGTGAACTCTAAGAAAATACACCAGAGAATTTAAGAGAAGAAAATATCAATGGAATTCAGAATTTGTTTTCAATGTAACATAAAGGTATTGGTGAATCACTCCTCCTCATCTGCATTTAGCATTTCCTTATTTGTCTTATGTAATCACTGGACTTAAGTTCAACAAATGATGCTTCAAACTTGTCTAAGTTGTTACTTTATCAGGTGCAACGGTGAACATCCAGACCACCAACCCTGCCACAACGATTACTACCATGAATGATCTCCCACCTACCTTTACTACCCTCACAACTAGTACCACTGCTCCCACAACTAATACCACTGCCCCCACAACTAATACCACTTCCTCCACAACTACCACTGCCCCCCCAAATAATACCACTTCCCCCACAACTACTACCACTTCCCCCACAACTCCTACCACTTACCCCACAACTACTACCACTTCCCCCACAACTCCTACCACTTCCCCCACAACTCCTACCACTGCCCCCACAAGTAATATCACTTTCCCCACCACTTTCCCCACAACTAATACCACTTTCCCCACAACTAATACCACTTCCCCCACAACTCCTACCACTTCCCCCATAACTACTACCACTTCCCCCACAACTACTACCACTTCCCCCATAACTACTACCACTTCCTCCACAAATAATACCACTTCCTCCACAACTCATACCACTTCCTCCACAACTAATACCACTGCCCCCACGACTAATACCACTTCCTCCACAACTCCTACCACTTCCCCCACAACTAATACCACTTCCCCCACAACTAATACCACTTCCTCCACAACTAATACCACTTCCCCCACAACTACCACTGCCCCCCCAAATAATACCACTTCCCCCACAACTACTACCACTTCCTCCACAACTAATACCACTGCCCCCACGACTAATACCACTTCCTCCACAACTCCTACCACTTCCCCCACAACTAATACCACTTCCCCCACAACTAATACCACTTCCTTCACAACTCCTACCACTTCCCCCACAACTACCACTGCCCCCCAAATAATACCACTTCCCCCACAACTACTACCACTTCCCCCACAACTCCTACCACTTCCCCCACAACTACTACCACTTCCACCACAACTCCTACCACTTCCCCCACAACTCCTACCACTTCCCCCACAGCTACCACTGCCCCCACAAGTAATACCACTTTCCCCACCACTTTCCCCACAACTAATACCACTTCCCCCACAACTCCTACCACTTCCCCCATAACTACTACCACTTCCCCCACAACTACTACCACTTCCCCCATAACTACTACCACTTCCTCCACAAATAATACCACTTCCTCCACAACTCATACCACTTCCTCCACAACTAATACCACTGCCCCCACAACTAATACCACTTCCTCCACAACTCATACCACTTCCCCCACAACTAATACCACTTCCTCCACAACTAATACCACTTCCTTCACAACTAATACCACTTACCCCGCAACTACTACCACTTCCCCCACAACTAATACCACTTCCTCCACAACTAATACCACTTTCCCCACAACTAATACCACTTCCCACCACAACTAATACCACTTCCTCCACAAGTAATACCACTTTCCCCACAACTATTGCCACTTTCTCCACAACTAATACCACTTTCTCCACAACTGATACCCTCCCCCAACTCCTACCACTTCCCCCACAACTACCACTGCCCCCACAACTAATACCACTTCCCCCACAACTACTACCACTTCCCCCACAAATAATACCACTTTCCCCACAACTAATACCACTTTCCCCACAACTAATACCACTTTCCCCACAACTAATACCACTTCCCCCACAACTAATACCACTTCCTTCACAACTAATACCACTTCCCCCACAACTACTACCACTTCCACCACAACTAATACCACTTCCTCCACAAGTAATACCACTTTCCCTACAACTATTGCCACTTTCTCCACAACTAATACCACTTTCTCCACAACTAATACCACCTCCCCCACAACTCCTACCACTTCCCCCACAACTACCACTGCCCCCACAACTAATACCACTTCCCCCACAACTACTACCACGTCCCCCACAACTCCTACCACTTCCCCCACAACTATCACTGCCCCCACAACTAATACCACTTCCCCCACAACTAATACCACTTCCCCCACAACTCCTACCACTTCCCCCACAACTAATACCACTTTCCCCACAGCTAATACCACTTTCCCCACAACTAATACCACTTTCCCCACAACTAATACCACTTCCCCCATAACTACTACCACTTCCCCCACAACTAATACCACTTTCCCCACAACTAATACCACTTACCCCACAACTCCTTCCACTTCCCCCACAACTACCACTGCCCCCACAACTAATACCACTTCCCCCACAACTACCACTGCCCCCACAACTAATACCACTTCCCCCACAAGTAATACCACTGCCCCCACAACTAATACCACTTCCCCCACAACTACCACTTCCCCCACAACTATCACTTCCCCCACAACTAATACCACTTCCCCCACAACTACTACCACTTCCCCCACAACTCCTACCACTGCCCCCACAACTAATACTTCCCCCAACTACCTGCCCCCACAACTAATACCACTTCCCCCACAAGTAATACCACTGCCCCCACAACTAATACCACTTCCCCCACAACTACCACTGCCCCCACAACTATCACTTCCTCCACAACTAATACCACTTCCCCCACAACTACCACTGCCCCCACAACTAATACCACTTCCCCCACAACTACCACTGCCCCCACAATTATCACTTCCCCCACAACTCCTACCACTTCCCCCACAACTCCTACCACTGCCCACACAACTACTACCTCTTCCCCCACAACTACTACCACTTCCCCCACAACTACTACCACTTCCCCCACAACTACCACTGCCCCCACAACTATCACTTCCTCCACAACTAATACCACTTCCCCCACAACTACCACTGCCCCCACAACTAATACCACTTCCCCCACAACTACTACCACTTCCCCCACAACTCCTACCACTGCCCCCACAACTAATACCACTTCCCCCACAACTACCACTGCCCCCACAATTATCACTTCCCCCACAACTCCTACCACTGCCCACACAACTACTACCTCTTCCTCCACAACTACTACCACTGCCTCTACAACTACTGCCACTGCTGCAGGTAATGATACATTGAAAATATACTTTTAAACACACCATGAAAGCTATCCTTTTAGATTATGTATGTTGTTCCATGAGTGTGAATAGAGATTTTTACAATTAAAATTTACCACTGTATGTTGTTTGTGAATATATTTTGTACCACAGGAGTATCGGAATTTCAGTCTGGAGGCCATTTGAAGCTCTTGGAATGATTGTGATGCTGTAATTTTAAAAATGTGTTCAAACATGCAGATAGTTGTGTCCAGGTGGAGACTTTTTTTTTTCCCAATTATGACCCACAAGTTAAAATCTTCTCACAAAAATGTTAGGAATAACATAAAGTTTCTATATTTTAATAACCAAGTTTTATGCTTTTCCTTTCATTTCGAGGTTGATTAGACCACAACTCTCCACTGAGTTAAGCAGACTTTGATGCACCCAAATCTGCTTTCAATTGCATTCTTAAAAACTTTCAAATAAAGAGTGACATATACAATATTTTTTCTGCTAAGGGTAGATCATGTCTTTTTCCGTAATAATAAATTTGTCAAGGGATTGCTATTCTTTCAATATCGAAAACATTTGGAACCCTTTTGAAGCTTTTGTTCAACAATAATTTACACTGTCCTTTTCTACAAAAATCAGACCATTTTCATTATTTAAAAAAAATAAATTCTTACTTGGTTTAAGTAGAAAATAAATTCTCAAAACTTATTGTGATTTTTTTGTTTGTAAAAAAAGTTAAATATTTGTAACTTTTGAGCTGATTTTGGCCCATTTTACTAAACGTTCGGACTCTTGTGGTGTAGAAGCAGGAATGATTTGCTTGTTTAAAGCTTGACACACACATTATTTTTTTAATTAAACCATACTTATTTTGTCACACAATGCAATGTCAAAATGTGAAAATCATGAAATCTTTATGCATACGCTGCAAGAACAGAACGTCATCATTGGTTTTGAGGAAACTGAACTTTTCATTTTGCATGCCCACAGACCAGCTATTACGGCTTACAGTCTGATCATTTTTAGTGAGTTTTTCATAATAAAAGATTTTGATGATGATTGCCAACAGACTATTTGGCTTTGTAAGAAGCTCAGTAAGCAAGATGCTGTCTCAACTTGTTTTGCAGACTGTCAAATCTGTGAACTTGTATATGTATATTTTTTCACCTAATGAGGGTGTTTGATGCTTGTGGAGAATGAATACTGTCTATTTATAAAATCTGTGTTTCATGTGTAATATTTGTTTTGGAAAATTCTGAAAGTAAAATTATCCATCTTATTTCAACCAATCAGCAATAGACATGTCAGTTGAGTTGAACATGGATTTTAAAGAGGAGTATGACAAGCCAGAAAGTCCTGAGTACAAAACCCTTTCAAGAAATATCACTGTATTAGTGAGTATTTTACATTTCAGTAACAGGTTTTAGACTTCCTTTAATGTTGATATAATTAATCAGATTTTTTCTTGTGCAGCTTGAGAAGCAGTATCGCAATCTGGACGGCTTCCTTGGTGTTTCTGTGACAAAATTCAGGTATATATGTTTCTTCATGAAAGTAAATGTTACATTAGTAGTCTTAATGTATGTTTCAATACAATGTTTTTGGTTTCCTTTTCCCTGAAGAAAAGGAAGTGTTATTACAGATTTTACTGTTAAGATCAAATCTGGATCAGTTGATGAGACTAAAGTGAATGCAGTTAATTCGAAACTCAATGAAGCATTGGGATCAATTGCTCCTGTTATTGGCTCAGTGACTGCAAAGTACTACAGTAAGTCTAAAATATTTGTTTTTTTATTTTTTTACCTCTTTGTGAATATATCTCTAACTAACCTTATTCTCTCTTAAAGGTTCAACTCAACTTCAGTCAAGTGTAAATAAGTTCATTTATACTGGTAAAACCATGACACTGACATGTGACCCTACTGAGGCCAGTCTGGGAAAAATTAACAGTGTTATATGGAGACATAACCAGGTTGCACTCGAGTCAGATCGGCACAAAAAGTATATTTCTGGAAGTCAGTACAAGCTGGCAGTGGAAAAAGTTATTCTTGGCGATGCTGGTAAGTTAAAAACAAATTTACCAAGTTAAAAAAATTACTAAAATGTGAAATTTAAATATTACAGTATATCCTTTATTCAAGTATGCGTTTTGATAGCTCAATTCTTTACATCACTTTTCATCGCAATGCCAGAAAACCAACTCATGAACAGATGTTCCAGTTTAGTCAGTAGAATATTTAGAGCAGTTGTCCATTTAAAGCTATCTTTATTTGTCATACAGAATCTAAATGGAGCACTATTTTCCACTCAATTCACAAAGGTCAAAATGCAACCAAAGGTCATGTTTTAATGCCCAATGCAGCGGTGCCAGTTGTTTTTCCCATCCAGAAAATTAAAAAAAAATGACTTGATCCAAATATCACACAGAACAAGAAAGGTTTCCAGCTATTTTGTAACAGATGAAAGCGAATAATTTCAAAACATGAGAAGATTACCTGTGCTTGTCTTGTGTTGTAAAACTCCTTAATTAAGCTGTGTAGAGGAGAGAGACTCATTTCTGAGTCAGTCAGTACAGAAGGTTGTTGAGAGTTAGGGAGGCAAGCACCAAATCCTACTCTTGACATCCAAGTAAAATAGTAGCATGAACAGAATCTAAACCAGATACTGGGTCAGGTAGCAATAATCAGCATATTGTCCAATAAAGAATTGAACAACATCCCAAAAGCAGGAGAAACTAGAGTAAGACAACTTGGTTAGAAGTCCAGCACAAGCACTAAAAACCCTTTGCAAACGATCTATCAGTTTTGTAAGACGAATTAAAAGTGAATTAAAGGTGACCAGATGTTAAGAAATGATTGCATGGATAACAGTTTGGTGCTCCAAGAAATTACCAGCTGAAAAACTAACAATATTTATACAAACAACAGAAAACAAATGGCAGGTCAGAACTCTGCTCATCTTGATTAGATTTTAAGGAAAGAGGACCCTCGTCTAAATACTACAATATGCACATTTTAGTAAGAAAATTGTACTTTTACAGTCAAGCAACATTCACCCAGCCTCTTACTAATGTGTTCAACCAACACAAATATGCCCAAAAGCACATTGCGTGGCCGGTAATTGGACCCACAAACTTCCAGTTACAAGCAAACCACTCTCCTTTGAGTTATAGTTACATCGTGTCATCAAAAAGAGTTAGCTATTTGGATCAACATGATCAAGGATTCATGCAATTCTTCTGCTTGGACTTTATTAAATCAATAAACACTCTGATAAATTCCTAACCACAGGAAATTATGAATGCTCACTGCAAGGAGACTCTATGACTTTCATCCAAGAAAGAAATGTGGGAACAAATGAGATCAAATCAGCTCCTAACGTGCGAGTCCAGCAAACCATGTTGGCGAAATGCAAGGAGGGACAAAATCAACCAGTAGACTGCTGTGTGCAGTCTCCTTATACTATCAAGTGGTATGATGGTTCAAAGCTTTTAACTTCTGGTAAGTATGAAACAAATATGTTGTATATTACTCAGCTGAGTTCTCTATAAACATTTTAAATGTCCACTGTTGCTGGTGCAGGGTCAGACTGCATCAAGTATGAATATCCAATGAAAAGCTGCAGCGTACAACAAACAAAAACATTCACATGTAAAGTTACTGAAGACGAGACGTATAGCGCAACAACAACCCTGACCATTTTTACAGATCGTAAGTGTAGCATTTGAAATATAAAATATTTTGCTCTGTTTTAGTTTTCTGTTTATTGATTGTAAATATTTTTGCACCTTTAAGCTATTGTGTGTGACAATGAGGAGTATGGGTCTGGACGAACCGGTGACAAAGCAAACGCAATGTGCCCTGTTGGCTTGGAGGGGTACAAGACTGCCGAGTGTCAGAAATCAGGAGAATGGAAACTTGTGGAGGACACCTGCATTGTAACCAAGATCAATGAATTACTTATTGAGTCAGTGGTAGGTAGCTTTGTGCCATAGTATTTTTTTTTTAAATAAGTTACAGTACGGTTGATGTTATGATGCAGACCTGAAATAATTTCTAGGTTTTCCTACAATTTGTTTCTGTTGCTTCCTATTGAAATCAGCACCATATATGATTAACATCTTAGTAACTCTTGTTTGAAGTGTTGAAAAGAACCAATATCTTCATCTCAGTGTCTTCTGAACATCTTAATTGTGTGCCATTCGTTCCACCTTAGCAACTCTAGTTGTCACATTCCATCACAGGGTTTTAAGAGAATTGTTGAAGGTGCAGTTAAAAACAAAAACCAAAGAGATCAGGGACAACAAAGTGGAGACCCTGCATATTTGCAGATTTTTTATGCAGCAAATCTAAAATATTTAAAAGGTATGGCAGCTAGGAAAGCTGGACTACCTCGACACTTGCTACTTGAGATGCTGTTGTTTCAAAGCAGCCAATCCAGTGGCACCCTTCATTTTCCTCGGCATTGATTGGTTGTACAACCAATAGCAAAAATAATTAAAAACTTTGGATTTTTGCCTCTAAGGTTGTGCCAAGCGGGCTTCTACTCTACATATTGGTATATGAACTATTAAAATCACATTCATAAAATTCTTTTGAGGTTTCGACCCATATCCCACACAAATACCTGGGATCCTATGTACCAGAAAAATTAGGATGTTAACTAACTTAATTCAAATCATTTGTGTCAAGATTTTCCACTAACAATTTTTTTCTCAATTCCAATCAAAGTAATCTTGAATCTAAGAACCATTATTCCAATCCAATAACAATTCTAGAAGGTTTGTATCATGGAAGATTAATGAAATAAAAACATATTAGACAATGAAAACAGTTTGTGAAGTTATTCTAATACAGCGGGTAGGAAGGAGAAACCATTTATAACTGACTGAAAAATATGACAGACTACTGCACAACCTAGATCCTTTTGGACTTGCACCATACCCAAAAAAACAGCACATCCGTCTTTCTAGTCACGGTTTCTCAATGCCTGAAATTAAAAAGAAATCACTCTATCGACAGTTAGCTGTGTAAGTAAAAGTTACAACAACCTCGAATGGATCTTGATAAAAAATTACAATAAAGAACTTTGTTCTCATTCAGTTTCTCTTGTGGTCACCAAGAGACCACCAGAGAATAAAGTAAGGGTATAAACTTGAAATCAAATTGTTTGTCCAATTTTTATATCTTCCTTTTGCCCATTTTCATTGTCTTAGGATCTGAAGGAAGAAGAGATTCAGGTATTTTCAACAAATCTAAGTAAGGTTGTCAAAGAAGAGGAGGAGAAAATCTCAAAATCTTCAGCAACAATATCAGCTGTGGTTAACCTATTAAAGACAATTGCAGATGTTTCAAAAGAGGTTACTAAAGATGTTATGAAGGTCAGTGGAGTGATCTATATTTTTAACCTCTTAATAAATAGGTACAAATAAATTTGCTAACATTTTACTCTCCCAATATTTTATTTCTCATCCACAGAATGTGCTAGATACTGTCGATGTCCTTGTTAGTGACGGAGCAAAAGACTCCTGGAACTTTCTGAACTCAAACGAAACCCAAAATTCAAGCTCAGCACTTCTTGGTTCAATGGAGACAATCTCTAACAAACTGAATGGAAATTTTACTTTAAGTACTCAACGGATCCAGATGGGCAGGTCCAAGTTCAGTAACTCTTTCAGTGAAGAATTGACCTCCAATGTGTCCATAACTCTTCCAAATACAGGCCTCAGTGACGTCTTTATAACCACTATTGTATTCTCCACCCTCCACAACGTTATGCCGTCTCGGAATTCTTCGTTTAACCTTACTGTGTCCAACACCACCAGCAATGAAACTATACCTGACAATGTCATCAATGGTGCTGTTCTGCTTGTCAAAGTAAATGAAGTGATTAACAATGTCACTCTGAGCTATCAAAAGCTCAATACCACTCTGGAACTGAACCCTCAGTGCGTTTTCTGGAATTTTACTCTCTTTGATAATCTTGGCGCATGGGATGACCAGGGCTGTGAGTTTGTTTCTGATATAAACGACACTGTAACCTGCACCTGCAACCATCTCACATCGTTCTCAATTCTTATGTCAACTGACATCCCTGAAGAACTAAGACTATTACTGGACATAATGACATATATCGGTGTTGGAATATCAATGATCAGCTTAATTATTTGTCTCATCATTGAAGGAATCGTATGGCGACCCCTTACTAAAAAGCACTGCCTTTATGCGCCATGTTGCCATTGTTAACACAGCCCTGTCCTTGCTGATTGCTGACATCTGTTTCATCATTGGGGCCGCCATTGCAAAGAACCCCAAAGAAAACCCAGGCGAGGACTACAAAGTTCCAGTTGGACCATGCAGTGCAGCAACCTTCATGCACTTTTTCTATCTCGCCATGTTCTTTTGGATGTTTGTTTCAAGCCTGCTGCTCTTGTACCGGTCAGTCATGGTCTTCTCCCAAATGTCCAAATGGACGATGTTCGCCATTGGCTTGACTGTTGGATACGTTTGCCCTCTGATAATAGCTGTTACTACAGTTGCTGCCACTGCACCTGGGGGTGGATATGTAAGGGAAGATCAAGCTTGTTGGCTAAACTGGACAAAGACCAAGGCTCTCCTGGCCTTAGTGATCCCTGCCTTGGCAATAGTTGTGTTCAATATTTTGGTCATTCTGGTGGTTTTGTACAAGATGCTCAGAAGACGAAGCACTGGAAACCAAGCCCAGGCAGATGAGAAAAATGCCCTGCTTGTCATTCTAAGATGTGTGGCTATATTGACTCCATTATTCGGACTGACCTGGTGTTTGGGAATTGGAACCATGGTGGACCCAACAAATGGAGGGATCCATGTTGCCTTTGCTTTCTTCAACTCCTTACAGGTATTTGCATTTGATCACAAAAACAATTGAAATTTATTGCTGGCATTTCAGTATCCATTTTTTTTCTTGCACTCTGTTAATGAAATGAAATAATTTTTGATCTTCCTCAGGGCTTCTTCATTTTAGTGTTTGGGACGTTATTCGATGCCAAGGTAGGTTGACTTCTTAACATTTTGTAGTAATTTTTTCTTTGTTTCTTTTGAACTGTGGATCTACATGTGCTAGTACTTTCTCGAAACGAAGGGGCAGACAGGTTTTCACACTAATAGCTGTGACAAAGACTATGTGATAAAGAACAATCTAAATTAGCCATATCTGAATTTAAATGGAATATTAAATCTAAGGGTAAACAATCTGGATCTGTAGGTGCTGGTTTAAAACATTCATTTGTTTTCAGTAGTAGAGCTTATAAAGAATCTTGCCTGCAACACAACTTACATTACTCAGTACGCAATGGAAGTTTCTAGTGGCAGTTTTTGGTAAAATGAAGTAGTCCTTCAAATGGTCCTTCTCCTCAAACTACCACAAATATTTGTGTTTAACTTCCAAGTTTTTTAAACTGCCCACGTTCTATATTATCATATTTTCCGGACTATAAGCCGCTCCAGCCATAAAATGCATAATGAAGAAAAATTTATATATAAGTTGTTTTCATATATAAGGAAATGTATTTGATAAAAATCCTACACCAAGAAGAGACATGCCGTCTTGAAAGGCAATAAAATTAGAATAGAGGCAACAAGAGGCTGAATAATTGCATGGTATGCTAACGTTACATGACACAGGAACAATGAACTGGTGTGTTAACATAACATATTAAGAGTTATTCAGAAAACTATAGCATAAATAACATGCTAACAAGTTTATCAAACCATCTGTGTCACTCCAAATCAATAAACTAAATGAAATCTTCATCCTCAATGTTGTTTTTAAACTAGAATAACAGGCCTAGAATGCCCTCTTGCAGTTTAGTGTGAAAATAACATGTGATATGATATCATGATGTGATCATTTCCACACATAAGTCGCTCCGGAGTATAAGTCACACCCCCGACCAAACTATGAAAAAAAACTGTGACTTATAGTCCAGAAAATACGGTAGTCTTTCTATTTCTAGTGTATACTGATGTTTCAAAGTCTTTTTTTTCTTCCTTTTCCACACAATTTCTATGAATTTTAAAAGCAAGAATCTGATGTTCAATACTAAAATATTAATTTCTCTCTGTCATCCACATTCAAAGACAAACACATCTCATCTAATTTCCACACAGTTCTTTTTTTGGATGTTTCATCACTCACATAAGTGCTGATAAAATTAAATTGTTCCTCTTGTGCAGCTCAATGCATAAAACACATTTATTTCTATTACCAAGGAGATCAGAAACATTCTTATAGCAAATTTTTACTTTACTTTCTTGGCCCAACGACAGTTCTGTGAAATAAAGTCTTTTGTCAGTAAAAAGAAACTTCCAACTGCAGTCAGTGATGTTGCTTTTGATCCTCAGAAAACTTTTCTCACTCCAAAATTCAAATGAATGTATTTGAAGATTCACAAAATCCACATTACCTGTAAACTTGAAAAAAATAAATAAATAAAATGATAACATTTTCACCCAGAAACAAATAACTAAAGAAATAATAAAAGAATAAAATCCCCACATGGAAATCCTCCCACGTCCTTGTTGCGGGTATAAAAGGTTTCTGACAGACTGCATTCAACCTGTGAATAAGGCTGATGTTTGGTTTGGTCTCACATCCAAACCATGGGACTAGGAAATAAATGTTGCCTAAATTTCTAGAAAATCTCACTGCAGAAAAGGAAATTGTCTTAGCTGAACAAAAATATCAAAATGAGTTTTGTAGTATTTTGGACAGTTCACACACCCCTCCCCACAAACTTATTAGTTTTTTCTTTAACAAATATATATATATATATTTTCAGATCCGCTCTCTTGTTTTGCGACAAGTACCTGCATTAAGCACTACTTCTAATCGCACAAAGGTAAGTTCAAATTTGAAAACTAAAAATCACCAAATGTCAAAAAAAAAAACTATTATTTTGATCAATTTTATGTTTTGGATTCCTGATATGTCAGTCTACAATAAACCTTTGATGTCATGAAATATACACAAAGCAAACTTTTAATGTCACCTGTTTCCGACTGTAGAGCACTACTAGTGCAGGAAGTTCTTCCAGTCGTGCAGAAAATGTCATGAACCGAATTTTTCGGAGAAGGGGTAAGTTGTTTTCATCTTCATTACGATCACTGTTGAACTTGAGTTTCCTATCATGATTGACATGTTGCTGTTTGTCTTCCAGGAGTGTACCATGTTTCACAAGTTCCAAACACAAGCAGCAACACTGACTCGTCACAGTCGTACAGCAGCATCTAAATCAGTTCAAGACATGTCTGCAGATTTATGCACAAAATTCCTCATTTTTTTGTTGTCAATTTATTTATAAATGTTGCCTTTTTAAAGATAGGAAATGGTGGTGATGCATAAATAGTCCAGCATCACCACCATTCCACAAACTTATGAAGGAAGCTGAAATAGTATTTTAACACAGTGGCACATCTCTTGTTTGTACTACTTGACACTTTACTGCTGATTCTGTCTTGATATTGTGAAGACAGTCAGAATGTATAGGACTTTTTACAACGCAATGCAAAGAGCTAAAGAAGAAAATAATTTCCTCCCCCCTGAACTCTTCTGCTAATGTTACGCAAGATTATTTCAATCAGGAGAGACTCAGATGAGAATGAAAGCGATTAGAAAAGTTAAGTAAGTCTTTGGCGCTCGGGCCCCGGCTAAGGACATCGAGCTGACGCGATAAGCTCGGATGAGCATTCCGGATGCTGATAGGAATGACATCCCCCCGGGACCCGGCCTGGTGGTGGAGGTCAGTGAATGAGTATGCCTGGGAGCCTGGACGGTGGAGGTGGGTTGAGCGCAGACTCGGGAGCGTCTGATGGGGAAGGAAGGGCCGAGGACGCGGCTAAGCAGCTGTACGCAAGGAATCACGAAGAAAGGGATCCGCTGGGATGGCTTGCTGGGAAGCTGGGGCGTGCGAATGAACGTGTTGAGCGCAGCAGCGAAACGGGAGGCACTTTGGATGGACGTCCTTATGAACTGGGGCGTGGTCGGTGATTGGCTGCGACATGGCTAGGTCTAGAGATGATAGGTCGTCAGTGATTAGCGGGACGCACCTACTGAAACCTGCGGGTGGAGCTAAAGAGTCTTCCAGATTGAATTTACGCCTAGGCTCCATTTCATAGATGGTTGAAATATGCTGACATAAAAACAGTCATATTAGGAAATGCACTTAAAATTAAAGCAAAGATACAATGGTGCCGCTTTGGAAAATGGAGTGAAAGTATTTTTTAAAAATATTGAAGGCGAATTCAAAAATGTCAATCTCTACAGAAATTCACGTAAAATATGGATATTCAAAGATGTGGACATGAGATGAGTTGAAGATGATTTACTATAATTTACAATTGTTTGACTTGGGTGATAATTAATAACATTTGATCAGAAAAGCTGCAGATTCGAGAAGATTGAAAATAAAGCAATGAGAGTTATTGAACCAAGAAAACTTGTTTCCTTTTTTCTCCCACTGAATACACGCAGTATGACCTGCTGGGCAGTTGTATCAAATGGTTGGGGTAAATAAAGTTACTGTTCTTGTTTTCAGTTGGATCAGGGTATTTACCGCAACCTCTTTTTAAAAAAATGAAAACTATATATCACCTTTTCCTGTAATGTTTAAAGGTATAATTAACTTGCAGAGGAACTTTTCTCATAATATGTAAACATGTACTAATGAAAATTTGTTATAGTTGCATTTGCTTAATATTGTATATTTTTCGTGGAATCATAAATTACACACTTTGATACAACACAAAGGGCAAAATGAACCGTTTATATTTAAGTGTTGTCTGTCATGTCACACAGAAATGCTTCTTTAAAGCTGATATTTCTGTTAGAACTAAATAAATGTAGGTGCTTTGATTGCATCAACACAAAGTTATTCACTTATTTTAAGCTTTTGAATGAAAGTGACCAAGTTTTACAGACATTCATCCTCAGGTTGTTTCCACTGAGGATGAATATTTTCTATGATTATTTCTTTCCAGTTTTGGAAAAAGTTGTTTTCATTTTCAAAACAATAAAGCTGCTAAGTGACTCAATCTTTGCCCTGTGCTTATTGTTCATTCATTTTCTGCTGCAAACCTTTCAGCAATCAACAGAAATTTATCTACCAGCAATATATAAATGTCTTGGAGGACTGCTTTTGGATGCATTTATTTGACTAGAGAACTTGCTTTTCAGATGTAACAGTGGAGATTTTTTAAGACACTAAGACTTTTTACCCCGTCAAGTTGGATGGAGTGTTTTGATGCAGCACCGCAGACTTTAAAATATATATTTTTTCTTTTTGCAACTAAGGCAAACATCAGCGGTTAGAACGGTTTAATTGCTTTAATGCTGTTAATTTTGTTTTTATTGATTATTAGGAAGAGTATTTCACCATCCTAAATAAAAAAGCTAATATTTTACAAACTAATACTACATAGTTTCAGAGCCTTTTCTTTGTCAAATAAAAATAATTTTTAAGAATTATTAAATAATTATAATCCAAAAGAGCTTATGCATAAATTTGGTCAGAACTTAATAAATTTGGTCCAAAGTTAAGCATTGTCCTACTCGGCATGCAGAGAATCAAGTCGTCACCATCAAGACCTCAACTTGTTGTGCCCGTCAAATTTGCTGAGTCATCATCATGGCTTGTAAACCCAAACCATTCGCAATGTGTTTTGGTCAAACAGCCGTTCCTCTGAAATGTTTTTTTGATGCTCGTGTTCAAAGGTGAAGTGAAAGGGGTCGGGCTTAGGAAGGCACGCAACTTTAAAAGGTAGGTCAAAAAGAAAAAATACTGTGACCTTTGAACCAAAGCATACCTATTTTCACTTGCACATTGAATAACACTTAAAGCTGCATTTTCTAACTTTTTGTAAAAGAAAAACCAAATGTACTGTTTTATTTTTTAAACATTAAAACTGTTGTAACAGTATCATATGAGACGGTATGAGCAGCATGTTCTGACTCTGATTGGTTGTCTCCAGGTGTCACTGGGAGAAGACAGAGGAGCTCTTTTTTCCCACCGATCCCCAAGTGAGGCCAATTGCAAACTAAAAATCTCAAATTAAAATCGTGTTCATTTTGTTCCAGTCTGTTAATGAGATCTCTCTTCTTTTTCGTTTTAGGGGGCATGTCAGATGAACCACCCAGAGCAGGTTGAAAGACAGCGATTGGAGACAGAATAATTCTGTAAATTCTACGAGTTCAATTCCAGTTTGACATTCTCGTCCTATACGAGTTGAAAATACTGTGATAGGGATGCTGTGGTAGATAAGGACTCCCCACATTTGATTAAATGTCACAAATATAAGAAGCTAATTCGAGAAACTTCCTGTCAGGCCACAACGAACCTTCCAGTAAGTCAGAGGCAGGGCTTGCACGTGTCAACTGGAATTACTGGAATACTGCAAAGAAGCATGCAGGGAGGAAAATAATTCTTTGGCATCTTTCAAAAGAAGTGTAAAGAAAAAAAAACTTGGCAGATCTCAAAGCAGATCTCATAAGAACAGTTGGAGCAAAGCAAGAACGGCAGCATGCTTTGGTGAGATTAGATGACAGGATGACATTTGAAACTAGATATTAACATACACTGAATAAAAGTCTATTGCACACGCAATTTCTCTTCTCACGGTCTGAAGCTGATTCAGACCAAACTTCTATTTGGGTCTGTTAAATTTATCAAAATTATTTCTGTTTACTGAATGACAGAAAACTTGGTGAGGACGGTTTTTAGAGATGTTTCTTAAACTGTCCTCAAATTCAAAGGTTTACATACATTTTGTCAGTATTAAATCAGGGATAGCTATCTTTTAGGCTGTGTTGTGAGAAGCTTGTTAAGGGAAATCTAAAAGGTTTGACCCAAGTCATAGTTACTAGAGTTCTGTTGAGAGGACTGGTCAGGTTTGTAGGCCGCCTCTGATTTCACAGCTTCTCTACAGGACTGAGGTCAAACTGCCTTTTGGCTTTTTATTTTTCTGTTGAAGTAAAGTTAGCTCCTGCCTTCCAGCCCATGTTGGTACAGGACGGATGGACTGCAGCTATGACTGTCTTATCAACTCCAGTTGCTCTACACCAGGTCTGTGGCTTTTGTTCTGGCTTCAATCTGCACATTTTAGACTAGAACATATTCATCTCTGGGACACAGAACTCGTCTCTTTCTTGAACGGTATGATGGTTGTATGTTCCCATCATATCTATTCTTGCAGGTAATTGTTTGAACAGATGAATGCGATGCCTTTAAGCAAAGGTAAATTGATCTAATGGGTGAACCAGATTCGTCTTCCTGATAGCTTGGCTGATTTTTTTTGACCCTCAGCCAACCATAGGCAGTCAGTATCCATGACTGCCTATGGATACTCACTTTAATGGAGCCACCATTAAACCTCTCTCTGACCCTCCAAACCCACAACACCAGGATCCACAGCAGTGTTGAGGAGAGCCAGACACTTACAGTAAGGAAGTAGTGGGGTATTGTACTGAAAGATCTCTGTGGAATATGAACTGGAAACTCCAGGGTCAAAGTGGGAAAAACTTCCCAAAAATGTCTCATTACGCTTTCTGGCATTTAGCAAATAAAATAATTTGGCGAATTCTGTCTCACCTAAAACGAGAAGTTTGATCAGATTTAACTTTGGACAGTGAGAAAAAATGTATGTGCCTTTTTTCCACCACTTCCCAAGCTGGTGGAAAATAATTGGACTCAAATGGACAAAATGGACAAAATCCTTTCAGAGGAATGTTAATCCATAAATGGAATATCATCCAGCAGAGACTGTAGACCTTTAAATCACTTTTTGAACAGATCACCGTGCCAGCGTACCTCCCTTCACGGTTGACAGGAGCAAAGCATGTGAAGCGATGGAACTTGTTGAGTCAGTACCAGAGCTCTGACTCTTCCTGGCTCTATTTCAGGAAGCTCTTTGTTGCTTGTTATTTAATGTTTTTATTGCTCTAGTCTACTCTCTGCTGTCATTCACAGTGTGTCCTCAGTACACAGAACGTCGTCGGGCTGTAAGACCGGGAGAAGATTCATGGTAAGTAGGGAGATTATTTTCTGCTGTTTGATTCAGTCTGACGGGTCTTTATTCATAATGTGGTTCATGTGAAAAATATTGTTTTCTGTATGCTTTCCTACAGAAAACAATATTAGTGTATGACTGACACTGGAACAAAGATAATCAATTTCATTTGTCTTAGGAGATTTGCTTCTGCAAACAGGATTTCACTAAAGAGCTTCATGGCAGTGTCTCTTACTAACCTCTTCACAGTTAACCCAGTTTATGAGTATCTTGCATACTGAGGTGATATTTTACACTGATGTGTATGAAAATGTAAAAGTAAAACAGAGATTAGATTACAAATAAGGTTAGTGCTTGTTATTTTGATATATTGCATGACACTTTGTGAAGGGAGAGAGAAATGGACATGTCTGCGTCTCTTTGGAAGGACATTCTTTATCTGGACATTTTACGCCGTCATAGGTGCCGCTGTTAACGAATATGGTGCTGCTTTCATTTACTGATCAAAACACAAATAAGATGAATCTCTTGGGCAGTGGCATGGTGACTCCTATTCGCAGGTTTCAGTTCGAGTCTCGGCGCAGTGACTTTTGTCACATCTGCCTTCTCTCTTAACCCGCTTTCTTGTCAGATCACTAACAGATAAAGGCCACAAGAGCCAAAAACCTTTAAAATAAAAAGTACAATTTTCGTTTCTACTAAATCAAAGTAAATAGATTTGATTAAGAAGAGCTCTAAAATAATAAATGTATTCCTAAATTGTGCCCAGAATCCTTAAATGTGATTGAAACTAAACCAATCAAATGTTGTCGTCTCTTTCTTAGTTTGTTGTCTAATGTTCTTACTAGGAACCCTTATTGCTTTGTTTGTTCTTATAACCTAAGTTGCTCTTAAATGCAAAAGTCTTGAATTTAACATCAATTCTAGATGTTCCAACATTACAAACTTTCCACACAAGGTGCTAAATTGATTAGCTCTTAATGTTTCACTGTCATTTGCTACTTCATTATGTATTATTTCTAACTTGTTTTTAGTTAATTTTTTTGTTCGATAATTTAGGCAATATCAAGCTTAAATTCATTATGAATTCATTATGAAATTGAATTCAGAGCTATTAAATTCCCTAAAACGGTTCCAACACTGTCCTGTTGTAGTTCCAATACAGAAAAAAAACACGAGAAAGATGGCAAGTTATTTGTTACAAGCTCATTTGTCCTGATTTTTTTTTTTTTTTTTTCGGAAACATTATTTTGAAGTCATTGTTATCAGTAGCTGACATTTATATGCACCTGTAGCTTTTCTATTTTGTGCTGATTCATCAGATCAAATTGATCCCATAATCAATACTTCGGTTGCTTGCTAGATAAGTGGGAAGGCTTTTTAATTTGTTTACTTTGGTGTTCAGCTCTTTTTTTCCAGCACTTTGCTTATATAAGGGCAGAATCGGTAAAAGTGACCTGTCTTTATATTTTTACAATTCACACTTTAATTCCTGTCACGATCAAAATCCCCCATGAGATTAATCTGGGACGTGAAGTGAAAATAAATGTTAGACTTGATAAGCTGTTATGACTGGAACCAGAAAGTGTCCGTCATGTTTCGGTTATCATTCACTGCTACCTTGTGATCATCATAATATGACTGGTTTAGCCTGTCTAAAACCAGAAGCCTCTCAGTTGGCTTCAAATTATTTTCCCAGAAATATCTTGTACTTCTTGCTTAGACTTTTAATTACCATTTTTCTGTCTGTAATCAAGAAAAATCATTTCAATAGAAATATCAAAATGTAAATTTATCTCAGTAAATAAAATTTTGAGGTATTTCCTTCGTACGTTTTCGTTAATTTCATTAATTTGCCTGTGAGCTACATGAAACTTTTCTGTATTTAATGGTTTGCTTACTCTTTAGTCTAACCAGCTCTTTGCTTTTGATTTACAAGTTTTGTGTTTTCTCACCTCCATTGTTTGAAGCAGCAACATTTAGTTCCACACCCTCTAATTAAATATTAAGCGTTGTTAGTGTTTTCTTTCTGACTTGCTGTAAAATGAATTGCTCTTTGAAACATGAATGGAGATTTGAATCTGGATCTGATTGACTTGCTGTGACTGATAAAGCGTTGGATTCTGCCCTCCTTCTGAAATCCTGCAGAAGTTTGTCCAGCAGTTTATAACTCTGCGCCTTCATGTAGGAATTCCTCATCTGAAAACTGCATTTTCGGGTTTTTTATTTTCTCAGAACCTTTATGATACACTAAACAGTAAAACAGTCATTGGTCTTTGTGAGTGTGGGACTGTGATGTGACGGTGTTTGTAGTGTGACACTGGGCTCTCTTCGTGAAAATGCGTTATCACTACTGGGTAAAAGAATGTGAAGCTTGACAGTCTGGTACATTCAGTCAGGCATCTTATGACAATCAGGTATGTAAACCGCAATCTGTCAACGTTTGACAGGCAGAAGAATATTAGACTGAAGTACATTGAGGATTTCTGCCCATGTAAAAATTCATGCTGAGGTTAAACCAATCGGAACAGGTTGACTCTTGGTAACCTCACACCAACATTCTTTCGGTGGAATGGATTTCAGCTCGTGAAGTTTTAAAAAAAAGTTACATACTGCTATTTGGTAATCTGAGAATTGAATATGAAGTGGTTTTTAAAAACGTCCTGAGTCTGTCCATATTTCCCCACTCTATAAATATAACATGAATGTCTATTTTTTTTACCCACTTCCTCCTAGGTTTCCATTCTGACAGCAGAAAGATAATATTCTCTGACACAACATGCTTTTCAGCAGCACTGAATTTACTGGAACCATAACCAGTGGTGCGTGACGTCTCCTTCTACTTCAGCTGAAGTTATTTTGAAGAGTACAAGTCACAGAAGGTGCGTATGATAAGAAAACACTGTGAAGTAGTCTGAAAACGTATCAACAACCATTTGAATTGTGTCCGTTCTCATGGGACTTACTATTCAAACCTGATTTATTTCATACATGTAGAAGAAAAAAAATCTAAAAGGAAGTTTTGAACAGTGGTGCAGTGAAGTGGTCACTTGCTGTTAATATTTGGTTTTGGATTTTGCTTAATCCTGAATATGGGTCGAATTTATCCTAAAATTTGTAAACATAACTCAAATTGAATTAGAACTGAGCATCTTTTCAGTGGTGGGGATCTGGTTAAATTGCTTATACTGCATTTTTCAAACCTTCCTGTCTCCACACAGCCGAATCCCTGAATGCATCCAGATGTTGTAGAAACCTGTTAAAAAAGGATTAATTTAAAACAGATTATATAAAAACAATAGGCCATCATAGATCAGAGCCGTTCACTTCCTAAAGTATGTTTACCCTTAGAAGTGAGCTTATTTCTATTTATTGTATGGGAATAATTACTCTTATGTTAATCAATGACAATACTAGCTTTTGGAAAGTGTATTTACGAAACCTAAGTGGATGTTCTGTTTTGCCCCATTGTCCTTCTCTCATTTCCTCTAAAGGAATGGCCTCATGTCTGAAAACCTTGACCATCCTTGTCCTTGTAGTGACTGTGCTTATTTTGGAAACAAGGAACCATAACTTTCAGTTTTACTTTCCTGCCCTGGGTTATTTGGTAAGGCCACTTTATGTATTTATTTATTTATTTCACTAAACTGAACACATGGGATTTGATGTGATGGACATTTCTATTTCTAGATGAATAACAGTTATTTATACTGACTTAGGTAGAGGAAGGAGAACACGTTCTTCCTCATATACGGCAGGAAAGAAGTGGTCAGTGGGACGAGAGACGACTGAACATGAATTAGTTACTCGTATTCAATATTACATCTTATATGTTTTTAAAAATATCCACCACTGACATGAATCTTTTCTGATGTTAATTTCTGCAGTGCTTTCAGACCCCAATATTTACTCAGCAAACATTTTACTAAATGCATCAAATGTGGAAACCTATGAGCAGCTGCTGTCAACCCTGAACGTCACCAGTTATCCTCTCCAGCTTGATAACACCACAGAGATCCAAAATATCACTGTTACCACAGGTGAGTGATGGGTGTGACACAAACAGCAGCAGTATGGACATTACGCAGTGATCTTCTTTTCATCTGTCCTCATACAGTGTGTGTCTCCACTGAAACTGGTTTCCGGTGTGAGTGTGAAGAGCAGTTTGCCTGGCCGTACAGAACCTGCATCACATATGGAGCTTGTGATTCCGTATCCAGCGGCGTCTGTAAATGCGTCTCAGCGATCCCAGCTGACGGCTCTTCCTGTCAGCTGATCTCAGGTAATCGCTGCTCAGTTATGGACAAAAGAAATGCATTGGCATACTTGTTGTGTATAATAATGCATTTTATATTTATCCTGCATGAGTGCACAATTAAAAGGCCTGTGAGCAGTTAAAAGTCAAAATTACTCATGTTTCAGAAGGGTGCTGTGTTCTTGAAACCGTCTGTACCAGTTGCAAAAAAACATTTCAATAAGAAAGGAAATAAATAACAAAGATTTGAAAAAAACCCAATGTGAGAATCCCAGTAGGAGCTTAACCTGACTTACTGGAGTACACAAAAGTGCAAGGAGTTCAGGTCTGAGACATGATCAAGGCAAAGAGGCTGGAACCCAAAGGCACATGGTCAAAATGCTCAAACTTAATTATCAATTTTTACAACAGCCTTCACCAAAACTGATTGAGAAACTGACTGTAGTTTGTGATGTTTATCCAGACAGACTGAACTTATGTGCAGAAGCGGAAAGCTTTATGTTCTCTGCATAAATATTTTTCTAAAGGTTTCCTGGAGATAATGATCTTAGCTCAAGAAAACAAACTTTGTTTTTGCGACATGCTTGGTGTGTGTGCCGTGTGTGCGTGGCTGTGTGTGTGTATGTTAAGCCTGATTCCATCCTACAAATGCATGTTACAGCAGCGGGAGAGGACTTATGCATGTTAGTCATGTCATGTTTATCAGTGTTAGATGTGCCATCATCTGGCATTTTCAGCTTTAGTCTGTTCTTAGTCAGGATTTAAAAACACTGAGAAACCCGATCATGAGCATTCAAGAGAAGATAATCATCTCATCATTTCAAGTAAACACTCAGAACTATTTTGTGATACTATCTTGTTGTATCGAGGAATGTGACTGCTCTCTGCTTTTGTTGGAATTCTCTAAAAAGTGGCTAAAAGATTGTGTCTAGATGTACGTAGAATCACCATCAGACTGCAGAATATTAGACTTCTGCACCTTCTAGATTGATTTGGTGAAAAACTCATTAATCAAGAATAATTTTGCCGCTGTTCACAATCATGCCATATTGTGTTGTGCTATAAATGAAACAACTTGAAGTCCGTGGCTGCAACGTAACACATAACATGTTACTGTTGGAATGCAAACAAAGGCAGGTCGTGGTCATAACATGGCCTTTTACACTGCACAGCCACTTGAAATCTACAAATAAGTTACACTTTACTGTATTTAGTGACGTAAAAGACTTCCAGACACTGATCAATATTCTCACTGTAATTCTTGTTCAAATGTACCAACATAAATAAAACAGATATATAAAAAAATCTGCAAACAATATAATCAGAGAAATTTGAGGTTCACTCCATCTTACATTAGTTTCCTAATTTTAATGCTACTCAGACTAACAAACCCCAAACCAATCATAAATCCTGTTCCCACTGCCTTTCAGAGCTGCTGGTTCAAACTGAATATGTGATCGATCTGGAGCTGAATCTAACAGACACTGCAACAGTGGACTTCCTGAGACGCCTCCTGAGCAACGGCAGCAATTTTCTAACCCTGAGTCCAACAGTGAATGTCACACAGCTTGACGTCTCTACAGGTGACAGAGGAGCATCATGGGAAACCCTGGAAAGTTCCTGTTGGAGTCTTGATTCATTAAATGTTTGTTTCCTGCAGTTTGTTCTCCAATCAGTGGTGATTACCAGTGCAGATGTGAGGATCAGTATCGTTGGCCATGTGACCAATGTGTAACATATGGATCATGTGACAACATCACTGGTGACACATGTGGATGCATCAGTGGCATTCCTGCTGATGGACAGTACTGCCAGGCTGAGGATCAATATAGTGAGTTGATGAAATGAAACCTTCGAATCCCATTATTTGTTTTTACTGTTTTTGCTGTAAAAACAGTTTTTACTGGGGCTGACCTGGTATAAAGAAAAATTCACTCATTTGTTTTTATTGTGCTGTTTCATGAGCTTAATTTGTAATGTGGATATGAATTATTTGCTTTACAGACTTTACATCATGTCCTGCTTCAACACGCGCTCCAGGTAAGATGGAAATGCAGCCTGGCCACAAGCAAAAACAAAAACACATCCTAGACAGGAAATGTGCGGGCTTGCCAATAAGTGTTCGTTTAAATTTATTAAGGGATACTTTTAAAAATTTTATCTCAAATTGTGGGTCTGTCTAAAATGTCTTTGTCTTTGCATGAATCACATTTCTAAAACAAACAAGTTTCAGGAATGTTGCTGAGAATTTAAGGCATGCCAATAGAAACCATAAATGAAAAAAAATAATAAACAACAAAACATTTTGCTGATACTGGACGTGAGAAAGGTTTTTATCAGAAAATCTTGGGCACATTTCCTCATTGTTTAAGTTGGCCGGCATGAACCAGTACCAGCACCTTTCATTTCTGCTTCTCAGCGTCTTGGGACCTTATTTGCATTGTTCAGTGCGTTGGCCTTCTGGGACTGTTTCCAGTGTTGTAACAGGTGTTACATTAGATCGGGGGAGTTTCCCCCTACACTAATCTAAGGAAATTCAATACAAATGCACACAGAGCAAAATACAGGAATAAACTAATAAAATAAATACAAAGTAATAAACTGATATGGGAAGACTTCAATAATGCACGACATGGCAAGACCTGAAGTGAAATAAAAACACAGATCATGATATTTATTTAAGTAAAAAATATATACATATTTTATTTTTCGGATGAAAGATAAGAAATTCCTGCCAAAGTGCCACATTTTTGTTGAAACCAGGCCAAATATTGAGAAGAAATATTTTACTGACCATAACATTAACAAACTTAGTGAACTAGGATCTGAAACTCCTTATGTTTTAAGGAGCTGTTTTATTTATTCATTGTTATTTTTCATGTCCAGGTTAATGCCATCAGGCTTCAAGTTAGAGAATCCATGACACATTGAACATGACTCGTGGGAATTTGATGAAGAAATTGCTTGGTTCTTTATAATTTCTGAACAATAAAAATACTGCTCTATTATAGACAGATCTACATATAAATATCACTGTTTCTGTCCCTCATCACAGGAAGGAGAGATTTGGCACTTGATTTCTTTTCCCACTTACAGCGTTACATAAATGCAAGAATGCCGATGTGTCGGAGTTCATAAACTTCAGGATAAACAGGTTTCTCATGAGATCATGCGGTGCTTCCCAGCTAATGGCATGCAGAGATTTTTGGGGAAAGAGTGTGTGCTTCCTTTCATTAGAACTCGATGACTTTTGAAATTGTGCTACTTTTTTTCAATTCTAGATACTTTTGACTAAATCAGACCAAACGTACGATGCATCAAGTTTGTTCTTTTGAGGTCTGTTAACAAACATGAAAAGAACCGAACATAAATCCTGTTCCCACTGCCTTTCAGAGCTGCTGGTTCAAACTGAATATGTGATCGATCTGGAGCTGAATCTAACAGACACTGCAACAGTGGACTTCCTGAGACGCCTCCTGAGCAATGGCAGCAATTTTCTAACCCTGAGTCCAACAGTGAATGTCACACAGCTTGACGTCTCTACAGGTGACAGAGGAGCATCATGGGAAACCCTGGAAAGTTCCCTGTTGGAATCTTGATTCATTAAATGTTTGTTTCCTGCAGTTTGTTCTCCAATCAGTGGTGATTACCAGTGCAGATGTGAGGATCAGTATCGTTGGCCATGTGACCAATGTGTAACATATGGATCATGTGACAACATCACTGGAGACACATGTGGATGCATCAGTGGCATTCCTGCTGATGGACAGTACTGCCAGGCTGAGGATCAATACAGTGAGTATTTCTGCAGAGTTTGTTGGCTTGACATTTTAGGGTAAGTCTTTCTGTATCATGTAATGTCCATGAAACAAGACAAGACAAGAAATAACATCAACACTCAGCAGCTGTGGTTTTAGCTTCCTCTGATCATAATATGTTAAGGAGTTGTTTTTTTCTAGTGATATCTGCAGTTTTTCTGTTGAGTGACCTGGTTTTAAGCAAGTTTTCCCTTATCACTTTTAACGCAATCCTTTGGAAAGTTAGCTGTAGCGTTGAACTTTCAGTTTGAGAAAGACTGACTTAGACTGTCATTAGAGCAAAGCTATTAGTTCTTAGCATATGAGTGTCTATATTTGCATTTCTAAATCAGTTCCTCCTCTTTCTCTTATTTTTTCCAGACTTCACAGCATGTCTGACTACTACACCTTTAACACCAACAAGTAAGACTGAAAATCTGATTAATGTGTAAACAATATAAACCGTATATAGAGTTGGTGAACACCTCACCAACCCTCACTACTGTACTACATTTTCCTTCTATTCCACCTGTCCAGCTCCTCCAGTCATCTATCAGTACATGCTTTATGTGGAGCTGAACTCCACAGATGTTACAGCTGTAGAAAAGCTGAGGAACATCAACAACACCATCAGCATCAACAGGAACTTCCGGATCTCCGATGTTAACATTACTACAGGTAGGACTAAACAGATTTCATTGGATTTTGAGGCTCTAACAGAAACATTTGAAAAAATTTTAATAAAACTGCTGCATGCTCTGAAACTGATGAAATATTTTCTTTGTTTTGTTTTCAGTCTGCTCTCCAATCAGTGGTGATTACCAGTGCAGATGTGAGGATCAGTATCGATGGCCATGTGACCAATGTGTAACATATGGATCATGTGACAACATCACTGGTGACACATGTGGATGCATCAGTGGCATTCCTGCTGATGGACAGTACTGCCAGGCTGTGGATCAATACAGTCAGTAGATTAAATATGTTCACAATGGTTTTTGCCACTTCATATAAGATTCTTTGTAACATCTTGTATATATTTTTTTTCCACAGACTTTACATCATGTCCGGCTCCAACACTTATTCCATGTAAGATATTTCTTTAACATTACCACGAACATGTAACAGGAAACATAAATCAGGTGTGTTTCTTGTTCGGTTTTTTAATTTCTTTCTTTTTTTTCTCCGCAGCTCCTCACCCTCTGTATGAATATGTGATAGACATCGAGCTGAAGGCTGCAGATGATGACGTTGTAGCAGAGCTGAGAAACATCACCTACCCAGTCAGCATCAACAGCAACATACAGATCTCTGATGTTAACATCTCCACAGGTAAAAATTTGTCCTTCTTACTGGATCTATTATTTGTTGTTCATGTATTCATCGATAATACAAGAAAATATCAAATCTTTTTTTATAGCAATAAGTTAACTTACAGTTCTTTAAATAATGTTGCCATTGTAACAGAAAGAAGTCAACTTTTACACTTTTTTTTTCTATAAGTCACACTTTTTTCATAGTTTGGTTTTATCATAAAACTTGTATTCCAGAATGCATTTTTATTTTTATTATTTTATATCTAATGTATTTTATGATCTGTCAGTCAGAAACTGCCATAGGTTCCATGAGTTTATTGAAACACAACTGTACTTATGTCCATTCATCAACATGGTCAAGGGTTTTCTCATTTCTTAAAAAAAAAAAAAAAAGATTTTTAAAAAGTTCCGTATGATCGACAAAAAAGAAAAATAGTTTGAATCACATTCAGACATTGTTGCAGTGTTTCATTAATTAATTTTTTGTATTAATTTTTTGCTATTGTTCCAGAAAGTGAAAATACTTAACTGCACAGAGACGTTTTTTTTCAAAACTCAAAGTATTAAACATCTGCCTTTACATAAAAAAGTGTTTTGTTTTCAGTCTGCTCTCCAATCAGTGGTGATTACCAGTGCAGATGTGAGGATCAGTATCGTTGGCCATGTGACAAATGTGTAACATATGGATCATGTGACAACATCACTGGTGACACATGTGGATGCATCAGTGGCATTCCTGCTGATGGACAGTACTGCCAGGCTGAGGATCAATACAGTGAGTTGATCAGTTCTTACACGCGATGCTTTTCTCCTTGTATTTATAATTTGACACATTGAACGTCAAGTTATTGATATGAGGCATTGTTCTACCGGAGCTAACTGAGAGTGAGAGTAAAACCAATTTCCTCAGAAATGTCAGAGAATGGATTTGTGTCAATAACTTACTCCTTTTCTGTCTTCATCTTTATAGACTTTACTGCATGTCCAATCACCACAACAACTCCACAACCAACAAGTAAGACTGAAAGCATGGATCATGTTGATCAGTCACTCAACAATACATATTGGTACTACATTGGTAATCATGTTTTTTGTTATTCATTTCGTCTTTCATTTGTCTTTCTATAGGTCCTCCATTCTTCCATCAGTACCTGCTTTCCATTGAGCTGAACTCCACAGATGTTACAGCCGTAGAAAAGCTGAGGAACATCAACAACACCATCAGCATCAACAGGAACTTCCGGATCTCCGATGTTAACATTACTACAGGTAGGACTAAACAGATTTCATTGGATTTTGAGGCTCTAACAGAAACATTTGAAGCCATTTTAATAAAACTGCTGCATGCTCTGAAACTGATGAAATATTTGCTTTGTTTTGTTTTCAGTCTGCTCTACAATCAGTGGTGATTACCAGTGCAGATGTGAGGATCAGTATCGTTGGCCATGTGACCAATGTGTAACATATGGATCATGTGACAACATCACTGGTGACACATGTGGATGCATCAATGGCATTCCTGCTGATGGACAGTACTGCCAGGCTGTGGATCAATACAGTGAGTATTTCTGGACAGTTTGGTTGACATTTTAGGGTAAGTCTTTCTCTATCGTGTAATGTTCAGGAATCAAGACACAATTGGTGAAATTGGCATGAACCAAAGCACAAAGAGATATTTTTACACATTTATCACCATTGGGAAAATCTTATCTTTAAGTATTTGAAGAAATAAAATAGTGGGATCTTGTCTGTTTTCAGCAACTTTTTTGAACCTTGGTCTATGTCTGATGGTTTATCAACTCATAGACTTACTTGCTGTCTAGTATCGTCAAACATGATGAAATTTTACCTTCGTTCATTTAGAATCTTCTTAAATGCCATTCTGCATCATCATTTCACTTTTTCTATACACATAAGCATTTTTATTTTGATTGGTTACAATAGCTTAATGCCATATCAAACTAGATTTCTGTGTCAGTACCTTTTATATTTGATTGTTAGTTTATAACTTTCATCTAAAATCATAACCACCTGCTATTAAGTCTTGCATGAAAACTGGATAATACTAATAATTGTAGCATAGTAGGATATGTTTCAACTAATTCAACACCGAGTTTAAAACCAGATTGAAAACTCGCAAGTTATAGTAACATTAGTCATCAACTAACCAGATGCATCAATTTATCTAATGGCAGTTTTTTATTTTCTAATTGTATATTAAATTTGCACAGCAGTGTGTATATCTTTAACTAATTTAATGACATAAAAACAATAACTGGTGCCAAACAACATATTACTGCAATTCTTGCGGTGGTTATATGAGGCAGCCATATTGGAAGTTGAATATGAATTTGATTTGCTTCCTGTGGCTTTTTATTTTTTGGAAATCTAACATTGGTTGCTTTAAAATAAATATTCATAATTTGAAATGTTGAAAGTTAAGTTATTGATATGAGGCATTGTTCTACTGGAGCTAACTGAGAGTGAGAGCAAAACCTTTTTCCTCAGAAATGTCAGAGAATGGATTTGTGTCAATAACTTACTCCTTTTCTGTCTTCATCTTTATAGACTTTACTGCATGTCCAATCACCACAACAACTCCACAACCAACAAGTAAGACTGAAAGCCTGGATCATGTTGATCAGTCACTCAACAATACATATTGGTACTACATTGGTAATCATCTTTTTTGTTATTCATTTCGTCTTTCATTTGTTTCTCTATAGGTCCACCATTCTTCCATCAGTACCTGCTTTCCATTGAGCTGAACTCCACAGATGTTACATCCGTAGAAAAGCTGAGGAACATCAACAACACCATCAGCATCAACAGGAACTTCCGGATCTCCGATGTTAACATTACTACAGGTAGGATTAAACAGATTTCATTGGATTTTGAGGCTCTAACAGAAACATTTGAAGCAATTTTAATAAAACTGCTGCATGCTCTGAAACTGATGAAATATTTCCTTTGTTTTGTTTTCAGTCTGCTCTCCAATCAGTGGTGGTTACCAGTGCAGATGTGAGGATCAGTATCGTTGGCCATGTGACCAATGTGTAACATATGGATCATGTGACAACATCACTGGAGACACATGTGGATGCGTCAATGGCATTCCTGCTGATGGACAGTACTGCCAGGCTGTGGATCAATACAGTGAGTATTTCTGGAAAGTTTGTTGGGTTGACATTTAGGGTAAGTCTTTCCCTATCGTGTAATGTCAGGAATCAAGACACAATGGTGAAATTGGCATGAACAAAGCACAAAGAGATATTTTTACACATTTTTCACCATTGGGAAAATCTTATCTTTAAGTATTTGAAGAAATAAAATAGTGGGATCTTGTCTGTTTTCAGCACCTTTTTTGAATCTTGGTTTATGTCTGATGGTTTATCAACTCAGACTGACTTGCTGTCTAGTATCGTCAAACATGATGAAATTTTACCTTCGTTCATTTAGAATCTTATTAAATGCCATTCTGCATCATCATTTCACTTTTTCTAAACACATAAGCATTTTTACTTTGATTGGTTACAATAGCTTAATGCCATATCAAACTAGATTTCTGTGTCTGTACCTTTTATATATGATTGTTAGTTTATAACTTTCATCTAAAATCATAACCACCTGCTATTAAGTCTTGCATGAAAACTGGATAATACTAATAATTGTAGCATAGTAGGATATGTTTCAACTAATTCAACACCGAGCTTAAAACCAGATTGAAAACTCGAAAGTTATAGTAACATTAGTCATCAACTAACCAGATGCATCAATTTATCTAATGGCAGTTTTTTATTTTCCAATTGTATATTAAATTTGCACAGCAGTGTGTATATCTTTAACTAATTTAATGACATAAAAACAATAACTGATGCCAAACAACATATTACTGCAATTCTTGCTGTGGTTATATGAGGCAGCCATATTGGAAGTTGAATATGAATTTGATTTGCTTCCTGTGGCTTTTTATTTTTTGGAAATCTAACATTGGTTGCTTTAAAATAAATATCATGATTTGAAATGTTGAAAGTTAAGTTATTGATATGAGGCATTGTTCTACTGGAGCTAACTGAGAGTGAGAGCAAAACCTTTTTCCTCAGAAATGTCAGAGAATGGATTTGTGTCAATAACTTACTCCTTTTCTGTCTTCATCTTTATAGACTTTACTGCATGTCCAATCACCACAACAACTCCACAACCAACAAGTAAGACTGAAAGCCTGGATCATGTTGATCAGTCACTCAACAATACATGGGTAATCATCTTTTTTGTTATTCATTTGGTCTTTCATTTGTTTCTCTATAGGTCCACCATTCTTCCATCAGTACCTGCTTTCCATTGAGCTGAACTCCACAGATGTTACATCCGTAGAAAAGCTCAGGAACATCAACAACAGCATCAGCATCAACAGGAACTTCCGGATCTCCGATGTTAACATTACTACAGGTAGGACTAAACAGATTTCATTGGATTTTGAGGCTCTAACAGAAGCATTTGAAGCAATTTTAATAAAACTGCTGCATGCTCTGAAACTGATGAAATATTTGCTTTGTTTTGTTTTCAGTCTGCTCTCCAATCAGTGGTGATTACCAGTGCAGATGTGAGGATCAGTATCGTTGGCCATGTGACCAATGTGTAACATATGGGTCATGTGACAACATCACTGGTGACACATGTGGATGCATCAGTGGCATTCCTGCTGATGGACAGTACTGCCAGGCTGAGGATCAATACAGTGAGTTGATCAGTTCTTACACGCGATGCTTTTCTCCTTGTATTTATAATTTGACACATTGAACGTCAAGTTATTGATATGAGGCATTGTTTTACTGGAGCTAACTGAGAGTGAGAGCAAAACCTTTTTCCTCAGAAATGTCAGAGAATGGATTTGTGTCAATAACTTACTCCTTTTCTGTCTTCATCTTTATAGACTTTACTGCATGTCCAATCACCTCAACAACTCCACAACCAACAAGTAAGACTGAAAGCATGGATCATGTTGATCAGTCACTCAACAATACATATTAGTACTACATTGGTAATCATCTTTTTTGTTATTCATTTCGTCTTTCATTTGTCTTTCTATAGGTCCTCCATTCTTCCATCAGTACCTGCTTTCCATTGAGCTGAACTCCACAGATGTTACATCCGTAGAAAAGCTGAGGAACATCAACAACAGCATCAGCATCAACAGGAACTTCCGGATCTCCGATGTTAACATTACTACAGGTAGGACTAAACAGATTTCATTGGATTTTGAGGCTCTAACAGAAACATTTGAAGCGATTTTAATAAAACTGCTGCATGCTCTGAAACTGATGAAATATTTGCTTTGTTTTGTTTTCAGTCTGCTCTCCAATCAGTGGTGATTACAGTGCAGATGTGAGGATCAGTATCGTTGGCCATGTGACCAATGTGTAACATATGGATCATGTGACAACATCACTGGTGACACATGTGGATGCATCAGTGGCATTCCTGCTGATGGACAGTACTGCCAGGCTGTGGATCAATACAGTGAGTATTTCTGGACAGTTTGTTGGGTTGACATTTTAGGGTAAGTCTTTCTCTATCGTGTAATGTTCAGGAATCAAGACATAATTGGTGAAATTGGCATGAACCAAAGCACAAAGAGATATTTTTACACATTTTTCACCATTGGGAAAATCTTATCTTTAAGTATTTGAAGAAATAAAATAGTGGGATCTTGTCTGTTTTCAGCAACATTTTTGAACCTTGGTCTATGTCTGATGGTTTATCAACTCAGACTGACTTGCTGTCTATTATCGTCAAACATGATGAAATTTTATCTTCGTTCATTTAGAATCTTCTTAAATGCCATTCTGCATCATCATTTCCCTTTTTCTAAACACATAAGCATTTTTATTTTGATTGGTTACAATAGCCTAATGCCATATCAAACTAGATTTCTGTGTCAGTACCTTTTATATTTGATTGTTAGTTTATAACTTTCATCTAAAATCATAACCACCTGCTATTAAGTCTTGCATGAAAACTGGATAATACTAATAATTGTAGCATAGTAGGATATGTTTCAACTAATTCAACACCGACCTTAAAACCAGATTGACAACTCGCAAGTTATAGTAACATTAGTCATCAACTAACCAGATGCATCATTTCATCTAATGGCAGTTTTTTATTTTCCAATTGTATATTAAATTTGCACAGCAGTGTGTATATCTTTAACTAATTTAATGACATAAAAACAATAACTGGTGCCAAACAACATATTACTGCAATTCTTGCGGTGGTTATATGAGGCAGCCATATTGGAAGTTGAATATGAATTTGATCTGCTTCCTGTGGCTTTTTATTTTTTGGAAATCTAATATTGGTTGCTTTAAAATAAATATTCATGATTTGAAATGTTGAAAGTTAAGTTAGTGATATGAGGCATTGTTCTACTGGAGCTAACTGAGAGTGAGAGCAAAACCTTTTTCCTCAGAAATGTCAGAGAATGGATTTGTGTCAATAACTTACTCCTTGTCTGTCTTCATCTTTATAGACTTTACTGCATGTCCAATCACCACAACAACTCCACAACCAACAAGTAAGACTGAAAGCCTGGATCATGTTGATCAGTCACTCAACAATACATATTGGTACTACATTGGTAATCATCTTTTTTGTTATTCATTTCGTCTTTCATTTGTTTCTCTATAGGTCCACCATTCTTCCATCAGTACCTGCTTTCCATTGAGCTGAACTCCACAGATGTTACAGCCGTAGAAAAGCTGAGGAACATCAACAACAGCATCAGCATCAACAGGAACTTCCGGATCTCCGATGTTAACATTACTACAGGTAGGACTAAACAGATTTCATTGGATTTTGAGGCTCTAACAGAAACATTTGAAGCAATTTTAATAAAACTGCTGCATGCTCTGAAACTGATAAAATATTTGCTTTGTTTTGTTTTCAGTCTGCTCTCCAATCAGTGGTGATTACCAGTGCAGATGTGAGGATCAGTATCGTTGGCCATGTGACCAATGTGTAACATATGGATCATGTGACAACATCACTGGTGACACATGTGGATGCATCAGTGGAATTCCTGCTGATGGACAGTACTGCCAGGCTGAGGATCAATACAGTGAGTTGATCAGTTCTTACACGCGATGCTTTTCTCCTTGTATTTATAATTTGACACGTTGAACGTCAAGTTATTGATATGAGGCATTGTTTTACTGGAGCTAACTGAGAGTGAGAGCAAAACCTTTTTCCTCAGAAATGTCAGAGAATGGATTTGTATCAATAACTTACTCCTTTTCTCTCTTCATATTTATAGACTTTACTGCATGTCCAATCACCACAACAACTCCACAACCAACAAGTAAGACTGAAAGCATGGATCATGTTGATCAGTCACTCAACAATACATATTGGTACTACATTGGTAGTCATCTTTTTTGTTATTCATTTCGTCTTTCATTTGTCTTTCTATAGGTCCACCAGTCTTCCATCAGTACCTGCTTTCCATTGAGCTGAACTCCACAGATGTTACAGCCGTAGAAAAGCTGAGGAACATCAACAACACCATCAGCATCAACAGGAACTTCCGGATCTCCGATGTTAACATTACTACAGGTAGGACTAAACAGATTTCATTGGATTTTGAGGCTCTAACAGAAACATTTGAAGCGATTTTAATAAAACTGCTGCATGCTCTGAAACTGATGAAATATTTGCTTTGTTTTGTTTTCAGTCTGCTCTCCAATCAGTGGTGATTACCAGTGCAGATGTGAGGATCAGTATCGTTGGCCATGTGACCAATGTGTAACATATGGATCATGTGACAACATCACTGGTGACACATGTGGATGCATCAATGGCATTCCTGCTGATGGACAGTACTGCCAGGCTGTGGATCAATACAGTGAGTATTTCTGGAAAGTTTGTTGGGTTGACATTTTAGGGTAAGTCTTTCTCTATCGTGTAATGTTCAGGAATCAAGACACAATTGGTCAAATTTGCATGAACCAAAGCACAAAGAGATATTTTTACACATTTTTCACCATTGGGAAAATCTTATCTTTAAGTATTTGAAGAAATAAAATAGTGGGATGTTGTCTGTTTTCAGCAACTTTTTTGAACCTTGGTCTATGTCTGATGGTTTATCAACTCAGACTGACACACTGTCTAGTATCGTCAAACATGATGAAATTTTACCTTCGTTTATTTAGAATCTTCTTAAATGCCATTCTGCATCATCATTTCACTTTTTCTATACACATAAGCATTTTTATTTTGATTGGTTACAATAGCTTAATGCCATATCAAACTAGATTTCTGTGTCTGTACCTTTTATATATGATTGTTAGTTTATAACTTTCATCTAAAATCATAACCACCTGCTATTAAGTCTTGCATGAAAACTGGATAATACTAATTGTAGCATAGTAGGATATGTTTCAACTAATTCAACACCGAGCTTAAAACCAGATTGAAAACTCGAAAGTTATAGTAACATTAGTCATCAACTAACCAGATGCATCAATTTATCTAATGGCAGTTTTTTATTTTCCAATTGTATATTAAATTTGCACAGCAGTGTGTATATCTTTAACTAATTTAATGACATAAAAACAATAACTGGTGCCAAACAACATATTACTGCAATTCTTGCGGTGGTTATATGAGGCAGCCATATTGGAAGTTGAATATGAATTTGATTTGCTTCCTGTGGCTTTTTATTTTTTGGAAATCTAACATTGGTTGCTTTAAAATAAATATTCATCATTTGAAATGTTGAAAGTTAAGTTATTGATATGAGGCATTGTTTTACTGGAGCTAACTGAGAGTGAGAGCAAAACCTTTTTCCTCAGAAATGTCAGAGAATGGATTTGTATCAGTAACTTACTCCTTTTCTGTCTTCATCTTTATAGACTTTACTGCATGTCCAATCACCACAACAACTCCACAACCAACAAGTAAGACTGAAAGCCTGGATCATGTTGATCAGTCACTCAACAATACAAATTGGAACTACTTTGGTAATCATGTTTTTTGTTATTCATTTGGTCTTTCATTTGTCTTTCTATAGGTCCACCAGTCTTCCATCAGTACCTGCTTTCCATTGAGCTGAACTCCACAGATGTTACATCCGTAGAAAAGCTGAGGAACATCAACAACACCATCAGCATCAACAGGAACTTCCGGATCTCCGATGTTAACATTACTACAGGTAGGACTAAACAGATTTCATTGGATTTTGAGGCTCTAACAGAAACATTTGAAGCAATTTTAATAAAACTGCTGCATGCTCTGAAACTGATGAAATATTTGCTTTGTTTTGTTTTCAGTCTGCTCTCCAATCAGTGGTGATTACCAGTGCAGATGTGAGGATCAGTATCGATGGCCATGTGACCAATGTGTAACATATGGATCATGTGACAACATCACTGGAGACACATGTGGATGCATCAGTGGCATTCCTGCTGATGGACAGTACTGCCAGGCTGAGGATCAATACAGTGAGTATTTCTGGACAGTTTGTTTGGTTGACATTTTAGGGTAAGTCTTTCTCTATTGTGTAATGTTCAGGAATCAAGACACAATTGGTCAAATTTGCATGAACCAAAACACAAAGAGATATTTTTACACATTTGTCACCATTGGGAAAATCTTATCTTTAAGTATTTGAAGAAATAAAATAGTGGGATCTTGTCTGTTTTCAGCACCTTTTTTGAACCTTGGTCTATGTCTGATGGCTTATCAACTCATAGACTGACTTGCTTTCTAGTATCGTCAAACATGATGAAATTTTATCTTCGTTCATTTAGAATCTTCTTAAATGCCATTCTGCATCATCATTTCACTTTTTCTAAACACATAAGCATTTTTAGTTTGATTGGTTACAATAGCTTAATGCCATATCAAACTAGATTTCTGTATCAGTGCCTTTTATATTTGATTGTTAGTTAATAACTTTCATCTAAAATCATAACCACCTGCTTTTAAAGTCTTGCATGAAAACTGGATAATACTAATAATTGTAGCATAGTAGTATATGTTTCAACTAATTAAACACCAAGCTTAAAGCCAGATTGAAAACTAGCAAGTTATAGCAACAATAGTCAACAACTAACCAGATGCATCAATTTATCTAATGTCAGTTTTTAATTTTCTAATTGTATATCAAATTTGCACAGCATTGTGTATATATTTGACTAATTTAATGACATACAAAAAATAACTGGTGCCAAACAACATATTACTGCAATTCTTGCGGTGGTTATATGAGGCAGCCATACTGGAATTTGAATATGAATTTGATTTGCTTTCTGTGGCTTTTTATTTTTTGGAAATCATTCTTTGTTTGCTTTAAAATAAATATTCATAATTTGAAATGTTGAAAGTTAAGTTATTGATATGAGGCATTGTTCTACTGGAGCTAACTGAGAGTGAGAGCAAAACCTTTTTCCTCAGAAATGTCAGAGAATGGATTTGTATCAATAACTTACTCCTTTTCTCTCTTCATATTTATAGACTTTACTGCATGTCCAATCACCACAACAACTCCACAACCAACAAGTAAGACTGAAAGCATGGATCATGTTGATCAGTCACTCAACAATACATGGGTAATCATCTTTTTTGTTATTCATTTGGTCTTTCATTTGTTTCTCTATAGGTCCACCATTCTTCCATCAGTACCTGCTTTTCCATTGAGCTGAACTCCACAGTTACATCCGTAGAAAAGCTGAGGAACATCAACAACACCATCAGCATCAACAGGAACTTCCGGATCTCCGATGTTAACATTACTACAGGTAGGACTAAACAGATTTCATTGGATTTTGAGGCTCTAACAGAAACATTTGAAGCAATTTTAATCAAACTGCTGCATGCTCTGAAACTGATGAAATATTTCCTTTGTTTTGTTTTCAGTCTGCTCTCCAATCAGTGGTGATTACCAGTGCAGATGTGAGGATCAGTATCGTTGGCCATGTGACCAATGTGTAACATATGGATCATGTGACAACATCACTGGTGACACATGTGGATGCATCAGTGGCATTCCTGCTGATGGACAGTACTGCCAGGCTGAGGATCAATATAGTGAGTTCTTCTCTAATGCTTTTTCTGTGTTTTATTCTTCAACGTTTGTGTATACTTAGACATACATTGCTTTCTATCTTTTTAGCAAGTTCTTATCTTGATTCCTAACACAGCAATATTTTGCCATTACCTGTGTAACGTGTGGTGTTAAATCAAGACCTCATCATTGTTTATTCCACCACCTCTCATGGTTTTCGATATTTACTAAATCCGATTAATATTTATTGTATATCAGTCTCTAATCATATCTATACTTTTATGTATTTTTTTCCCTCTTAATTGTTTTGAGATTAACTTGCTTTACTTTTATTCTCTGCTATCTTACTCTTTTTTAGTATATAACATTGTTACTATGCCATACTACTGACACACCCTGATCATAACTGCTTGAAGTGAAGCCACATGAAATTCTGCCATCTGTTCAAGAATGTAGGAATTCCTTTTTCAGAATGACTGGAAAGTTTTTTCAACACACTGAACTATTAACAATAATGATTGCACTGTTTGCCGGTAATGAGGTATGTGACATACCAGCACCCTGCCTTGTCATGCCCTTGTTCCTGAATAACCTGTTTATTAGTCACATCTGTTTAAAGCACTTCTCCTTAAGCCTTTTTACACTACATTAACACAAACAAACTTTTTCTTTTGTTTGAAAAAAAAGTTTCTTCGTTTGAAACAAACTGGTGAATCAAGAGTTTTCTTTTCCGTTGAACTTTTTCGTGAACATAATCAATCTGAGCGTCACTTTCATTAACCACTTCTTCTCCATCTAAAAAACAAGTTGGAAAATTTGAAGTCCTTCACTCGATGGTAAAGAAATATGGTTGGCTTCATGCCAAGAATTACAACCAGCAGGACTTCTTGACAGCTCTGCCACAAATCTTGCCCCAGCTGACAATGCAACTTTGAAGAAGCCTTTCAAACTCGAAACTTTTTAGGAGTCTGGAATGTGTGTCCCCTGTAATGTTGTAAGTCACTGCAGAGTCGGTTTTCTCCCATTGTCGATACAGTTTGTAATAAAAACGGCCAAATCCAGTCCAGAATGTTCAGAACTTTCAACATTGGCATCTGAAAAACTGCCAAACAAAAACGGAAATTAATGTCTCTACCAAGTCTTTAATGTCACTGTCAGACTTGGTGGCTTTAAATCTGATTTGAACACTTCTAACTTCAAGTTTGTTCTTTCTCAAAAACAAATGGTTGGATATTGATCCATTCTCATTTCCTTCTTTTTAAAAATATTGGTTTGGTTTCAAACTTTTAAATGGAAAACTGATGATAATATATTGATGATAAATGTGACAGCTTTTGACAAAGTTGAGTATCTTGGAAGCAGTTTCAAAGCATTCGTGGTATTGTTTTTAACTGGTTTACCACCACACAATAACAGTAAAAACACTGCCATCTGCTGTTTTGAAAAATGTATGACAGCTATTTTCTTATGAGAAGCAAATAACTGCCTCATTTGTTTTTTTAGAAGGAACAAGCTTGAAATTAGAAGTGTTTAGAAAAAAATTAAAGCCACCAGTGACATTCAATGAATTTCCATTTTAGTTATGATATATCAGTTTGGAGCGATCTCCTTTTAAAAGGAGATTGTCCTAGAGAGAACAGTTTGTACTCAAACAGTTGAAAGTGTACCTGATATAAAAAATAAAAATAAAAAAAACCCCGAAGGAAATAGATACTTTACTTCCATTTTGCTTTTTTTTTTAAACAATCTTTTAAAAAACTTTTTGAGTTTGAAATTATATCTGGAATATTTTAAAATCCAATTAAAAAGCATGAATTGAATGTGCATAGATGTAGATCTAGGTGTTACTCTATCGCTGTACAAAAAATAACTCATAACATATTCAGGATAATGTTATCATCCCGATTTAAACATTTACATCAATATTAAAAAGTTGATTTAAATGTTTAAAAGGTTGATTTAAGATCAACTTTTAAATCAAAGTTGATTTAAAATCAACTTTTTAAATGTTGATTTCTGTCTTTTTATTTTTTCAGACTTTACAGCATGCCCTCGAACATCAACAACAGTGATGCCATCAAGTAAGTCTTAAATCATATTGTATGAGGTTAACCCACAGAACCAGGTGTGTTTGAAAAATGTCCCCTGAATTTATTGCAGTGTAAATTCTGCATGTTATCGTTATTTTCAGCAGACACAACCTCACCAGAGGTCCGTCAATACCTGCTTTCCTTTGAGCTGAGAACCACCGACATTAGAGCTGTAGAAGAGCTGAGAAACATCACTTCCCCTATCGGCTTCAGTAGTCGTCTACTGATTTCCGATATTAACATCTCTACAGGTAATAACTGTAAATTTAATAATATAGACACATTATATCGAATGTTTTATTAATAACTTCAAATAAACAGCCTGTCTCGTTTTCAGTGTGCTCCCCCTATAATACGAGCTACCAGTGCAGATGTGAGGCTCAGTATGGCTGGCCTTGTGAAATGTGCTCCACTTATGGCCAATGCAGCAACGTTCAAGGCAATACCTGTGGATGCATCAATGCACTTCTTCCAAATAATACTTACTGCCAGCCACTGTCAGGTGGGAGTAGCAAGTTTTATTTTACTTGGTTATGTAATTATCTGATCAGTTTTACTTGATTAAAAAAACTGTCTTTTTCAACAGATTTAAGTTCTTGCCCAACACAATCACCAACAACTGGTGAGAATTGCTATACTCTTCCTTGTGCTATATTGTAACATTTTTCTGTGTTCAACCTGTAAGTTAGAGCTAATTGAAAACTTTATTAAATATTGTATATTTTTAGTAATTTAATTAAACATAACAATGATGTATTATTTATTGTATAAATGTTCCAACAAGAAAATATTTTTGTCAGATATTGGAATATGCAGTTTGGAGAGTAAGTTTTTCAACTGAAATATATTTCTTAATTTATATTTCAATAGTGATAAAAATAATTAGAATTATTTGAGATACACTTCATTGCCAATAGTAGTCTTTCTGTTTGTTATAAACAAATGTTAATATTTCAAACCATTATTTTTTCCAAATGCTGAGCTGACTGTTGCATTACCAATCATCACAAATGCAACCGAGGAATGCCATGTTTTGCATAGATAGTCTGTGAATATCTATTGAAGAAAAATTTGTCACATTTTACATTAAAATATTTTTTATATTCAACTTCAGCTGCAACAACAACAATAATTACTACAACACCAGGTACGACGATGCTGAACACTACAACACCAGGAACGACGATGCCGAACACTACAACACCAGGAACGACGATGCCGAACACTACAACACCAGGAACGACGATGCCGAACACTACAACACCAGGAACGACGATGCCAAACACTACAACACCCGAAACGATGATGCCAAACACTACAACACCCGAAACGATGATGCCAAACACTACAACACCAGGAACGACAATGCCAAACACTACAACACCAGGAACGACGATGCCGAACACTACAACACCAGGAACGACGATGCCGAACACTACAACACCAGGAACGACGATGCCAAACACTACAACACCCGAAACGATGATGCCAAACACTACAACACCAGGAACGACAATGCCAAACACTACAACACCAGGAACGACGATGCCGAACACTACAACACCAGGAACGACGATGCTGAACACTACAACACCAGGAACGACAATGCCAAACACTACAACACCAGGAACGACGATGCCGAACACTACAACACCAGGAACGACGATGCTGAACACTACAACACCAGGAACGACGATGCCGGACACTACAACACCAGGAACGACGATGCCGAACACTACAACACCAGGAACGACGATGCTGAACACTACAACACCAGGAACCACGATGCCGAACACTACAACACCAGGAACGACGATGCCAAACACTACAACACCAGGAACGACGATGCCGGACACTACAACACCAGGAACGACGATGCCAGACACTACAACACCAGGAACAACGATGCCGGACACTACAACACCAGTAACGATGATGCTGAACACTACAACACCCGAAACAACTATGGCAAATACAACAACACCAGGAACGACAATGCCGAACACTACAACACCAGGAACGACAATGCTGAACACTACAACACCCGGACCAACTATGGCGAATACAACATCACCAAGAACGACAATGCCGAACACTACAACACCAGGAACGACGATGCCAACACTACAACACCAGGAACGACGATGCTGAACACTACAACACCAGGAACCACGATGCCGAACACTACAACACCAGGAACGACGATGCCAAACACTACAACACCAGGAACGACGATGCCGAACACTACAACACCAGGAACGACGATGCCAAACACTACAACACCAGGAACGACGATGCTGAACACTACAACACCCGGACCAACTATGGCGAATACAACATCACCAGGAACGACAATGCCGAACACTACAACACCAGGAACGACGATGCCAAACACTACAACACCAGGAACGACGATGCCAAACACTACAACACCAGGAACGACAATGCCGGACACTACAACACCAGGAACAACGATGCCGGACACTACAACACCAGGAACAACGATGCCGGACACTACAACACCAGGAACGACGATGCTGAACACTACAACACCCGAAACAACTATGGCAAATACAACAACACCAGGAACGACAATGCCGAACACTACAACACCAGGAACGACAATGCCGAACACTACAACACCCGGAACGACTATGCTGAATACTACTACACCCGGAATGACTATGCCGAACACTACTACACCCGGAACAACTATGGCGAATACAACACCAGGAACAACTATGCTGAATACTACTACACCCGGAACAACTATGGCGAATACAACACCAGGAACAACTATGCTGAATACTACTACACCCGGAACAACTATGGCGAATACAACACCAGGAACAACTATGCCGAACACTACAACACCAGGAACGACAATGCCGAACACTACAACACCCGGAACGACTATGCTGAATACTACTACACCCGGAACGACTATGTTGAATACTACTATACCCGGAACAACTATGGCGAATACAACAACACCAGGAACGACAATGCCGAACACTACAACACCCGGAACGACCATGCTGAATACTACTACACCCGGAACAACTATGGCGAATACAACAACACCAGGAACGACAATGCCGAACACTACAACACCCGGAACGACTATGCTGAATACTACTACACCCGGAACGACTATGGCGAATACAACACCAGGAACAACTATGCTGAATACTACTACACCTGGAAGGACTATGTTGAATACTACTATACCCGGAACAACTATGGCGAATACAACAACACCCGGAACGACTATGCTGAATACTACTACACCCGGAACAACTATGGCGAATACAACAACACCAGGAACGACAATGCCGAACACTACTACACCCAGAACGACTATGCCGAACACTACAACACCCGGAACAACTATGGCGAATACAACACCAGGAACGACTATGCTGAATACTACTACACCCGGAACGACTATGTTGAATACTACTATACCCGGAACAACTATGGCGAATACAACAACACCAGGAACGACAATGCCGAACACTACAACACCCGGAACGACTATGCTGAATACTACTACACCCGGAACGACTATGCCGAACACTACAACACCCGGAACAACTATGGCGAATACAACAACACCCGGAACGACTATGCCTAATACAACAACATCTGGAACGATGATGCCGAACACAACAACACCAGGAACGACAATAGGTAAGGGACTTCTATTAATCAATATATAAATTTCCTTAAAATGCATTGGCAGCAAATATATTAAAGAAAAATAATTAATCATTCACCAGTATTCTACTCTGCTTAAAATACTTTAAAAGGTCCATAGTAGAATTTCCCAAGAAGGCTCAGATGTGTGATCCATAAATATTTGAACTACAACTCTACAGGGGTTGAAATACATAGCCACCACAACATAAACCCCTTTGCAGCAAACTTTACACAATGCAGTCAGACTTGGTCTTTCTTCTGGCTATTACAAACCGATTTTAATCAATATCTAGGGAAGCATGATCAGTCTTTTAAGACACTGGAAATTGCCCAACCGCTGGTCTGGGGACCAGTTTGAGAAAGACTGAATATTTTCATTCAGTTTGTACATATTATTAACATGTTGCGTTATTCCAGTTAGGTGGTCCGTGAGTGTTTGTTAAACGGGTTTTTCAGCCTGGAAAAGTTTGAGAAACACTGCTACATATTTATGTCACAACTTTCTCCTTTTCAGGTACAAGCATGATGCCACAAAACACAACAATGACTCCAACCACTCCGGTCCTGTCAACTGCTCTCACGACAACAACCAGTACTACAATTATCGCTCCTGCAACTAATGCCACAACTAACCCTACCATCCTCATTACTACTATCCGTATTACAAATCATACCACAGCTGTTCTTACCACACACCAGACGAAAACTACCCCATTTATCCCTACTCGTCCAATAAACATGACTACTGCCATTACAAAACCACAAAGTACTTCTGCTCAGCCCAATACACCTGCTATCACTGTCCCTACTACCACAATTGCTTCACCTACCGTCCCGACCACCACTGTCACCTTACCTCCTTCACCCACACCAACAGGTAACATTGTTGTTCTTTGATTATTTACCTGGGTAATTTTCTGGGATTGCATTTTTTTGGTAGTCATGGAGAGTTGACTTGGTAATGCTTTAAAATAACTGAATAAATAATAATTTTAAATGCTTCTTCATAAATATTTGTAAATTATGATACATTAAACATTAAAAATTTAATGTTTTTGTCCCCAGAAATACGAAAAGATAAATAATTTCAGTGCAAACTATGTTTTTCAGAGCTATTTATCTTTAAACAGAACGATGTTGACTTGTTCTACTGTTTCTATATTTTTATCCATGAAGTGTGTGTGTTTTTTTTACTAAATTGCATTCAGCTAGCAACCAAATATCTAATTTTTATTTTATTAATAGTTGTTAGTACAAAGACAACTATTGTTATCACAGTTGACAGTTTTTCTTCCTAGAACTGCGAACAGAACTTCCTAAACACTCTTTACCATGTATGTGTTTTGTATGAAAGTTCACGTTTCTATTGTGCCCAAAAAAGTAACTTTCTGTTTTCCAGGAACAGTCCTTGAAATTAAAAGGTCAATCAGATTAGATAAGCCTTTTATAGAGGACTATAAGAATAAGAGCAGTCGTGCATACATAGATTTAAAAGAACAATTTGAGGGACTGGTAAGTACTTTTTTGCTCAATATGATTTAAAATTTTCAGCTGTTTGTGCTTTGATGCTTATAATTTCAAACACATCTATTTCCACAGCTTTCACAACAATATAACATCAAAATTGGAGTCATTGCTGCTTTTGTGACTAACATCAGGTATTTGGCTTTAACAGTTGTCTAAAGTAAAAGGTGAGTTAGTCTGAACATGCTTCTCATCATAGTTTTGGATTTTATTTGTTTTTACAGAGAAGGAAGTGTTATTGTAGACTTTACTGTCAGGACATCTGAATATAACACTCAGATGGCTGAGGCAAATAATGAACTGATTAAAGCCATCGGAAAAGAAATTGCTCCTGTTCTTGATGGAAAAGTTACAGAAGTCCAAAGTGAGTGTCCAGTGCTTCTTCATTATGCATTTATTTAACAAGAAACTGCAAAAGGTTTGACCCAAGTCAAACAGTTTAGAAAATATTTATCCCAGATACTGAACAAATATATGTGAACTTCTGAATTCAAGAAAAATTACAAAAATGTTCTGGCATTTAGAAAACAGAAATAATTGTATGTAAATACCTGCTTTCAGTTGCATTTGACTCTCTCTGTAGGCGACACACCAATGACCTTACAACCTGATGTCATCTATACTGATGAAACCATGACACTGACATGTGCCCCCCCTGGTTTTGATTTGAAAGTCAATTTTAGTGTTACATGGAAATTTAAAGGATTGGTACTTTCCCCATCACAGAGACATAAAATTTCTTCTATACATCCATTCACACTGGAAATTGCCCAAGTGATTCCTTCTGATGCAGGTAAGTTAAAGGCAACTTTATTTTAGAAAAACAATAAGTGAAACTTTCTTGTACATTTTAAATATTAGTGTGACATTTAAGCAAGTTTATTACTTAACCTTGCATGTGGTTCTTCATTTCTTTACATAGAATAGAACATCAAGAGTACTTAATCACATTTTCTAATTTCAAACGTGTAGGTTTATAGGTGTGTAGAACAAATTTATCTGAATTTGAGAAATAAAAAAAAACATTTAAGCAAAGTGATGCATCATCTTCAACTGTGCAAAAAAGTTGAAATATTTGCTATATTTATCTCTGAGACAGGAACACTATCGCTCTGCAATCTGGTCGTATTAAATTACTTCTTTTTAAAGCATTTAACTTGTCTCACTTATGATCTCGTGAAGACACAGGAAGAGCAACGATGTAGAATTAATTTTTGGTTCAAGTAAATTAAGGGACTTCAAACATACCACAACATACTTGTAAAAAATTGTGATCAGTGATATTGCCCTCCAAAAATAATCAGTTATAGATTGTTGTTGCAAAAATAATCAAAACTGAGTTCAATAAGACGACAAACTTTGTCCCTTTTTAAGGTCCTAATAAATCTTTTATGTACAAAAGTTTGCAAGACATTTTTGTATTCACGAGTGCTTACACATTTATGCAACACTTGGTTCATGCATATAATTACTAATTATAATTTTCTTCATTTCAGGGACTTATGAATGTACATCAAAAGGAAAAGATATTATTGTCTATCAGAACAGGAATGTGTTGTCTAGCAACATCAGATCAGCTCCCGTTATCAGTGTCAGTCGTACAGTACTTTCTCAATGTGACCAAGGGAAGAGTGTACCACTAACGTGCTGTGTCCAGTCTCCTTTCAAACTCAAATGGTATGAAGGAAATACAGAATTACAATCAGGTATCCAGTAAATGATGAAATACGCAAATTCTAAATACTCAGAGAATTTGGATAACTTTTAATCATGTTTAACACAATTCAAAATGTTTGCAGATCGAACCTCAAACTGCATCACTTATCAGTATATTATGGGACAATGCACTGAAGAAAAGAAAGCAACATTCATCTGTCAAGTTGACGATCCGAAGGATTATAAAAAAGAAACATTTCTGACGGTTTTTCTAGGGCGTAAGCAAAGAGTAAAATGTTAAATTCATGCTGTTTTGTTAGCGTTTTGATTGAGGGCAAACGTCTCCAATCAAAACGATTTTCTTCATTTCAGGGACTTGATTTTTTTTTCTTTTTTTTTTTTAGCTATTATCTGCAATGATGCTGAGTATGGAGAAGGAAGAGTAAATGACAGGAAGGAAAGAAACTGTGTAGAAGGTCAAACAGGAGCCAAGACTGCAGTTTGTTTGGCTTCAGGAACCTGGGAACTAAGGAAAGACACCTGCATTGTAACTGTAATCAAAGATTTGCTAACTGAGTCATTGGTAGGTAGTTTACATTTTACAAATGTTGTGGATCCCAGAATCTGATGATGCCGTAGAATCATGTCTATGTTTCATACCTACTGAGAGTTGGCCATCAAATTTACAGTATGTGAAGACCTCATACTGTGTGTCCTCCAGGCACTGAACAATTAATTTTCCCCTATAACTGGCTCAATTATTCATTTGGTTAAAAGTTTAAGACAATAACTTATCAGACTTTAAGTGACTGGTCAGTTACTACAAAGCTGTTTTGCTTCTGCTGAAAATGAACTTTTCTGATTCTGAATATTTTTCCATATTTTATGCAGTTTTTGTTTGTATTCTCACTTTTATTCAGGATCTGAAAAAAGAAGAAGTTCCAGAATTTACAGGGAACTTGACTAAAGCTGTCAACGAGAAAGTACAACAAGTCACTCAATCACCTGCAACAATCTCTGCCATTGTCGATATATTAAATACCATTGGAAGCGTTTCAAACAATATAGAAAAAGATGTCATGAAGGTATGGTGAATATGCTGCATCTTATATGTAACAATTTTGTTTGCAATGTTTGAGAATGTTGTGGATTTTATGGAATATCTTTTCATCTACAGAATGTATTGGAAACTGTTGATGTCATCATTAGTGACGATGCAAAGGAATCTTGGAGCTTTCTGAATAAAAATGAAACCCAAAATTCCAGCTCACGATTGCTGTTTTCAATGGAGACACTTTCAGAAAGACTGAATGGTTCATTTACAATAAATACTCAACGGATTCAGCTCAAGAGAACCAAATTTACAAACCCATTCAATGAAGAACTGAACTCCACAATCACCATAGCAATTCCAGAAACGGGTTTTGACAATACATTTATCACCACTATTCTTTTCTCCTCCTTGAATAATGTTATGCCACCACGGACCCCTGAATTTAACCTGAGCCTTTTTAATGAAACCAGCAATGAAACTTACCCCGAGAATGTCATCAATGGTGCTGTTCTGCTTGTCAAAGTAAATGAAGTGATTAACAATGTCACTCTGAGCTATCAAAAGCTCAATACCACTCTGGAACTGAACCCTCAGTGCGTTTTCTGGAATTTTACTCTCTTTGATAATCTTGGCGCATGGGATGACCAGGGCTGTGAGTTTGTTTCTGATATAAACGACACTGTAACCTGCACCTGCAACCATCTCACATCGTTCTCAATTCTTATGTCAACTGACATCCCTGAAGAACTAAGACTATTACTGGACATAATGACATATATCGGTGTTGGAATATCAATGATCAGCTTAATTATTTGTCTCATCATTGAAGGAATCGTATGGCGACCCCTTACTAAAAACAGCACTGCCTTTATGCGCCATGTTGCCATTGTTAACACAGCCCTGTCCTTGCTGATTGCTGACATCTGTTTCATCATTGGGGCCGCCATTGCAAAGAACCCCAAAGAAAACCCAGGCGAGGACTACAAAGTTCCAGTTGGACCATGCAGTGCAGCAACCTTCTTCATGCACTTTTTCTATCTCGCCATGTTCTTTTGGATGCTTGACTCAAGCCTGCTGCTCTTGTACCGGTCAGTCATGGTCTTCTCCCAAATGTCCAAATGGACGATGTTCGCCATTGGCTTGACTGTTGGATACGTTTGCCCTCTGATAATAGCTGTTACTACAGTTGCTGCCACTGCACCTGGGGGTGGATATGTAAGGGAAGATCAAGCTTGTTGGCTAAACTGGACAAAGACCAAGGCTCTCCTGGCCTTAGTGATCCCTGCCTTGGCAATAGTTGTGTTCAATATTTTGGTCATTCTGGTGGTTTTGTACAAGATGCTCAGAAGAAGAAACACAAACCAGGCAGATGAGAAAAATGCCCTGCTCGTCATTCTAAGATGTGTGGCTATCTTGACTCCATTATTCGGACTGACCTGGTGTTTGGGAATTGGAACCATGGTGGACCCAACAAATGGAGGGATCCATGTTGCCTTTGCTTTCTTCAACTCCTTACAGGTATTTTGCATTTGTGTTTGAGTTGGATACAGATTTGAAATTGGCATTTTAATCCTTTTTTTGGTCTTGTGGACTGTTAACGAATGTTTTACTCTCTACAGGGTTTCTTTATTTTGGTGTTTGGGACTCTGTTTGATTCCAAGGTATGTTTTCTTCATTAGACTAGCTAATACAAAATGATAATAATACTACTACTAATAATAAATCATTGTTCTTTGGTTTTACATTAGTCCAACAAAAATATGTATTAACCATTTGGGTGTAGGTGTATAATAGTTAGTTATTTTAAAATAAATATTGCACTCTTACAATTTTTGATTGAAGTGTTAGAAATGCACTTGTTTTTTCAATTTGCAAAGCAGTTTGCACTGGATTTATCACCAACATATTTGTCTGTCTGTAGATCCGTTCCTTGATTTTAAGGAATGTACCAGCTCTAAGCACGACCTCTAATCGAACAAGAGTAAGTTGTAATTTGCAGAAGCACTGCAAAAATGTAGCAAACAATCAATTTAACCTGGTATCAGACCAACAGATAAGTTTTTTTTTTCTAAAGTGTTGCATTATCAAATTACATTCTAATTTTAACTTTTTTCTGTAATTGTTTTTTTTCTTAGAGCACCAGTGGTGGAACTTCAGCTCTGAGTAGCGTTTTTGGTCGACTTCGCAGAGGAAGGAGTAAGTTGCTTTGCTTCGTCTATCTTTTTGCTACCTTAAAACCACTTTCCTCACAATCTATTTTTTATGTTCCAGATGGTTACAATGTTTCGCAGGTTGGAAACTCAAACACCAGCAGTAGTGGATCAGAGTCATTTGCCAACACCTGATTCTGTACAAATAATCTGTTCACTTGTAAAGCTGAAATGTATCTTATCTTTCAGTTATTTTTATTCAATCACATATGCAGGTATGATATCTTGAATGTGAGGTTCAGTGGCAATAATTTGTGAAGGAAACTGTGCAATAGCATTTTAATGAACTTCTACGTCTTTATATAACGCTGCTGTTTATTTTAATTAGAAGTGTAAAATCACAGAGTTATGGTTTGTATGTGCAATTCAAAGAGCAACATAAAGGGAAAAACCTCCAAAATAAGATGATTATAAAAGAGTTAGTTGTGAAATATATTTACTATTCTGTGACATCACAGGAATATCAGTGTTTTAAAATATTTATGTGCAGACATAAATGGAGTCTTCAAAGCAAAGAGATCTATGTATCTTCTTTCAGGAGTAATGGGTCAAAGTTCTAGCAAACTCTTACTGGAAGATTGTGAAAGAAAATCCAAAACACTTGACTCAAAAAAAAAGCTACCTAATACCATGGAAATACACAGAACAAACATTTTAACATAAGGATTTCATGAACATTTGGGTTCCGCAACATATAGAGAAATTCACTGTATATTTTTAGTAATTAGTGATCTTCGTATCAGCGTTAACAACATCTTGGTCTGGCATCTTGTGGCAGATTGACAGTCTTTTGAACATGATCAGTTTGAGGAATTTGATTTTGACCCAGTTGGTTTCTCATAGGCAGTTATGGACAGTCTGAGGTGTGATGTTGTGCAGACCAATAGTCTCATGAGCTGCATTTCGCTGGGCTTAGCGCATTCTGCAGTTTGACAAGCCGGATGTGCCAATCTGGAGTGGTCACACATGACCGACAAGGATGTGGTGGATTTACAGTCGTGCCATTCTGTTGGAAACGAACTCTTAAACGGCCAGAAGTCCGATAGTGGACATTGAGCCATGTGGCTACTGCTCTGCTGGACATCCCTGCATCCAACATGTCAATGGCATGCTAGTAAATGATGTGTGACATCTGAAGCATTATGATTTGTGACAAAATTCAACATGTTGTGGTGGTCTTTTATTATCGACAGTCCAAAGATTGTCCAGTTGCTGCTCATTTTCTCTGATCACTCACCTGACATGCCCCACCCATGCATTGAGTTAAAACACAACTCACTGAGTAATGCTCACTGACAACAAGTTGAATTAAAAATTATTCACAAATCAAGAGAAATATTACTTTTTCACAATATAATGTCAGCAATGGCTCATTTAAATTTAACTCCACAAGGCAACAACATTGGCTATGGGGCCTCAGTATACTGTATATGTAAACTTGTGACTTTGAAAAAAGAAATAAACATTTTTATAAAAATGTCCTGTCTCTCTTTTTGATGTGTGTGTGTGTGTGTGTGTGTGTGTGTGTGTGTGTGTGTATATATATATATATATATATATATATATATATATATATATATATATATATATATACAATGTTTACAATATATATATATATATTGTAAACATTGTATATATATATATATATATATATATATATATATATATATATATATATATATATGTGTGTGTGTGTGTGTATATATATATAAAAAAAAAAAATCCCTTCTCACCCACCGCGGGTGGTTCTTATCCTCTGAGCTCGGGTCCTCTACCAGAGGCCTGGGAGCTTGAGGGTTCTGCGCAGTATCTTGGCTGTGCCAAGGACTGCTGCACATTTCTGGACTGAGATGTCTGATGTTGTTCCTGGGATCTGTTGTAGCCATTGCTCCAGTTTGGGGGTTACTGCCCCGAGGGCCCCGATGACCACAGGCACCACTGTGGTCTTCACCTTCCAGGCCCTCTCCAGTTCTTCCCTGAGGCCCTGGTATTTCTCCAGTTTCTCGTGCTCCTTTTTCCTGATGTTGCAATCACTTGGTATTGCTACATCTACCACAACGGCTTTCCTCTGATGTTTATCCACTACGACAATGTCTGGTTGGTTCACCATTACCATTTTGTCTGTCTGGATCTGGAAGTCCCACAGATCTTAGCTCTGGTGTTCTCTACCACCTTTGGGGGTGTTTCCCACTTTGATCTCGGGGTTTCCAGTCCATATTCTGCACAGATGTTTCTGTACACAATGCCTGCCACTTGGTTATGTCGCTCCATGTACGCTTTCCCTGCCAGTATCTTGCACCCTGCTGTGATGTGCTGGACTGTCTCAGGGGCCTCCTTGCACAACCTACACCTTGGGTCTTGTCTGGTGTGGTAGATCTGGGCCTCTATTGCTCTGGTGTTTAGGGCCTGTTCCTGGGCTGCCAGGATGAGGGCCTCTGTGCTGTCCTTGAGTCCAGCTTTTTCCAGCCATTGGTAGGATTTACTGATATCAGCCACTTGGGTTATTTGCCCCTACATCCCATGTAGGGGCTTGTCCTCCCATGATGGTATCTCTGGCACCTCAACCTCCGTTCCCTGTTGTCTGAGACATTCACTGAGCACATTGTCTGTTGAGGCTTTGTCCCTGATGTATTTATGGATCTTAGTTGTTTCGTCCTGGACAGTGGTTCTCACACTCACTAGTCCTCTGCCTCCGTCTTTGCGGCTCGTGTACAGTCTCAGGGTGCTGGATTTGGGATGGAACCCTCCATGCATGGTTAGTAGCTTTCTAGTCTTAATATCTGTGGCTTTTATCTCCTCCTTTGGCCAGCTAATTATTCCAGCAGGGTATCTGATTACTGGCAGGGCATAGCTGTTTATCGCACGGATTTTGTTCTTGCCATTGAGCTGGCTTCTCAGGACTTGCCTTATTCGTTGGAGGTATTTGGCTGTGGCTCCTTTCCTTGTGGCCTCATCGAGGTTGCCATTTGCTTGTGGTATACCTAGGTACTTGTAACTGTCCTCTATGTCTGCTATTGTTCCTTGTGGGAGTGAGACTCCTTCTGTGCGGATCACCTTCCCCCTCTTTGTGATCAGCCGACCACACTTCTCTAGTCCGAATGACATCCCAATGTCAGTGCTGTAGATCCTGGTGGTGTGGATCAGTGAGTCGATGTCTCGCTCACTCTTGGCATACAGCTTGATGTCATCCATGTAGAGGAGGTGACTGATGTTGGCCCCATTCTTGAGTCTATACCTGTAGCCAGTCTTGTTGATAATTTGGCTGAGGGGGTTCAGGCCTATGCAGAACAGTAGCGGGGACAGAGCATCTCCTTGGTATATGCCACATTTGATGGACACTTGTGCAAGTGGTTTGCAGTTGGCTTCAAGGGTGGTTTTCCACAGCTTCATCGAGTTTGCAATGAAGGCTCTCAGAATCCTGTTGATGTTATACATCTCTAGGCATTCAATGATCCAAGTATGCGGCATTGAGTCATAGGCTTTCTTGTAATCGATCCAAGCCATGCACAGGTTGGTGTGTCGGGTTTTGCAGTCTCGGGCAATCTCTCTCAGGTCAGCAGCTGTCTCGTTCAGCTCTGTTTCGCTCATTGGGGCCGTGTATCCCCTCACTGGGTGGGGACTTGTAGTTAAGTCCCCACAGATCTGACATCCGGGTACCTCCCTTTTGCCGTAGCATTTGTGTTGTATCTCGTCAATCTCAAGTTGTGATAGCAGTTGCCGTTTGCGGATGTTGGAACACTGAGCTACTAGTTGTTTAGCACTTAGTGTTGACTGGGGATGTCGAAGTGACCATTCCTTCCCAGTCTTTGCATGTAACCCCTCTGACTAGGGTTACTTGAGTAGTAGCAATCCAACAGATCCACATTTTCATCTCTCGCCCATTTCCGTCTTGTTCCAGTAGCCCATTTGTCATATATATATATATATATGGAATGTATTTAATTGTACATGTGAAACAATTAAATGCACTCTAAGATAAGATCCAACCAAAATTCTCTAATATATTCAAAGCTTTTTGCTCCTCTGTCTTAGGAGTTGTCAACATAAATATTGAAATACCGGCAATTATTAAACAATAATAATCAATGCATATGAGAGATAGAAGCTCATTCACGTCAATAAAGAAATTTTCCACGTATGTTGGAGTTTTGAATAAAGTGAGTGTTAAAGTTCATTTGTGACCTTTAACCTCAATTCCAAGATACTCAAAAGAGGTGAAATGACCCAAAGAGATTTTACTACAATTGATAGTATTCTTAAATATTGAAGCCACGCCTCCTTCTTCTTTTTTATGTTTTCTACTCTCACTTAAAAAATTGTAGTTCGGAGGTTGGTTCATTATTGTCATTCAGCCATGTTTCTGTCAGAAACATAATATTAAGCTCAGTGATGAAATCATGAATAGAGCTTTAGCACAGAGAGATCTGGTATTTAAAACAACTAGTTTAAATGAGTTGGTAGCCGACATGACAAGATTAGGATTGCTGTATTTTGTTTTTCTGTTGTTTGTACATTTTCTTGTAGTAATCCGGACAGGTAATGTCCTGTTCTGCAGAGCCGGGGGGCCAGACATGTTCTGGAGGAAGACGGGTGTAAGGTAATATCTGGACCCTGGGCTCAGACCTCAGAAACGCAGAGTGGTGGATCCACTGGGGAGTCAGAGGCAGGCGGCTTAAATGAAGTGAGGTTTGCTACGTGAGTGCTAAGGGGAGACATGCCGAGGCGAACCTGTTGATATATCCGCTAAGTGGTCATCATGTGCGGACAGCTGGCCTTTATTTCCATAAGCCTACATGACTAAATGTCATTCTATTACCTTGGTGATTATACATTGCACAGTTTAAATTATGTTCAAAATTATTGTAAAAATCTCAACTTGTTAAAGTGCATCCATTTAATAAGCAAATATTACCATGGCTGATGAAACAGTCTTCACAGTTTGGTTCATTGCAGGTTTACTTCTGTTAAAGAAAGCAGTAAACATGCACATTTTTGTACTCAAAATCATAGTTTCTCACTTCTGGAAGAGAAAACAAATTCAGTACATTCCTTTTCCCTCAACTGTTCAAAGTGTTTTTCACAAAAACTGGTTTTATTCAACATTAAATCTTTGTCTATGAAGTTATTTCTAATGAAGATGTAAGTATAGAGCATAATCTTACTGCTGTTTTTAACAGAAACATAGTTGGATGAAAAGAGTGAGACACCTATACTGACAGAAATTTCCTAAGCAAGAGAAAGAAACAAATGTGGCAAGTTGAGGATTGTGGGGAAGCGGTGGAAATTTACTCTATTTCATATTTTAGCGAATTTTAAGCAAATTTAACTCTCGACAATATCTGGACATCCAGACAAACGGCCCAGTTCAAGTCATGTGTTTAAATTCTGATGTCCTTCCAACAAGAAGATTCACACGTATACATTTAAAAAATGTGAAAGCAACAACAACATTACTGATGAAGTAAATTGAAACTTGAAATACACAAAATAAAATAATTTGCATGTTCAGAGCGCCATTGGTTTTACTTCATAGGCATGGCATGGAAGACTAAATATTAAGAGAGAAAAACAAAATATTAATCAGAACACAATTCTGCATATATCACAATAGTTTTGTATTAGAAAAATCTCCTTGAAATATTTGACCAGAAGTGATCATAGTAAAAGCTCGTCTGAACCACCTGTAGAAAAAAGCATAAACCAGAGGATTTAACATAGAATTGGACCATCCTAACCATAAAAATCCTTCAATGGCTGCAACTGGTATTGTGACTATTCCCAAACTGTAAAAACCTATGGATAGAAAGAAAGGAGTCCAACATATGAGGAAGACTCCCATCACTGTAGCCAGAGTTTTGTTGGCCTTTTTCTCCATCTTACTGAGAGCTGCTTCAGACTTCATAGTGTTCTGGATTTGTCTTGCCTGTTTCTTCGCCACCATGAAAATCTTAAGATAGATTGATAAAATTATAATAGCTGGAATGTAAAATTGAAAAATGGTTTCAGGACTGAATTTTGTTGAAAATAAATTACACCTTCTGCTGAGATTTCCTTGATTTATCCCACGTGCTATGATGACAACAGCGAATAGAGCTGAAAGAGTCCAGCTCACCAGGATCATGGTCAGAATTACACAAACATTCATTTTGCTTCTATATGTCAGAGGATGACACACTGCAAAATATCTGTCAATGGATACACAGCACAAATTTAAAACAGACGACGTGCAGAGTAAAATATCAAACAGGCCTCGCATTTTACAGAGTAAATAACTTGAACTGGAGCATGAGCTCAGAGACAATATGGTGCTGAAAGGTAAAACTAAAGCTCCAACCAGCAGGTCAGTCACAGCCAGAGAGAGGATGAGGTAGTTTGTTGGAGTGTGGAGCTGCTTGAAGTAAACGACAGAGATGATGACAAGAAGATTTCCACATATTATCAGAAGTGACAAAGAAACGACAAAAGCATGAAACACAGAAGATGTCACAGTCTGTCCATGCAGCTGTGCTGACTCATTACAGAGACGCTGATCTTCAACCATTTTTTCAGTCCTGTTATAAAACAAATCAATATTGAAAACAATGATGAACAAACACAAACTGGCTTCCTTTCATATATTTATGGAGATAACAGACAATTCAGTTGCTGTCTGTGATTCAGTGTCAGTCAGGGTGGAGAGTTGTGTCCTTTGGTTTCTTCATGACTAAAGTGAATCCATGTGTTTGATTTATTGTTCCATGTTCATGTGTTCATTGGTTAATATTATAGTCGTTGCCAGGAGTCCTTTGTATCCAAGTGACGTTCTCCCTGGTGTCACAATGAGGAACAATTCACATATTAGTGCTAATGCTATTATGACATCAATGCTTAGTATCTTAATTACACTTCTATGAATAATCTGTCTTTCCATAAAGTAAAGAAGTTTTTTTCTGTCAAATTGAATATCTATTGGAGACTTTTTACATGACGTGACACACAATAATCCAGATGTATTTTGTCTTTATTTTTGGACTTGGAGGAAAGAGAAAGTTTCACTGAAAAGTTTTTGAAAATACTGCAAGCAAATACAGTGATCAAATCAAAATCTAATTTTATTTGTGTAGCACATTTCAACAGCAAGGCAATTCAAAGTGCTTTACATCACAACAAACACAAAACATACAACATAGAATCAATAATCAAAACATGACATTAAGTCAAATGTCATCATTAAATTCATCATTGATTATGTTTAAAATACAATTCTTAACAGGTGGGATTTTAGCCACGATTTAAAGGAAGTCAGGGTTTCAGCTGTTTCATAGTTTTCTGGGAGTTTGTTCCAAATTTTTGGTGCATAGTTGCTGAAAGCTTCTTCCTGCTCATGTCAGGCATCATAGCGGCCAAGATAAGCAAACACATGGATAAACACATGAGCACAGCACATAAGGGTATCGGTGTAAATAGCAGAGGAGCCAAACACCAACTCCTCTTAGACCGCACAGTTGCCCGAGACTGCAAAACCCGACACACCAACCTGTGCATTGCTTGGATTGATTACAAGAAAGCCTATGACTCAATGCCGCATACTTGGATCATTGAATGCCTAGAGATGTAAAACATCAACAGCACTCTGAGAGCCTTCATTGCAAACTCGATGAGGCTGTGGAAAACCACCCTTGAAGCCAACTGCAAACCACTTGCACAAGTGTCCGTCAATTGTGCATATACCAAGGAGTTGCTCTGTCCCTGCTGGTGTTCTGCATAGGCCTGAACCCCCTCAGCCAAATTATCAACAAGACTGGCTACAGGTATAGACTCAAGAATGGGGCCAACATCAGTCACCTTCTCTACATGGATGACATCAAGCTGTACGCCAAGAGTGAGCGAGACATCGACTCACTGATCCACACCACCAGGATCTACAGCACGGACATTGGGATGTCATTTGGACTAGAGAAGTGTGGTTGGCTGATCACAAAGAGGGGGAAGGTGATCCGCACAGAAGGAGTCTCACTCCCACAAGGAACAATAGCAGACATAGAGGACAGTTACAAGTACCTAGGTATACCACAAGTAAATGGCAACCTCGATGAGGTCACAAGGAAAGGAGCCACAGCCAAATACCTCCAACGAATAAGGTAAGTCCTGAGAAACCAGCTCAATGGCAAGAACAAGATCCATGCGATAAACAGCTATGCCTTGCCAGTAATCAGATACCCTGCTGGAATAATTAGCTGGCCAAAGGAGGAGATAAAAGCCACAGATATTAAGACTAGAAAGCTACTAACAATACATGGAGGGTTCCCAAATCCAGCACCCTGAGACTGTACACGAGCCGCAAGGAAGGAGGCAGAGGACTAGTGAGTGTGAGAACCACTGTCCAGGACGAAACAACTAAGATCCATAAATACATCAGGGACAAAGCCTCAACAGACAATGTGCTCAGTGAATGTCTCAGACAACAAGGAACGGAGGTTGAGGTGCCAGAGATACCATCATGGGAGGACAAGCCCCTACATGGGATGTACCACCAGCAAATAACCCAAGTGGCTGATATCAGTAAATCCTACCAATGGCTGGAAAAAGCTGGACTCAAGGACAGCACAGAGGCCCTCATCCTGGCCACCCAGGAACAGGCCCTAAACACCAGAGCAATAGAGGCCCAGATCTACCACACCAGACAAGACCCAAGGTGTAGGTTGTGCAAGGAGGCCCCTGAGACAGTCCAGCACATCACAGCAGGGTGCAAGATACTGGCAGGGAAAGCGTACATGGAGCGACATAACCAAGTGGCAGGCATTGTGTACAGAAATATCTGTGCAGAATATGGACTGGAAACCCCGAGATCAAAGTGGGAAACACCCCCAAAGGTGGTGGAGAACGCCAGAGCTAAGATCCTGTGGGACTTCCAGATCCAGACAGACAAAATGGTAATGGTGAACCAACCAGACATTGTCGTAGTGGATAAACAACAGAGGAAAGCCGTTGTGGTAGATGTAGCAATACCAAGTGATTGCAACATCAGGAAAAAGGAGCACGAGAAACTGGAGAAATACCAGGGCCTCAGGGAAGAACTGGAGAGGGCCTGGAAGGTGAAGACCACAGTGGTGCCTGTGGTCATCGGGGCCCTCGGGGCCCTCGGGGCCCTCGGGGCAGTAACCCCCAAACTGGAGCAATGGCTACAACAGATCCCAGGAACAACATCAGACATCTCAGTCCAGAAATGTGCAGCAGTCCTTGGCACAGCCAAGATACTGCAGGACCCTCAAGCTCCCAGGCCTCTGGTAGAGGACCCGAGCTCAGAGGATAAGAACCACCCGCGGTAGGTGAGAAGGGAATTATTATTTATTTTATCTTTATTTTCTTTGTGTATTCTTAGTGAGGTGGAGGGAGAAGAGTGTCTCAGTTGTGAGAATCAAGTTAGATATGGATGGACCTAATGCAGGGGTGGGCACTCCTGGTCCTTGAGGGTTGGTGTCCTGCAACTCTTTCATGTCTCCTTGGTCCAACACACCTGAATCCAACACCTGAATCACCTCCTAAATGCAGTCAAGTTCTCCAGAGTCCTGCTAATGACCTCGTTATTTGACTCAGGTGTGTTGAAGTAGAGATACATCTAAAGGTTTCAGGAAACTGGCGCTCAAGGACCAGCACTGCCCACCCCTGACTTAATGTAACATTGTAAATCAGTCGAAAATGTCAAAAAAACATCACTTCCTCAAAATAATGTTTTTTCTTTTGCATTATGAAATGGTATTTGAAATCCATGCAAAGTGTCAATTTGTGTGAACTAATTCTTAATTTTGAGCTACTTGGTCTCAACAAAAAAACTTATCAATACAATCCTTAATCTTTAAGCATGCACATATATACTGGACTGTAGTATTACTATATATCATGTTACCTGGATATTTCATATTTTCTTTGTTTCATATTTCTGGTGTTGCAATGCGAAGAATCAACAGGATATTTTGCCGTAAACGAATCTGAATTAGTTCAAACTAACCAACACTCCAGATTCCTCATGAAATGAATCTGGTTTCTCAATTTTCACTATTCACACTGAACTGTGACATCATTGGAGGATTTTATTGGTTCAGTTTTTTCTCATAAGTTTAATGCTCTACCTTTAGTAGCTATAGTTTCATATTTCACATTTTTATAGAAACTAAGCATTGTTCATTTAAAAAAAAAACATTGCAAGTTTGTTTAAAAAAAAAAGAAACTATAGTTTCTATAAAATTTGAATTATTTTTAGAAACTCTTCTAAATAGAAATAGAATATAAATTGTGTGATGTGTTGCTGTCCACCAGTGGACTTATTTCTTCATTAATTACTTAAATACTTACTCTTTCCACGCAGGAGTTTTTAAATGACGACTGAGCTTCAACTAATAGACTGATTTTCTTGTGAACCAAGTGGTGCCCAACTTAGTAATTTTGGACCTAAAGCAATAGTCTTACTAATAACTGCCTCAATAAATTATGATAATCATTCACATTTCAAAACTAAACTGCGATTTCTGAACAACATAATACAAAAAACGAATAACATCTCTAGAAGTACGATACGTATGCAAATGTTATCGAAATAACATCTTTCAGAGACGTGTTGCACAGATAAAACATAATAATACACAATTAAACATCAAATATATGAAACATAATTTTATGATGAATATATCACAATAATTTTGTATTAGAAAAATCTCCCTGAAATACTTGACCAGAAATGATCATAGTAAAAGCTCGTCTGAACCACCTGTAGAAAAAAGCATAAACCAGAGGATTTAACATAGAATTGGACCATCCTAACCATAAAAATCCTTCAATGGCTGCAACTGGTATTGTGACTATTCCCAAACTGTAAAAACCTATGGATAGAAAGAAAGGAGTCCAACATATGAGGAAGACTCCCATCACTGTAGCCAGAGTTTTGTTGGCCTTTTTCTCCATCTTACTGAGAGCTGCTTCAGACTTCATAGTGTTCTGGATTTGTCTTGCCTGTTTCTTCGCCACCATGAAAATCTTAAGATAGATTGATAAAATTATAATAGCTGGAATGTAAAACTGAAAAATGGTTTCAGGACTGAATTGTTTTGTAGGTGTAAATAAATTACACCTCCTGCTGAGATTTCCTTGATTTATCCCACGTGCTATGATGACAACAGCGAATAGAGCTGAAAGAGTCCAGCTCACCAGGATCATGGTCAGAATTACACAAACATTCATTTTGCTTCTATATGTCAGAGGATGACACACTGCAAAATATCTGTCAATGGATATACAGCACAAATTTAAAACAGACGACGTGCAGAGTAAAATATCAAACAGGCCTCGCATTTTACAGAGTAAATAACTTGAACTGGAGCATGAGCTCAGAGACAATATGGTGCTGAAAGGTAAAACTAAAGCTCCAACCAGCAGGTCAGTCACAGCCAGAGAGAGGATGAGGTAGTTTGTTGGAGTGTGGAGCTGCTTGAAGTAAACGACAGAGATGATGACAAGAAGATTTCCACATATTATCAGAAGTGACAAAGAAACGACAAAAGCATGAAACACAGAAGACGTCACAGTCTGTCCATGCAGCTGTGCTGACTCATTACAGAGACGCTGATCTTCAACCATTTTTTCAGTCCTGTTATAAAAAAAAATCAATCAATATTGAAAACAATGATGAACAAACACAAACTGGCTTCCTTTCATATATTTGTGGAGATAACAGACAATTCAGTTGCTGTCTGTGATTCAGTGTCAGTCAGGGTGGAGAGTTGTGTCCTTTGGTTTCTTCATGACTAAAGTGAATCCATGTGTTTGATTTATTGTTCCATGTTCATGTGTTCATTGGTTAATATTATAGTCGTTGCCAGGAGTCCTTTGTATCCAAGTGACGTTCTCCCTGGTGTCACAATGAGGAACAATTCACATATTAGTGCTAATGCTATTATGACATCAATGCTTAGTATCTTAATTACACTTCTATGAATAATCTGTCTTTCCATAAAGTAAAGAAGTTTTTTTCTGTCAAACTGAATATCTATTGGAGACTTTTTACATGACGTGACACACAATAATCCAGATGTATTTTGTCTTTATTTTTGGACTTGGAGGAAAGAGAAAGTTTCACTGAAAAGTTTTTGAAAATACTGCAAACAAATACAGTGATCAAATCAAAATCTAATTTTATTTGTGTAGCACATTTCAACAGCAAGGCAATTCAAAGTGCTTTACATCACAACAAACACAAAAACACAAATCATACAACATAGAATCAGCAATTAAAACATGACATTAAGTCAAATGCCATCATTAAATTCATAATTGATTATGTTTCAAATACAATTCTTAACAGGTGGGATTTTAGTTGGGATTTAAAGGAATTCAGTGTTCCAGCAATTTTCTGGGAGTTTGTTCCAGATTTATGGTGTCTAGAAGCTGAAAGCTGCTTTCTCTCATTGGATTCTGGTTCTGGGGATGCAGAGCAGAACCAGAAGCAGAACCTGAGAGATCTGGAAGGTTGATGCAACAGCAGAAAGTCTTTAATGTATTGTGGCGCAAAACCGTTCAGTGATTTGTAAACTAACAACAGTATTTTAAAGTCTATTCTTTGAGCTACAGGGAGCCAGTGTAGAGAGTTTAAGTCTGGTGTTATGTCTCTATCTTCCTGGTTTTAGTGAGCAGCAGCTTCTGGATCAGCTGCAGCTGTTTGATTTGTTGTACAGATGTGTGAAGACAGTGTTGCAGTAATCAATGCGACTAAAGATAAACACATGGATGAGTTTTTCTAGATCTGGCTGAGACATTAGTCCTCTAATGTTCTACAGGTGAAAGAAGGCCGACTTTGTAACTGTCTTAATGTGGCTCTGAAGGTTCAGGTCAGAGTCCATCACTACTCTCAGGTTTCTGACCTGATCTCTTGTCAGGATCTGTGTTTTTCTGTGTTTGATTTTGAATTTTCTGTGTCCGATTCTCCTGTCTTCCCCTTCATTGCTTCCAGGTGTGTCTCGTCTTCATGATTACCCTCTGTGTATTTAATCCCTCCTGTGTCCTTTGTTCCCTGTCTGGTCCTTGTCGTTGGTTGTCGAGTCATGCCTGTTGTCCTGGTCACCCGTATGACCAGTTTGCTACCGGTGTGAGCCCTGGCTTCTGCTCAGCCGTGCTGCCTGGCCATGGACTTGCTGTTTTGACTATGTTTTTGGATCCCTGTTGTCACCATTAAAAGCACCTTTTACATCTCTACCTGGGTCTCAAGCATCTGCCTCACCAGCACATCGCACCAATTCATGACAGAAGGACCTGACCACAACCACAGAGAGACGCTGATTGCATCACAGACCCAGAAGGCTTGGAGGAACTAACTTTAACAATCAAGGAGTATGTCGAGGACATGGCCAAACCCTACGCCACGTGCAGACGGCTTGGTTTTGCAATTCGCCTGGGACTGCTGCATGACTACCGGGTTCCGCGGCTCCCGTACCTTGGGTTGGTGGAGCTGCAGCAGGAGGCAGAGTGGAAACGCCAAATAGCTCTCGCCTTCATGGTTGGTGACACTTTACCTCCCAAGCCGGATGTTCCTATCTTTCGGTCCACCAACCCAGCTCCAGTCTCTGCCGCAGCAGAATCTGCCGCTGCTCCCGCCACTGCTCCCGGCATGGATTCTTTGGTGATGGGTTACCAGGCAGCCTGCCTGGTACCGGGTCGACAGGCGGGTCGACTGGCAGCTCGATTGGTGGCGTGGCCCACCCCAGCTCCGCTCTTGACCCTGCCACCTCTCCCGAGTCTGCTTCAGCCTTTCTGCCCCTCGCCGCGGCAGCAGCTCCTGCCGACGCTCCTGAGTCTCCTGAGGACTCAGGGACGCCAGTCAGTGGGCCTTCCCTAGTGCTCCTCCAGAGTCTCCTCTGGTAAAACTAAAGCCCCAACCAGCAAGTCAGTCAAAGCCAGAGACAGGATGAGGTAGTTTTTTTATCCCCGATCAAAAAATTGTGTGTACATAGTCATTTGTTCATATTGTGGAAAACAATATATTGGAGAGGCAAAAAATACATTAGTAGTATGAATTTGGCAACAGAAATAAACACAAAAAAGAAACAGACACAGAGTTGGTTCAGCATTTTATTAATCATTGTTTGAATTCAGTTAAAATTTTGGGCATTCAAAGTAAAAAGAGAAAAAAATGGGAAAGATGGATTTATTGGTTGAACACAAAGAGCCCAAATGGATTACACAAAAAATAAACTAAAATAGGAACATCTGAATGATTTGATATTGAAACCAAAATTTTCTATCTAAATTCTACCCTTTTTCCTAACCTTAACCTTTCCCTAACCCTGACCATTCCGCTTTTCCCAACCCCAACCTCTTCTCCTAGCCTTAACATTTCCTCTTTTACTTTTGTTTTTATTTTTTTTAATCTTTTTTATACATTTGTATAAATTATGCATTTATTTTGTAAAATTCAAATTTTAATTTACACAAAACTAGCAAAACAAAAATACTTCACATAATAAATAAAAACAGAACCAGAATGAAAGAAAAGAGATCACAAAGACAAACATAGAGGGAGGAGTATAAAAATAGCTTAAAATCTTGTGACATCATATCAAAACCTGAAGAAGATGCACAGCAGTCGAAACATTGCTAAGTAGGCACGCATTTATTTAATTCATTTAATATACTTTATTTTACATAAAAAAGGGTTTTGGATCTTTTTTTTTCTGTTTTTTTATTCCTCAAAAAAAAAAAACCACACAAAATAACAAAAAAAAAAAATTACATAAACAATAAATATATTGATATATACATATTTTATGTAAAGACACCTAAAATAACATTTATTGACTGGGTAATAAAGCTGACTGGAGAAATCAAAAAACATGTGGCCAGAAGACACCTGGCAAGTGATTATGTATGGGAGGAGACAAAGGTAATGTCCCCCTATCTATTTCCACACAAGAGACAATGGAACATGGGGGAGGAAGGACCAAGCAGCTCTTGCATTCTCGAGGGGACAGGCTCGATCTTTCTTTCCTAATCCTAACCCTTCATTTATTTATCTACTTATTTAATGATTTTACTGTTAGGAATATGAATTAGTCAGTTTAGACGTTTTTAGGTTTTCTTTGAGTTTTAGGGAATTTTAAGACATGGTCACATATCACATATCCACATCGACAACTTTCTCATTTTCTCGGGTGCGGCCAGAAAAACCGGGGAGCTGCAAATGGCATTGCGGTGGCCCGTGCATGACCTTCGACTCCCCAGGTTCAACTGCCCAGTCGACAGATGAAGTGGGGGGAGTTGTTGAATGATTTTACCCACCTAAACTTTCCTCTTTTATTTTTATTTGCTTTTATTCGTTTTTTTTAAATGACTTTTTATAAATTATACCTTTATTTTGTCAATGTCAAATTTATTTATATAGCACTTTAAAACAGGTATAAAACTGCACCAAAGTGCTGCACAAGAACGACAGTAGCACAAATAGATAAAAACAGAATATCAAAAATTGCTTCAGTTAAAAGCCAACGAATAAAATGAGTTTTAAGAAGCGATTTAAAATGATCCAGGCTGCTAGCAGATCTAATCTGAAAAGGCAAATTGTTCCATAAATTAGGAGCAACAACAGAAAAAGCCCGATCTCCTTTCCTTAGTCGGGTCAGAGGGACTGTAAGTAAAAGCTGATTTTACATTTATTTTGTAAAATTAAAATCTTAATTTACACAAAACTAGCAAAACAAAAATACTTCACATAATAAATAAACTCAGAATCACAGTGGGAAAAAAAAACCACAGAGACAAACATAGAGGGAGGGGCTTCTAGGAGGAGTTGCAGGACGCCGGCCCTCCAGGACCAGGGTTGCCCACCCCTGCGTTAGACGGAGAGCTGGAAGCACATCTCCCCTCTCAGAAGAGGAAGTAGGAGCACATGTGAATGCTCCTCAATGGAACACATAAAGCGCTGGCAATTTAGGAGCATGTGCAATATCATTTCACTTACATTCATAATAAATCCCTAATCTCAAACCGTGGCATCCCTCCATGCCTCATCTACTTCAGATACCGTCATGTTGGATAGCATGCCTGTTTTGTGCCCACAGATTGACTGCAGGTAGACACTGAAGTGGCCATAACACCTTCATATGTTTAAGGCGGTGGGGATTTCTCAAGTTCGTCTACAAAAACAAATTAAAATGATGAAGCAGATAACAGAAAACACAATACAACATCTTGGTAAGTAAAGAGCTCAGGTAAGTGTCTGGATAAAACAGTGTCTGCCATTTAGGATATGATAATGACCCCAAATGGCAAACACTTAAGTCCTTTTTCACAGTAGTTTTGTATTAGAAAAATCTCCCTGAAATACTTGACCAGAAGTGATCATAGTAAAAGCTCGTCTGAACCACCTGTAGAAAAAAGCATAAACCAGAGGATTTAACATAGAATTGGACCATCCTAACCATTTAAATCCTTCAATGGCTGCAACTGGTATTGTGACTATTCCCAAACTGTAAAAACCTATGGATAGAAAGAAAGGAGTCCAACATATGAGGAAGACTCCCATCACTGTAGCCAGAGTTTTGTTGGCCTTTTTCTCCATCTTACTGAGAGCTGCTTCAGACTTCATAGTG